CATGTATCAACCTCAGACCCTCCTCCCTTCCATGTGTCCCATGGAGCCCCTCCTCCTCCTCCCACGCATCATCCTCAGACCCTCCTCCCTCCCATGTGTCCCATGGAGCCCCTCATCCTCCTCCTCCCACGTATCATCCTCAGATCCTCCTCCCACCCATGTGTCCCATGGAGCCCCTCCTCCTCCTCCCACGTATCATCCTCAGACCCTCCTCCCTCCCATGTGTCCCATGGAGCCCCTCCTCCTCCTCCCACGCATCATCCTCAGACCCTCCTCCCTCCCATGTGTCCCATGGAGCCCCTCCTCCTCCCACATATCATCCTCAGACCCTCCTCCCACCCATGTGTCCCATGGAGCCCCGCCTCCTCCTCCCATGTATCAACCTCAGACCCTCCTCCCTCCCATGTGTCCCATGGAGCCCCTCCTCCTCCTCCCACGTATCAACCTCAGACCCTCCTCCCTCCCATGTGTCCCATGGAGCCCCTCCTCCTCCTCCCATGTATCAACCTCAGACCCTCCTCCCTTCCATGTGTCCCATGGAGCCCCTCCTCCTCCTCCCACGTATCAACCTCAGACCCTCCTCCCTCCCATGTGTCCCATGGAGCCCCTCCTCCTCCTCCCATGTATCAACCTCAGACCCTCCTCCCTTCCATGTGTCCCAAGGAGCCCCTCCTCCTCCTCCCACGCATCATCCTCAGATCCTCCTCCCACCCATGTGTCCCATGGAGCCCCTCCTCCTCCTCCCATGTATCAACCTCAGATCCTCCTCCCACCCATGTGTCCCATGGAGCCCCTCCTCCTCCTCCCACGTATCATCCTCAGACCCTCCTCCCTCCCATGTGTCCCATGGAGCCCCTCCTCCTCCTCCCACGCATCATCCTCAGACTCTCCTCCCTCCCATGTGTCCCATGGAGCCCCTCCTCCTCCCACGTATCATCCTCAGACCCTCCTCCCACCCATGTGTCCCATGGAGCCCCGCCTCCTCCTCCCATGTATCAACCTCAGACCCTCCTCCCTTCCATGTGTCCCATGGAGCCCCTCCTCCTCCTCCCATGCATCATCCTCAGATCCTCCTCCCACCCATGTGTCCCATGGAGCCCCTCCTCCTCCTCCCATGTATCAACCTCAGATCCTCCTCCCACCCATGTGTCCCATGGAGCCCCTCCTCCTCCTCCCACGTATCATCCTCAGACCCTCCTCCCACCCATGTGTCCCATGGAGCCCCTCCTCCTCCTCCCACGCATCATCCTCAGACTCTCCTCCCACCCATGTGTCCCATGGAGCCCCTCCTCCTCCCACGTATCATCCTCAGACCCTCCTCCCACCCATGTGTCCCATGGAGCCCCGCCTCCTCGTCCCATGTATCAACCTCAGACCCTCCTCCCTCCCATGTGTCCCATGGAGCCCCTCCTCCTCCTCCCACGCATCATCCTCAGATCCTCCTCCCACCCATGTGTCCCATGGAGCCACTCCTCCTCCTCCCATGCATCATCCTCAGACCCTCCTCCCACCCATGTGTCCCATGGAGCCCCGCCTCCTCGTCCCATGTATCAACCTCAGACCCTCCTCCCTCCCATGTGTCCCATGGAGCCCCTCCTCCTCCTCCCACGCATCATCCTCAGATCCTCCTCCCACCCATGTGTCCCATGGAGCCACTCCTCCTCCTCCCATGCATCATCCTCAGACCCTCCTCCCTCTCATGTGTCCCATGGAGCCCCTCCTCCTCCCTTGTGTCATCCTCAATACCTCTTCTATCCCATGTATCTTACGGAGCCCCTCCTACTCCCCTGTGTTATCCTCAGACTCACCCACTCATGTGTCAAACCAACCCCCTTTTCCACTCATGTCACATGGAGTTCCCTGCACACTGATGTGTCATACCAACCTTCTCCACCTGTGTTCCACAAGCCCCTTTCTATATCCATGTGTCACATGGAGCTCTTTCCCAATCCATGTGTCACGCAAACCCCCCATAACACCTATGTGTCACATGTGTCACATGGAGCTCCTCCCCCACCCATGTCACACCAACCCCCTCCTCCACCCATGTGTCACACCAGCCCCCTCCTCTATTCATGTGTCACATGGAGCTCCTCCCCAATCCTTATGTCACACTAACCCCCTCTTCCACCCATATGTCACATCAATCCCTCCTCCACCCATGGGTTACACCAACCCTCTCCTTCACCCATGTGTCACACCAACCCCATCCTCCACCCATGTGTCACACCAACTCCGTCCTCCACCCATGTGTCACACCAACCCCCTACTCCACCCATGGGTCACACCAACTCCCTCCTCCACCCATGTGTCACACCAACCCCATCCTCCACCCATGTGTCACACCAACTCCCTCCTCCACCCATGTGTCACACCAACCCCATCCTTGACCCATGGGTCACACCAACCCCATCCTCCACCCATGTGTCACACCAACCCCATCCTCCACCCATGTGTCACACTAACCCCTTCCTCCACCCGTGTGTCACACCAACTCCCTCCTCCACCCATGTGTCACACCAACCCCTTCCTCCACCCATGTGTCACACCAACTCCCTCCTCCACCCATGTGTCACACCAACCCCCTCCTCCACCCATGTGTCACACCAACCCCCTCCTCCACCCATGTGTCACACCAACCCCCTCCTCCACACATGTGTCACACCAACCCCTTCCTCCACCCATGGGTCACACCAACCCCATCCTCCACCCATGTGTCACACCAACCCCCTCCTCCACCCATGTGTCACACCAACCCCCTCCTCCACACATGTGTCACACCAACCCCTTCCACCACCCATGTGTCACACTAACCCCTTCCTCCACCCATGTGTCACACCAACTCCCTCCTCCACCCATGTGTCACACCAACCCCTTCCTCCACCCAAGTGTCATACCAACTCCCTCCGCCACCCATGTGTTACACCAACCCCTTCCTCCACCCGTGTCATACCAACTCCCTCCTCCACCCATGGGTCACACCAACCCCCTTCTCCACACATGTGCCACACTAACCCCTTCCTCCACCCATGTGTCACACCAACCCCTTCCACCACCCATGTGTCATACCAACTCCCTCCTCCACCCATGTGTCACACCAACCCCTTCCTCCACCCATGTGTCACACCAACCCCCTCCTCCACCCATGGGTCACACCAACCCCATCCTCCACCCATGTGTCACACCAACCCCTTCCTCCACCCATGTGTCACACCAACCCCTTCCACCACCCATGTGTCATACCAACTCCCTCCTCCACCCATGTGTCACACCAACCCCTTCCTCCACCCATGTGTCACATCAACCCCCTCCTCCACCCATGTGTCACACCAACCCCCTCCTCCACCCATGTGTCACACCAACCCCTTCCTCCACCCATGGGTCACACCAACCCCCTACTACACCCGTGGGTCACCCCACACCCCTCCTCCACCCATGTATCACACCTACCTTATTCTCCACCCATGTGTCACAGCAACCCCCTTTTCTACCTGAGTGTCACATGGAGCTCCTCTCCCACCATGTGTCACACCAGCCCTCTCCTCTCTTTATGTGTTATATGGAGCCCCCTTTTTCACCCATGTGTGATACATGGGTTGGGGAAGAACTCCAGGGTAGAGGAGGGGATGGTGTGGCAGGTGAATGGGAAGGAGCTCCATGGTGGAGGGAGGGTTGGTGTGACACATGGGTGGAGGAGGGAGTTGGTGTGACCCATGGGTGGAGGAAGGGGTTAGTGTGACACTTGGGTGGAGGAGGGAGTTGGTGTGACACATGGGTGGAGGATGGGCTTGGTGTGACCCATGAGTGGAGGATGGGGTTAGTGTGACACATGGGTGGAGGAGGGAGTTGGTGTGACACATGGGTGGAGGATGGGCTTGGTGTGACCCATGGGTGGAGGATGGGGTTGGTGTGACACATGGGTGGAGGAAGGGATTAGTGTGACACATGGGTGGAGGGAGGGTTGGTGTGACACATGGGTGGAGGAAGGGGTTAGTGTGACACATGGGTGGAGGGAGGGTTGGTGTGACACATGGGTGGAGGAGGGAGTTGGTGTGACCCATGGGTGGAGGAAGGGGTTGGTGTAACACATGGGTGGAGGAGGGAGTTGGTGTGACACATGGGTGGAGGAGGGAGTTGGTGTGACACATGGGTGGAGGAAGGGGTTGCTGTGACACATGGGTGGAGGGAGGGTTGGTGTGACACATGGGTGGAGGAGGGAGTTGGTGTGACCCATGGGTGGAGGAAGGGGTTAGTGTGACACATGGGTGGAGGGAGGGTTGGTGTGACACATGGGTGGAGGGAGGGTTGGTGTGACACATGGGTGGAGGAGGGAGTTGGTGTGACCCATGGGTGGAGGAAGGGGTTGGTGTAACACATGGGTGGAGGAGGGAGTTGGTGTGACACATGGGTGGAGGCAGGGGTTAGTGTGACACATGGGTGGAGGGAGGGTTGGTGTGACACATGGGTGGAGGAGGAAGTTGGTGTGACACATGGGTGAAGGAGGGAGTTGGTGTGACCCATGGGTGGAGGAAGGGATTAGTGTGACACATGGGTGGAGGGAGGGTTGGTGTGACACATGGGTGGAGGAGGGAGTTGGTGTGACACATGGGTGGAGGAGGGAGTTGGTGTGACACATGGGTGGAGGAGGGAGTTGGTGTGACACATGGGTGGAGGAAGGGGTTAGTGTGACACATGGGTGGAGGAGGGGGTTGGTGTGACACATGGGTGGAGGAAGGGGTTAGTGTGACACATGGGTGGAAGAGAGGGTTGCTGTGAAACATGGGTGGAGGAAGGGGTTGCTGTGACACATGGGTGGAGGAGGGGGTTGGTGTGACACATGGGTGGAGGAGGGAGTTGGTGTGACACATGGGTGGAGGAAGGGGTTAGTGTGACACATGGGTGGAAGAGAGGGTTGCTGTGAAACATGGGTGGAGGAAGGGGTTGCTGTGACACATGGGTGGAGGAGGGGGTTGGTGTGACACATGGGTGGAGGAGGGGGTTGGCGTGACACATGGGTGGAGGAGGGGGTTTGTGTGACACATGGGTGGAGGAGGAAGTTGGTGTGACACATGGATGAAGGAAGGGGTTAGTGTGACACATGATTGAAGGAAGGGGTAGGTGTGACCCATTGGAGTAGGAGGTTGGTGTGACACATATGTGGAGGGTGTTGGTGTGACACATGGTTGAAGGAGGGGGTAGGTGTGACCCATTGGAGTAGGAGGTTTGTGTGACACATGGGTGGATTAGGGTGTTGGTGTGACACATGGGTGGAGGAGGGGCTTGGTGTGACACATGGTTGAAGGAGGGGTTGCTGTGACCCATGTGTGTAGAGGGTTGGTGTGACACATGGGTGAAGGAAGGGGTAGGTGTGACCCATTGGAGTAGGAGGTTGTGTGACACATGGGTGGACTAGGGTGTTGGTGTGACACATGGGTGGAGGAGGGGCTTGGTGTGACACATGGTTGAAAGAGAGTGTAAGTGTGACCCATGGGTGGACTAGGGGGTTGGTGTGACCCATGGGTGGAGTAGGGGGTTGGTGTGACGTGGATGGAGTAGGGAGTTGGCGTGACACATGGGTGGAGGAGGGTGTTGGTGTGACACATGGTTGAAGGAAGGGGTAGGTGTGACCCATTGGTGGACTAGGGTGTTGGTGTGACACATGGTTGAAGGAGGGGTTGCTGTGACCCATGTGTGTAGAGGGTTGGTGTGACACATGGTTGAAGGAAGGGGTTAGTGTGACACATGGTTGAAGGAAGGGGTAGGTGTGACCCATTGGAGTAGGAGGTTGGTGTGACACATGTGTGGAGGGTGTTGGTGTGACACATGGTTGAAGGAGGGGGTAGGTGTGACCCATTGGAGTAGGAGGTTTGTGTGACACATGGGTGGATTAGGGTGTTGGTGTGACACATGGGTGGAGGAGGGGCTTGGTGTGACACATGGTTGAAGGAGGGGTTGCTGTGACCCATGTGTGTAGAGGGTTGGTGTGACACATGGGTGAAGGAAGGGGTAGGTGTGACCCATTGGTGGACTAGGGTGTTGGTGTGACACATGGGTGGAGGAGGGTGTTGGTGTGACACATGGGTGGAGGAGGGGGTAGGTGTGACCCATTGGTGGAGTAGGGGGTTGGTGTGACACATGGGTGGACTAGGGTGTTGGTGTGACCCATGGGTAGAGGAGGGCATTGGTGTGACACATGGGTGGAGGAGGGGGTTGATGTGACCCATGGGTGGAGGAGAGGGTTGATGTGACCCATAGGTGAAGGAGGGGGATGGTGTTTCACATGGATGGGGAGGAGGGCGTTAGTGTGACACATGGGTGGAGGAGGGGGTTGATGTGACCCGTGGGTGGAGTAGGGGGTTGGTGTGACACATGGGTGGAGGAGAGGGTTGGTGTTTCACATGGATGGGGAGGAGGTCCATGGTGGAGGAGAGGGTTAGTGTGACCCATTGGTGGGGGAGGGATTGGTGTGACAAGGGCTCCTGCATCCATGTGTCTGTCCACCTGAGCCCTCCTCCACTCGTGTGTCACTCAGAGCCTCTTTTCACCTACATAGCCTCCCCACCATTACTTCTTAATTCTTAATCCCATATCCTAAATGTTTCCCTCCGTGTGCTCTTTCAGAGAATTTTATGTATCATTTATTCATAGATATTTTTGACCACCTACCGCGTGCCTGGCTGTGTGTCCATGTGAATGTTGTTGGTTGTGGAAGGCTGGGGACTGTGGGGCGAGGCAGGCCGCATGGTGGTTGAGAAAGACATCCAGGTACAAAGGAAGGTGTTTTGGGGTACAACTTTATTGAGATGTAATCCGCATATACACAATCCAGCCATTAGAGCTCACAGCGAACTGTGTTTTAGTTATTCACAGATACCTGTGACGGTCGCCCTATCAATTTAGGAACATTTCCATCACCCCTGAAAGAACTCCAGCGCCTTCAGCTTCACCTTCACCCTGCATGCATCCCCCACAGCCCTCAGCAGCCCAAAATCGACTGTCTCTGGCAAATTCTTTAAGTGCTTCTGAACTTCATGTTGCAACCCATTTCACAGATGCAGAAGGCAAGGCTGGGGAAGTACCGGGGAGTATACGCAGCAGATGGGCGGGGTGGAGCCCCGACCTTCACTCACAGGCCTGCGCCAGCATCAGGCCTGCCTCCCTCCTTTGTCCTCCCTCTGTCCTCTGGCCTGGATCTACAGTCACATGGGGGCTCTGTGGGGCTAAGGGAGGCCCAGGCCCTGGCCAGAGGAGGCAGGTAGGGCAAGGCCGGGCAGGGTAGGCAGGTGCCCCAGTACCGCAGGCGCCCGGCAGCGGGTGGCATGGCCTGGGCTGGCTGTCCCTTGCTGTCACTGCTCTAACCGCTAGCAGCAGGCGTCCCCTCTGCCGTCCTGGCGTTTGCACTGCGCTTCCGGGAGGAGGGTTGCGACCGTAGTCAGTAGTTGGGGGGTGGGAACGGCTTCATACAGGAGTTGATGCACAGTTATCCAGCTCCTATATGATGCCTTTCTTCATCCCTTCAACCACGCGCAGCCCCGGACCCTCCTCTGCACCCTGGGCTGCATGGGGACGTGTCCTCCGGCCCGCCGCTGTCCTGCCAGCCTCTTCCCGGCATGCTCCTTGGGCTCTTCTCTCTCTCTCTTCCGTAGCTCTCCGAGTTCCTGGAGGGGAGGGCCTGGGGCTGGGCCATCTCTGAGGCCCCTCCTCGGCTGGGACCTATGTCCCTGGTGAGACACCCCCCTGGGCTGATTTCGCAGCCAATGGCAGATGGTCCAGAGGGGGTTGGGTAGTCCTGGGGTTTCTCCTACTGAGGGGTGGGGGCTGTGCTCCCACGGGGAGCCCTCCCAAGGGACCTGGCTCACAGGATGGACGGGAGGACGTTGGACAGATGGTGCCCCTTTGGGCCCAGGGTGGAGGGAGCAGGGCTTTGGCAGAGCAGGGCTGGCTCTTTCTCTGCCCCAAGAGGAGGGTCTCCTCGAGGGGTCTCTGCCTCTACCCAGGACTCTTTCATGACCAGGAGGCTGAGGCCCCTCACAGGCGGCTTCTTACTTTCTCCTTAGACCTCTTGGGAAACACTTCCCTTCTCCGCGAGGATTCCTAACTCTGGATCCCCAGAAGCTTTTAGCTGGGCCCCCTTCTTCCCCTGTGCCCACCCTGCCCAGGCTGGGTGCCCAAGGGCACCCAACAGCAACATGAGCAGTGGGCATGGCAGTGGACCCCCGGTTCTTGGACCTCTGTCTTCTGCCTCCCCAACTAACTCAGGTCCCGTGCATGGCAGAGGTCACCCGCACCATGCCCTGTGGTACTGGCATCATTAACCCCAGTAACAAGCCATGACAGCCAGCCTAGGCACAAGCGTCGGGCAGCAGGATGGCGGGTGTGGGGAGAGAGGCCTTGCGGCAGCCGAGGACACTAAAGAGGACAGGAGGGTGCCATCTGGCCCTTCCTGTGCACCGCCCACCTCCCCTTCTTTGTCCTCCTCCCCCATGCACCCCCTTGCTTCCTGGTCTACCCCTCAGCTTCTGTGGTGTCGGGATGGGTATGCTTGTCTTTGTTGATCTCTGGCAGGTGCACAGGGGTCTGGACAAGGCTTTCTGTTTGGGTGCGAGGTCAGTGCTGATGGGCTTGGGGTGTGACAAGGGTCTTGGCCCAGCAACAGGGTTCTGGGAGGGTGGGTGGAGCTTGGGAGTGGGGGTGATGGCTTCTATCTGTTGTCTTTCTCCTTTTCACTTTGGGAGCAACCGGGGTCACCAGGTGGGCAGGAGGGGACCTCACATCTCTGCTCTGGGCAGATGGTTAAGAGCTGGCCTAGCTCCGAGCTCATGGCCCTGAGTCCGAGGCCCTAACCTGACCCGGGCGGCCCACAGTGGGATGAGCGAGTCCCAGCCTGAGTGGTGAGTAGCCCTCAGTTCCCGAAGCTGGCCCTGGGTGCACCAGCCCTGGAGGCTGGCACGCTGGGGATCTCATGAGGGTGGGTTGGGCTGGGAAGAGGAGTTGATGGCCAAGGACTCAGCAGGGTGGAGCCCAGGCTCCTCCATCCTGCACCAGCCACCTGGGGGTGGGCAGAGGAGGTGGGAGCTGGGTGCGTTTGGTTGTGGCCCGCCGGGGCCCGTGGGCCTGTGTGCCAGTGTATACGCCAGGCAGTCTGCTGGGCAGTCTGCTGTTCCGAGGACAGTTTTCACCTTTTTTTGTGGTGGCCGTGATGTCACAACCTAGCAAGTCATTTAACGTTAACCTTCCTTTTTCTTTCCCCAGGAGAAAGGTTTGTATTATTTTTCTTTCAAATCTTTTATTTTCATAGGATTTGGGGGATGGTTGCAGTTTGGTTATGTGAGTTACGTTCTTCAGTGGCGATTTGTGAGCTATTAGTGCAGCATACACCGTACCCAGTTTGTAGTCTTTTACCCTCATCCGCCTCCTCACCCTTTCCCCCGAGTCCCCAGAGTCCATTCTATCACTTCATCTGTACTTCTCCCCTGGGCCTGGGGACTGCCCCTCTTCTCTGTAAACTAAGCCCGCTCTGGCTGCAGGGGGCGGGAGAGCCAGTGAGGCCAGTTTATCGCTGTCTGTTGGCTTGGGGGGCCAGGGCCACTCTAGTGCTGGGAGCCCCCTCGTCAATATGTGTGTGTGCATGTGCATGCATGTGTGTTAACTGTGGAGAAGTATGCCCACCTTAGTGTGTGTCTGGATTCCCCACTGTAGGGCAGGGGTGATGGTTGCTGGTCCATTCTCTGTTTGGCCTCACCCTGCAAGGTGGTCTCGTTCGCCCCTACACCTTTGATGGCCCAGCAGGAAAGGAAGGTCCTGGCTGCAGGGACACCGGGGTTGCCAATCCACCCCACATTCGCCCGGGGAGCCCCTGCCAAGCAGGAATAGAAGCTTGCCCTTGAAGATCAGCCTCTGGGACCCTCTAGGAGTGGCCTCCAGGTGGCCTGATCTGGGGACCCTCTGTTTTGACCCCTGGCTCTAGCCCAAGGTAGTTTACTTTGAAGGACCTGGGAACCCCAAGAAGAATATCATCTGGGAACAGTGGGGGTTGTAGGAAGCAGTGGCCTTTGGAGAGGGGGTCTGGTTATTCTTGAAATGGCCCTACCTCTCACTACATTCTCCATCTGATGATGGGAAAACAGGCTGGAAGATGGACGGCCACTACCTGAGGTCGCCCAGCGAGTCAAGGCTGGGGCCTTCCAGGCCAGGTCACTAAGGGGCATCTGCACCTCTTGCAGCCAAGCCCCTGGCCTTGACCGATGGCATCCTGTCTTAGGCTGCCATCAGAGGCAGAGTGCGAGGGGACAGACGAGCAGATGAGCTCCTGGAGCTGCTGTGGGGTTCATCCCATCAGCTGCCATCAGAGGCAGAGTGCCAGGGGACAGACGAGCAGACAAGGTGTCCTTGAGCTCCTGGAGCTGCTGTGGGGTTCATCCCATCAGCCTTGTGACCGGAGGCAGAGTGCGAGGGGACAGACGAGCAGACAAGGTGCCCTTGAGCTCCTGGAGCTGCTGTGGGGTTCATCCCATCAGCCTTGTGACCGGAGGCAGAGTGCGAGGGGACAGACGAGCAGACAAGGTGCCCTTGAGCTCCTGGAGCTGCTGTGGGGTTCATCCCATCAGCCTTGTGACCGGAGGCAGAGTGCGAGGGGACAGACGAGCAGACAAGGTGCCCTTGAGCTCCTGTGGGGTTCATCCCATCAGCCTCGTGACCGGAGGCAGAGTGCGAGGGGACAGACGAGCAGACAAGGTGCCCTTGAGCTCCTGTGGGGTTCATCCCATCAGCCTCGTGACCGGAGGCAGAGTGCGAGGGGACAGACGAGCAGACAAGGTGTCCTTGAGCTCCTGGAGCTGCTGTGGGGTTCATCCCATCAGCCTCGTGACCGGAGGCAGAGTGCGAGGGGACAGACGAGCAGACAAGGTGTCCTTGAGCTCCTGGAGCTGCTGTGGGGTTCATCCCATCAGCCTCGTGACCGGAGGCAGAGTGCGAGGGGACAGACGAGCAGACAAGGTGCCCTTGAGCTCCCGGAGCTGCTGTGGGGTTCATCCCATCAGCCTTGTGACCGGAGGCAGAGTGGGTGGAGTAGTCCAAGTGAGAGGGCAAAGACCAGCCACCAGGAAGGGGCTTCCATCCTGGCTCTTTTCCTCAGCTCCTCTGAAGCCCATTCTGGGCCTTGATTTCCCCACGTTTATCCTGGGAAAGTGACAAAAGAAGTCTGTGGCGAGGGCTGGGAGCTCTGAGTGCCAGCTGTGCCCAGTGCTTTATTCCTAACTCAATCCTCACAGCAGCCTTGATGGGTTGGAGTGACAGATGAGGAAACTGAAGCTGGGGGAGGCCTTTCTGCAGCCCGCCAGTGGAGGTAGAGAGAGGCCCAGAGGTGTAGCCCCTGCCTTTGAACCTGGGGATCCTGACCATGATCTCCTGGTGCTGCTATCAGGGGTAGATTCTTCAGACAGGTGGATGGTGGGTGACAGCTAGGCACCCCTGGGGATCCGTGAAGGTATCAGGAGCCAGTGTGGGGCTGGGGAGTGCAGGGAAGGAACAAGGCCAAGCTTGCAGTGCCAGCCCTGGGCTCCTTTGGGATGTGTCCTTGGGCAGGGGCTCCTGCTCTGTGCCCAGTGGCCCTGGTCCTCATGGGGTAGGAGCAGGAGGCAGAGCCATGCTGCCTAGGGACTTCCATGCTCCCTTGCCTCCTCTCGGGGACAGAGTAGGGTCCCTTCCATGTGGGAGCTGAGAACTCTGGGGCTAGGTGGAAATGGCTTCCCTAGGGGATGGGGCTGCTCCAACTCAGGCGAGCTGGGCCCCTACAGTGGGGCGGGGTGCACTGGGAGGCTGGAGGCCACTCCTGGAAAGGAGTCACCCATGGCCAGGAAAAGGGGTCAGTGTGTGCTTGCCTGTAAAGTGGGAGCCCAGAGTGTGTGAGTGCCACCTGCCCTGCCTCCCCGACTCCCTGTGGGACCCCCGGCACCCCTACCCAGGGCAGTGCACCCTCACTCTCACAGCAGCCATTTTGCCACTTTGGGGACAGCATGACCCTTCAGGATGGGACCTTTTCCCTCTTGAGGGGAGAGGTTAGGGACTGCTTGGGGCCAGGGCTTGTGGGCCCTGCAATATGGGGCTCAGACCACACCTCATTTTCCATATGGCAAGGAGGCCAAGGCCAGAGGCGGGATTTGGGTTTCGAGGGTCCCTTTTCTGGAACCCTAAGGAGAGACAGCCCCCACTCCCCCGCCTCCCACTGCCCCGAGACACCTTTTTTGTCTGCTCCTCTCTTTGAGATGAGCTTGTGGGCGGTGCGCATCCCTGGTGACCTCAGTGAGGGTGGGTTCCCTCCCACAGCAGGAAGAAGTGCCCTGCGTCCTGGTGGGGGTGACTTCAGGAAGGTGGGGGAGGCCTGCTGCCATGTGCCAGGCCCCCATGGGGCTGTTTCAAGGGAAAGCCTTTCCCACTCCCACCCCTCCCACCCAGCCCTCTTGCCCCCTCCTCCAACCGCCTGCCCCCTCCCTCCTCCCATGCCTGTCCCCTCCCCTCCCTATCCACCCATCACCCCCAGTTTTAGGACAAATCCCACAGTCAGACAGTCTTTTATTTTGCTTTATTTGAGGAGTGCAAAAAGATTAGGGGGTGAGAAAGTTCAGGGGGCGGGGAAGGGTCTTCTCCCCCTGCAAAGCAGTATGGCCAGAGTCTCTCTGTGACTCTGACTCGGCAGGGTCCCCTGCGTGTCTGTGTGCTTTCTGGGACCCCCTCCCTTTATGGGGGCCCCGATACCCCTGCACTGTCAGTGTTCGATGTTGGGAGGAGGAGGCGCTCGCTCACCGCGTAGGTCTGGTAAGCGACACTGGTACATCGGGACACCCCAAAGAGCGGCTTTGTCCAGGTAAGTCCGGAGCTCAGGGCCAGAGGAAGGCAGGGTCTAGAGAGCTGGCGTGGTCGTGGTGGGGTGGGCTTGCTTGCAGGGTGGGATGGGGGTGAGGGAGGCACTACATCATCAGATGTTGGGAGGTTGGGGGGTGGGGGTGAGGGGAGCAGGAGCACCGGCAGTGGAGGTAGAAGAAGTCAGTGGAGCACCCGAGGTCAGTGTCCCAGGACGGCACAGGGTGGCCGTCACCAGGCCGGGTGGGGGCCCCCGCATCTGCTTGCTTGGCTGCGCCTGCTATGCCTGCTTCTTCATCTGGCCGTGGGTCATAAGGTCACCTCCTGTTCGCCACTGCTTTCTCCCTCATGGATGTCACCCCCAGGCACAGGCCGGGGACCTGGAGAACTGAGTACTGGCAGCCCAGGGCTGGCGCCAGGCCTCTGAGGACTGGTTAGTCTGTTGGCACACTGGCATTGCTGGTTGATGAGTCAGAGTTCTTGCCCTTCACTAGCGGGTTCCTCTTGGGTCAGGAGCGGCAGGAAGGGAAGCGAAGCAGCCTGAGGCATGGGGAGGCCAGGGGGCTTCGGAAGGCATTGGGGCCAGAGAAACAGAGGGGACTCTCTGATGGAGATGGGGAGGCGTCTTCAGTCGAGGTCAGCATCTTCGTCCTCGTCAGGCAGCTCTTCCAGCCTGGCCTGCTCACTGGGCTGGCTCCCCCAGGCAGGGACGGGCAGGGCCTGCCTGTAGATCAGGGTCAGGAACCGGCTCAGGGCCCTGGCGGCCTGCTCCCGGCTGAGCAGGTGCAGCTGGCCGTCCGCACTGCGGATGTGGAGCAGGCGGCTACTGAGGAACTCCAGGACCTGGGGGTCCATGAGGTGGCGTGGGCGGAGCGGGTGGGCCGCAGCCGCGTGGCTGGGCGGGGCCTCCTGCACGTCGTTGTCCTGCTTGTCCTGCGAGGTGTCTTGCAGGCCGTCATGCAGGCCACACTGACGGTAACGTTGCAGGTCGTCTTGCAGGGCTTCTCGCAAGACGACATCCTCATCGCCAACGACGTGCAGCTCCAGGTAGCGGTTCTCACGCAGGACGGGGAGGCCGCCCTCCCGGGGGGTGACTCTCACACCGAAGAACTCACACAGTGTCAGCCAGAACCCAGGGGTGAACTGTAGGCCTTGGTGGGTCTGGGGCTGCAGTGCGTTTCGCTGCCAGCGGCCAGGGCCCAGGAATAGCTCGGCCAGCTCCTGCGCTGGGATGGTGTTTGCGCCTATGAGGGCGGGCATCTGGGTGAGCAGCTGGGTGATGGCTGTCGTGATGCCACTGCCCGCGACGAGGGAGGAGTCCAGGAAGAGTCGTAGGGAGCGCCGGGGCTGGGGCCGAGCCACCTGCATGGTGGGTGCTGGCAGCAGTGGGAGGCGACGCCTCACCCGCAGTAGCACGAGGATGGACGCCAGGGCCAGCACGTTTTTCCAGTACAGGAGGCCTCGGAAGAATTGCAGAATCACGGCCCTGATCTGGGCCATGCTGAAGTGGGCGAGGAAGCTGTTGAGGAGCTGGCTGATGGGGATCACAGCCAGCAGCTCTTGCCGTAGGGCCTGTTCATTGGCGTCATCCTGGTCTTCATTCTCTTCTTCCCCGGATTCCGTTGACGGATCCATGGGGAACCCCCTTGAGGCCAGCAGCAGGGTCTGCCTGGCGGCTGTCCTCCTCCGGAAGGCTCTCCTCCACCGGAGGTTTCTCACGGGTGGCAGGGCTCGGCTGCCATTTTGTTCTGGCAGCTCCATGATGTCAAAGTTGAAGTGGGAGAAGAAGAAGACCCAGTGGCCGGGGAGAAGTACGGTGAGCCTGTCATTATTCAGAGAGGCTAGATCCTCTGTGTTGAGAAGGATCATGATGGGCTCCTCGGTGTTCTCCAGGTAGCGGCACCACACCATGAAGGCAGCCCGTATTGGAAGGATCTTCATCTCCACTTGCGAGTACTCGACCTCGATGGGGGAGATGCTGCGGGAGTAGAAGGCACAGCAGGCCCTCCTGCCGGTCTGCTCGTCAATTTGGATCAGGGAGGCGTACAGGCCCGTGCTGGTGACGCCGGTTTCCAAGTAGAATTGGTTCTGGGGCTTGGGGTGGTGGAGGAGGGGCGCCTTGCGGAAGGCCCTCTTGAGGCACTCGAAGGCCTCCTGCTCCTCGGCCCCCCAGTAGAACTGGTAGGAGCTCAGCAGCTGCCGCACCAGGGGCTCGGCGATGATGCAGAAGCGCTCCACGAAGTGCCGGTAGGGGAAGACGAATTCCATGAAGTTCTGCAGAGAGAGCCTGGAGCCAGGGGTAGGGTACCCTGTTATGATGGTCATGACGTTCTTGTTCAGTTTCACCCCTTTGGGGGTGACGACGAAGCCCAGGAATTCCACGGTTTGGCGGTGGAACTGGCTCTTGTCCAGGGAGCAGTAGACGTTGTGATGGCGGAAGCGGACCAGGACTTGGCGCACGTGGTGGAGGTGCTCCTCCTGGCTCATTGAGTAGATCAGGACTTCCTGGCCGTAGGAAAGCACGAGGAAGCCTAGCATGTCCTTTAGGATGAAGTGAATGACGTTCTGAGGGATGATAGGGTCTGGGGAGAGTGCGAACGGCTGGTAGCTCTTCATCTCTTGAAGCTCCAAACCAAACGCTGCTTTCCACACATCTTCGGTGCCGTGCACGTTCACGCTTTCCTCCACGATGGTCCCACGCAGCTCCAGTTTTGTGAACCACGCGGCTCCGTGTAACTGGTCAAACAGTTCCGGAATCATCTGTATGTAGTCCTGTCTGTCGGTCAGCATGTCCTGCAGGTCCCAGTATCCCTCCTGCAGCCTGGCTCTTCCTTGCATCCTGGCACGCACAGGTTCCCAAGGCGCGGTGGAGGGACATTCGGAAAAGGTCTCACTGTGATCACTGTCTCCAGCCTGCTGAAGCTCAGAGGGCTCTGATTCAGAAAGATCATCGGATCCGTCTGAGCTTGGCTGGTCGGAAGTCTCATCATCTGCTTCCTTCGGGTTAAACACGTCGGCCAGGTCTGAGTATGGGTGTGGCAGTCCGGGTAGCAGGCTCATGCCGTGTCTCTCCAGGGCAATGCATGGCGGGGGTGGGCGGAAGCAGTTCTTCAGGCAGTAGGGAGAGTGGAAGGTGCAGCGCCCTTTGATCCAGTCGACCTCTGGGGCATGGACTCGGAGCCAGCGGATGCCCAGGACCACGGAGAAGTTTGGTGAAGGTACGATGTCAAATTCGATGGACTCCTGGTGGTTCTGGTGGATGCACACCAGGGGCTCCGTGTAGAGCCAGACAGGCTCGTTGCCAATCAGCGAGCCGTCCACGGAATGGATCGGCTGAGGGTAAGGTTTCTCGTAGAGCTCCACGTAGTGCTCTTGGGCGAACTTCTCATCCATGAAGTTGCCGTCGGCTCCTGAATCTACCAGGGCCTGGACGGCAACGCTGTGGTAGGGGTTCACTCTCACCATGAGCAGCAGGAAGAGGTGGGCACGGTTGATACCCGGATGGACTTCGCTGGGCAGCCAGCTGCTGACGCTCCACCTCTCTGGAGCAGGTGAGTCGATCCAGGTCAGGTTCCGGGGGCGGGCCTCGGGGGGCAGCCTGAGCATGGCTCTTCTCTCTGCCAGCTTCTCTTCTATTTGCAGGATGAGCATGATCAGACTGTCCAGGGATTCCGGCTGAGGGACCCGGAATAGATAGTGCCTGATCTCCTCGTTGAGCCCCTGGCACAGGTGGGCCTGCAGGACTTCGTCTGGCCAGCCCAAGATGGGTACCAGGCTCTGGAACTCATCGATGTACTCGGTGGCCGAGCGGCCACCCTGCCTGATACTGAACATGGCGTCTTCTGCCACACGCAGTGCTTGGCGGTACTCAAACACCTCTGACATGGCCTCCAGGAAGGCCGGGAAGTCTCCGACCAGGGGGCTGTCTTCCTGCACTAGAGCTCTGGCCCATTCTAAGGCCAAGCCGGAGAGGTGGTTGATGACATAGCCGACGCGCAGACGGTCGTTACAGAACTTTCTTGGGTAGCTCTGTAGGGTCAGTTGGCAGAGCACGATGAACTCGTGGAATTCTCTGCGATCCCCGGAGAAGTGCCTTGGGGCGGGCAGTTGGCCTGCAGTGATCCCTTTGATCAAGATCTCCTCTGCTACTCTTTGTTGCTCTTTGAGGTCTTGCATTCGGAAGTACAGCGTGATGATGGACCTCACCATGGCCATAAGCTCCGCGGTAGAGTGCTCGGTCTGGTTTTGCCCTTCTTGAGGAGCCTCCTCCCTTCCCGATTCCTTCAGGTCAGTGTGAGCCTCTTGCTCTTCTTGGGCTCCCGTTGGGTTGACTGATGCTTCGTTCATCCTATCAGATGCTCCACTGAGTGGATCCCCCCTTGCCTGGTGTGAAGCGTTGCATGACTCCTCCAGGTCTTGGAGTAGGTCATTGGGTGGATCCTCTATTTCCTTATGTGGGCCACTGGATGGCTCCTCCATGTCTTGGAGTAGATCAGTGGGCATCTCTTCCCTTTCCTGGAGTGGGCCCCTGGGAGGCTCCTTCATTTTCTGGGCGGGGCCGCTGGCCGGCCCCGCCTCTCCCCACACGCCACTGCCCGATGCCGCCTCGGTGGTGCTGGATGAGCCCTCGGAGGACTCCATTTGTTTTGATGATGGATTCTTATGCTCCATCATCGTCTCAAATGAGTCTTCAGAGGGTTCTATCATTTCGTCGGATGACAAGGAGTGTGTTCTGAAGATGGGTAAGGCCGTGATGGCGTCCAGTCAGCCGCTGGGACTGTGGAGATGGAACCTGGTGGTGGAGGGGGGTGGGGAGTAGAGTAAAGGCAGTAGTTTAGGATCTCGCGAGGTGGCAGTGCCAGGTTCTCAAGGACAAATGAGATGCCCAACGCATCAGAGCAGAGAGAAACTGGGGAAGGCCTTCTTATATTCAAACCAGCCTCCTTGGCTGGTCATTTGGGGCACCCCCAGGGAGGGAAGATCTGTCAACCCCTGACCTGCCTCCCAGGCTTAGTCAGTCTGCTTGTCCTGTCCATTTCCCTCAATAGATGTTGGAAATTCACAGCCCATAAATTCTGTGGAGTGACCAGCGGGGCAGCCGCTGTGGCAGGCGGGCAGCTGGCAGGGTGCACAGGCTGCTCCGTTTTACCCTGGCACACGCACCTGGTCACCCCTCCTTTCCTGCTTTGCTCAACTGAGAATCACAGAGGTCACCTCTCAGCGCCATCCAAAGCCACCCCTGGCAGGCTCAGGGCTCTGGAGCAAGCCCAGCCACCTTGGTTGTGGAGTGGGAATCTCCAGCACAGATGCCTACTGTTCACCAGTGCAGTGGAAGAGGAGAAAACGGGCACTTGGCTGCTATCCCGTCAGTTGGGTCAGCAGCTCAAAATCGCTCTTATTTCCTTCCCCACGTTCAAAGTGGAAATTTTAGGGGGAGTGTAGAGGTCTGGATTCTTTTTTTTTTTCATAAAGTTTATGACATACCTACTATGTGCTGGATAATTGCATAATTGTTACTTGGTTCCAACTCAGACTTTTGTCCAATTTCTCTTTCTTGATTTGGTCTCCTTCCAATGCTATGTTCTCCCAAGTTCTGGGCTGATGAGGAGATCTTCAGATAATCTCCCTCTCTTCCTGCAATCTCCACTCTCCCAGGACTGCTCTCTTTGTGAGGCTTCCGGACTTTCCCACATCTGGCCTCAATTTCCCAGTGCAAGCGTGTTTGCATGCCTCTCCCATCTTATCCTCCCGGGTCCCCTTCTTCACTCCGGTGGGGCTGGTCCCCTCATTCTAGCAAGTATCTTTTTCTCTCTGTTGCTGGTTGCCTCTCCCAATATAGACACCTATCTGGCAGAGTTGGGACATTGAGTGTGGGCTGGGGGAGCATGCAACATCTTTGGAATCTGACGGTCCCGGAGTGAATTTTTAAAAATCTGATGTTGGGTGGTTTTAGCGGGCTGAGACAGAATTGAAAGAGGATGTCTTGGTTGGGGTTATTTGCACATTTCTTCTCTGCTTGGGAAGAGCAAATCTGAGTTTTGATGATCTGATAGATTAGCTGTATAGTTACTGCTCTTTATAATAAATTAAATGCCTTTTGTCACTTGTTAGTTTTCTTCTTAGCCACTGGACCCATCTGTAAAAAAAACATGCGTTTCCCCCTTCCATGAAACTCATTGGCTAAAATTCAAGCTTTCCAACAGAATACAAAATTCAGATCTGCTGTTTCTCAAAATGAAGCACACCCTCGTTAGCATGACACTTCAATCTGATCATGCGGTCTCTCTGATTAAAGCCTTCCACTGTTTATTTACTGTCTGCAATATTAAATCCAAACCTTCTAGCGTAAATGTATCTGACATGTAAACTCTTCAAAACCATTCTCTGGCTAAAATGTAATGGCCTTAACATAATATAAAATTCTTATTTTGTCATTCCTCAAGATAGAGATCACATTTTTTTAAAAGCATAGTATATAAATTAGCCTGGTATAAGAATTAGAGCCGTCGTCACGGTCATCATCACTACCACCACAGCAACATATACACAGCACACTGCGTAAATTAACTCATTTCCCTTCATTAAATTCCTCTGAGGTATGCATTAGCCCTGCAAAATTCCAAACCTCTAATATAAAATTCCGATTGAAATACAAAATTTAACTAAGTAATTCATCTGCAGACTCATCCATCAGGAGTAAAAAATCTCAGCATGTCTCTCACTTAAAACCCTTTATTGGTAAAAATTTAAATTTCTTACCAAGATGATTTAAAAACGAGATTATGCACCTTCTTAATATAAAGTCTACAGTCCTTAACATATTTACAAATTCAACCATGTGAATGATGGAATCCTTCAGTGTTCCTGTCTTCAACTCAAAATCTGATATCCTTGGCATGTTAGAAAAAGCTTGACTTCTTAACATTGAAGTTTAAACTGTTAGCAAGATGAATAAAGGTTATCTCATAATTTCTCTTTAAAACATACAAAAATTCATTTTTATTGCCTATAATGTAATGCTCCAACCACTTAGCATAAAATACAAATTTTCACCATGTCATTTACTTGCCAACTGATTGATATGAACCCCCAAATTTCATCAGGTCGCTCCTAGAACCCTGTATTAGCTTAATTCCAAACCTCTTAGCAGGATATAAAATTCTGACTGTGTCATTCTCAAAATAAAAAGGTCACACTTCCTTGCAAGATACACACATTTACTCTTACAACATCTGCTTAAAGCTTTATTCTATCTCTTAATTACCTATGACATAGGGTCTAATTATTTTTTAGCATAGAACAATACATTTTACCAGACAATTTCTCTGACTACTCTACCCAACACGAAATTTCATGTTACTCCCTTAAAATTTTCTTAATGGGCCAGGCATGGTGGCTCACATGGGCCTGGTGTGGTGGCTCACATGGGCCAGGCATGGTGGCTCACATGGGCCTGGTGTGGTGGCTCACAGCTGTACTCCCAGCACTTTGGGAGGCCAAGGCAGGTGGATCACTTGAGGTCAGGGGTTCTAGACCGGCCTAGCCAACATGGTGAAATCCTGTCTATTAAAAATACAAATATTTGCCAGGAGTGGTGGCTCATGCCTGTAATCGCAGCTACTTGGAGGCTGAGGCGAGACAATCATTTGCACCCGGGAGATTGCAGTGAACCGAGGTGGCGCCACTGCACTCCAGCCTGGCAACAGAGGGAGACTCCTCAAAAAAAAAAAAACAAACAAAACTTAATGGCTCAAATCCAAATTCCTTAGCATGGCATAAAAATGTGATCCTGTCATCCCTCAAAATAGTGTCCAGTCTTCTTAGCATACTATGTACATTTAAACATATAACTCCTCTTTTTAAAACCTGCTGTCTGTAAATGACCCAACTCCTCAGCATGGAGCCCTGCCTGGGTGCCCCGGTACCCAGGGGACGGACGCCTCTGCTGAGGAGTGGTCCGATGGTTATTCATTATCTGGTTCATCAAATCCAGACACCTTAACTTAAAATATGTTTACAATCCAGTATCTCTGGAGACAAAACTCTCATCAATTTACTCCTTAAAACTCTTTACTGGCTAACATCCAAATGCCTCTGTGTAAGAATTCAACAACGAGCTCATCCCCCACTCCAAATAGAACACTTGAATGCCTCCAGCTCTCACATAAAACCACATCTCCTTAGCATGTGGGAAAAATCTGATCAGATCATCTTTATCATAGAAATCCTGTCTTTTAGCTCTGCCAAAATGCAGGTGTTGGAGCCTGTAACTTCTCAACCGAAAACTTTTCAAAGTTTCTTCATTGCCTGTAGCATAAAGTCCCAAGTACTCATCACAAAGTGGAACAGTTTACCATGTAATTTTTCTTCAGTAGAGTCTATTAAAAATCCAAAATCTCATTCTGTTAATGCTTGAAGCCCTTTATTGGCTTAAATCCAAAGTTGTAAATATGATATAAAACTTTGATCATGCCATCCCTTAAAACAAAATTCACACTTCCTAGGACAATATATAACATTTGATCTTACAACTCATCTTTAAAATCTTAGTGTCTCTTAATTGTAAACGGAAGAAAAGTCAAAACTCTTAGCATAAAATATGCATTTTATTTCGTAATTTACTGCATATTATTTATCAAATGCAAAAAACTCACCAGGTCACTCTGCTAGAACGTTTTATTGGCGAAATCAAATTCCTAGGCATATGCAAAAGTCTAATCATGTTGGAGCCTCAAAATAAATTCCAAACTTCTTTTCATATTTGCAATATTGATCATGTAACTCCTCTGATTAAAATCTTTCAGCTTTGGTGTCAACATTAATCTCATGTCCTAGGCAAGCTCTACAGGTTGGAATTGGTACCCCCCCAAGATAGAAAGGCAGAAGGTTTGCGCATGACTGTTAAATTGGCGGCCGTGACTTTTGTTTTACGATTTCCAGTGTTTCCTTCTTGCTTGTAATATGAATCCCAGAGCCATTATCTGTGAAATATATTTTATCATGTTTTTCTGCACACTGATCTTCCACAAGCAAAAATCTCATCATCACATTTCTTAAAACCCTTTGGCAAAAATCCAGACTCCTTAGCATGATATAAAACTTCGATCCTGTCATCTCTCAAAGTCCAGATTTCTTCCCAGGAAACTCAAATCATGAAACTCTCGCTTAAAATCTCAACGGGTTTTCATCACTACAAAAAGCCTCACCATCTTAGCAAGGCACCCACTTTTAATCAAGGCAGTCCCAGCTTCAAACCTGTCAAATTCCATGTCTACTGCATCAAATCCAAATGCCTCAGCATGAAATGAAAATGAGACCAAGTATTTCTCACACTGAAAATCGTTAGATTGCTCTTCTTAAACCATAAAGCTTGAGTTCCTTTCGCACGAAACCAAAACTTTTTCACCATCTACAGTTTCCAGCTTCTATTTCCTGTTCCTCTTGCTTCCCTCTGAAAAGACTGAGTTTCCCATTTTCCAGCCTCCAAGCACATTTCGACTTTACTGTTCGAGGAGGTTCCTTCCTTTCTTTCTTTTAACCAAGTCCCTCTCACAGAATTCATTAATTCATACAGCAGCATGTCCTGATTCTTTTTCTGGGCCAGGCACAGTGTTGGATCCCCATGGAGGGAAATGGAGGCAGACCCACCTTGCAGATCATTACCTGGGAGGAGATGAGGCCCCGCCCTGGAGACGAATACCCTGATGGAGGTGAGTGGGGGCCTTGGAAGCAGGGCGAGGGCTTCCCTCCAGCCCTGCTGATCACTTGTCTCTCTGGGAGGTTTTGGGCATTGTTGGGGCCTGTCAGTCCTCCCAGTTTTGGCTTTAGGTGGGCACTACGGGCTTCCCATCTGGCTCCAACTGCCCACCAGCTGGCCTGCCAAAGCCTGGGCCCTGCCTCTTCTCTGGACTTTGCAGAAACCATATTCTCAGTCTTTCAAATGTGACTCAATTCGTGTTCTTCTCAAATCTCATGACAGTTTCTTTAAGAAATGTCTACTGATTTGGAAATTCCCACCTTATTTAAAATAAAAGCCCAGAATTTAGTGCACCTGGTTTGGGGTCAGAACTGCCTTTGAGGTCTTCGAGTGGGACCCTCTTCCCCCCAACACTCAGAGACAGACACCCCAGCCTCACCGCCGTTAGTGCCCAGCGCCTTGGTCGGGTCAGCTCCTTGCTTGCCTCTCAGCCAGTGGCCCATTGGGTCAGGGCTGCCAACGTGTGTCTATGAAGGGTTGGGTGTGGGGGGGGGTATGGGGGGGACAAATCCCTCAGCGAATACCTCTCTCTGTCAGCTCGCCTGTACAGTAAAGGAAATCTGATTTTAAAAATAGAGCTTGGAAGAGGAGATGAGAGGATATTTAGGAGCAGAGTTGAGCCTGGGGTGGGGGGCAGGGGTGGAAGAACTAGGGGAGAGGTGAGGACAGGGGAGAAGGGTGGGAGGCCGGGGGGCTATGGAGGAAGGTGAAGCTGGTGAGAATCGGGGAGGCTATGAGGATGGAATGGGGAATAAGGGAGATGTGGATTCTCTGGAATGCTGGCCATGCCCCCTCTCGTGGCCTCCAGAAATGAGCCCAGTCACACCTGGGGCGCCTGCCTGTCTGGGCTGCCAGGATGGGTGTCAGGCGAAGACCCCTGTCCATCTTGGCCTCCCTTAGGTGATGCTCAGAGCTCCTGCGGTTTGAGGGACATAGCTACGGGTCTTAGGGGTGAAGTGGCCTCAAAATGAATATCCCCCAGCAACTCCCTCTGCTACCTGGCCTGCCCTGGCCCCCTGTGGATGGAACGCGTAGCGTCATAGTGAGGGTGGGCAGGCAAGGACCCTGGGATGGTTTGTTATTATTGATTGATTGTTGTTATTTATTGATTTTGTTGAACTCATGTTAAGGTTAAGATGTGTCCATGGCAACGTGGGAGCCTTCCTGTTCATACCTGTTGCCTGGTATGAATAAGTGTCAAGGACAGGTCATTCCTCTGGTGCCACTTGCTAGGTGGGAGTGGGTGAGGAGGATGGTGAGATTCTTGGAGGCTTCCTGAGGTCCTCATGAGGAGCTTGGGTTGGGTCCTGGGGGACCTAGTGGACTGTGGAGTCTGCAGGGGCAGCAGCCTGGCATAGCTCATGTTAGAGTCCCTACCCCCGGGGACCCTTCAACCCTGCACACTCCTGCCTTGTGGCTAAAGACGACATGAGCCTTATGGGGTGGGAGGGCAGATGCCACTGGCATCTCGGCTCAGGGCAGCCCAGATTCGGACACTCCCCCTCTACCCCTATGGTCTGAACTGAAGTGCTTGAATGCCAGGCCCCATGGGCCTTGAACATCATTGCGGTGATGGGGAAACTGAGTCTTTGGAAGGAGGAATAGGGAGTTACAGTAGAACTAGGATGTCCCCAGGGCATCTCTAAATCCCAGACCACCCAGCAGGGTGGGGTCTTCTGCAGAGGGACCCCCAGCCCCTCACCTTCCTAAGCCATCGAGGTGACAGGCAGTGCCCGGGCCCCACAGTGCTCTTGCACTGTGTCCCTGCCCCCTCCATGCTTGACTGGCAGCTCCAGGGGCAGCTGGATCACTCTGCCCAGAATAACCCTGGGAAGGGGACTGTGCCGCCTGTGGGAGGGGCTGTGTGAGGGGTCACGGTGAGCTTGTCCTTGTCTTGCCCAAATCAGTGGGGCCAATCAGCTGCTCCTTAGCCTGATCTTGCCTTTCAAGGCAAGTGGGCAGGGACAGGCCTGCACCAGCTTCCTAGTCTAGACGGGCATCGACTGTCAGCGTGAGCTTCCTCTCCCAGGTCCTCAGTTTCCCCATGTCTGCAGGGAGGGTTTGGGTGGTGGTCTTCTCACTGTGCTCCTGTAGCTCTGGGGTTCCTTAGAGGTGCCTGTGGGGGACCGCTGGGAAACAGTAATGAGGGGAGATGGCTGGCCCAATCGGTGGAGCTCAGGGACATGCATTCCTGCCTCAGTTCTACCAGCTGCTCCTCTAAATTGGGGTCATTGTATTATTTCATTTAAACAGAGGTTGCCATATCCGAGCAATGGTTGAAAGCACAGACTGTGGTCTCTTCTGATGCTTGTCTTGATAGGGGTCTAAGAGTGGAATGCGCTCATCTCGGGTGGGCCCTCTACTCTCCCAGGAGGCTGTAGGCCTAGGAGTGAGGCTGCTCTTAGAGCGGGAGGGTGGAGGCTGCAAGGCAAACAAGGAGGGCCCCGCTGTGGGGCCTGGTGGAACGAAGCAGGAGGCAGATGAGATGCCGGCTCACCTCACAGAGCCTCGGTTTCCCGACTCACAGAGAGGAGCACCTCCTTTGGAGGGAAGATGGGCATGTTAAGCCCTTTGTAAACCGTAAATGCCGTAAGTCAGGGATTGCCGCTGGCGTTAGGGTTCTTCTCATTACTTACAGAACACCCGCTGTAATTGTAATGGTCAAGATTTGGACAGCATTTCATGCACGGTGTCAACTTAAATCTTCCCATTAATCCCACGAGGGGACGATGCCCTGCTTCCAGAGTGAGCAAAGCAGAGTCCCGGGGTGAAGCGACTCCTCTGGAGCCGTAATTATCAGCAACAACAGTGCTCGGACCCAGGCCATGGACACCCCCCCCCGGCAGGGGAGGCTGGTGGCTGGAGTTGGTGAGAGGTATGTGCAGAGATGGAATGTGACCCCGGTGGGCCGATTACATGTATTTATTAAGTACATCCTAGTGAGTCTCTGAGTGTCTGCTCCGTGTCAGGCATGGTTCTAGCCACTCACCCCTGAAACTGACTTCGCTCCTTATGGGTTGGGGGATGTGCCGCTGTCTTACAGAGTTAACTGGGATTCGGATGGCAAGGTGCTGGCACAAGGCCCCAGAGAAACAGAGGCAGGGTTTAAAGCCAGGTTTCTCGTCTCTCGCCTAGTAGACGGTGAGGGCAGGCACAGATACCCAGAGTGCGGTTGGCAGTTGCCATCTGGGGACCTGTTGGGCCAGAGATGCCGGCTTCATTCCATGGCATTGATACGGCCAGCCTCGTGGTCTGAGAGGTGTCCACACCACAAGAGTGGGGGTCTCAGTGTCTGCCTCCATCTACCCCAGAGGTGCGTGCTGTCACTCCCAACTCATTCTGGCTTATTTGGTGTTGGAGGAGGGAGAGGACAGCTGGCCCAGGACAGCTGCTGAAGTGTGTGAATCGAGGCCTTGAGTGCCCACCACCGTGTCATGGTTTTTTCTTACAGACAAATGAATCCTTTAACCCTTCTCCTGAGCGCCAGCCCATCCCGTCACTGCCCCCGCTCCCCTGCCCACCCGCCCACGCTTTGGGGGTGGTCGACATGGGACCTCCGCCCCACATCTTACCTTGGCTGCAGGCGCTCAAGTGGATCTTCTCCGGTCCTGTGTGGCTTGAACCTCGCTGCTTTCTGAAAAGTTATTGAATACATTTGTTTCTTTAATTACGAAAGTCCAGTCTTTTGACATGCATACATTTTCCACAGTGGCAGCCACAGTGCACACACAGCCTTCCAACCTGCTCTGCTTGCCTGCCTCTCTGTCGTGAGCTTCTTTTTTCCACGTGGCTACCTTGGGGACCCCCGTGATGTTTCCTGAGTGCTTACTATATGCCAAGGGCTCCTCGCAGCGTTTTACAGGTTTTCACTCATTCAGTCCTTCTGAGAAGCTGTGAGGGCCCTCCTTTCATGGTCCCCATTTTTCAGAAGAGGAATCCAAGGCCCTGGGTCATACATCCACCCACCTGGGCCCACACTCGCTGAGGCAAGGCCTCAGTCCAGCCAGAGCATCAGTTCTCTGGTGTCCTCACTGGCCTTGGCCCTGCAGCTTGCTTCTCAGCTCCTGGAAGCCTCCTGCTCTTGATGGATAACCATTTTGCTCTCTAGCAAATGGATGGAAATATTTCTGTGAGTCTGGCTTGGTGGGGTGGCTCATGTCTGTAATCCCAGCATGTTGGGAGGCCGAGGTGGGCAGATCATTTGAGTTTGAGACCAGCCTGGCTTATAGGGTAAAACTCTATCTCTACTAAAAATACAAGAATTAGCCAGGCATGGTGGCATGTGCCTGTAATCCCAGCTACTCGGGAGGCTAGGGTAGGAGAATTGCTTGAATCTGAGAGATGGAGCCTTCAGTGAGCTGAGATTTTGCCACTGAACTCCAGCCTGGCCAACAGAATGAAACTCCATCTCAAAGAAAAAAAGGTTTCTGTGAGTCTGGGCCCAGGTTGTGCTGGACGCTGAGTAAATCTCTCAGCTGCCTGAGCTGTAACTCCTTACCCTGACCCCGCCACCTGCATGGGCCATTCTAAGAGGCTGTGTCCCAGGGTGGTCGTCCCTTCCCACTGATCGTCCCAACCCCGGGGGTTTTTGTCCTGCTCCCTCATAGTAATCTGCAGTGGTGACTCCTTTGTCTCATCCTCCCTTGGCACACAGTAGGGCTGCTGGCAGCAGATGAGGCCTGGGACAAGGACTCAGAGAATCAGGATGCTCTTTGGCCATGACACTAAATGACCAGTTTCTCTTCTTGCCCTCCCAGGTGGTGTGAAGGGGAGATGGCTGCCTTCTCCTGGGAAGGGAGCAGATGCTTGGCCCAGGACCAAATCAGAAGGTCTGAAAAATGATATTTCTTTTCCTAATGTGTAAATTTACACAAATAGCAAATTTGTAGATTCCTTAGAATGGAACTAACTGGAGCCCTTCATTCTGCAGCTGAGGCTCACTGCCCCCAGTGGGCAGTGGGTCAGGGTGTTTCTGAGGCCAGGTCGTGGCCCAGCCCTGCTGCCCCCAGGATGGCCCCTGGCTTGGAGGGGTGTGGGGCCCTGTTAGTCTGACATTGAAGAAGACCAGCCTTCCAGTCTCGCTTGGTGGCCTGCCAGGTATGTGTGCTCTTTTCTCTTCCACCCAACATCCCCTTTTGGTAGGCGGGGTCTGAGAGGAGTTGGGGGTCATATAACCTTAACGTAGTATATTATCCCAAAATCCAATACCCCTGTTACTCTTGTCTGTCTGCTATGTGAAACCAAGGGCAGTGTTAAAGTTTATCACCATGATATACAGATGTGTGTGGGGACATCTGGGATGGGCTCAGGGGTCCACCTGGGGGTCAGAGAGGGCAGACTCTGCTTAGCAAAGATGGATGACTGCGGACGTGTGGCTGTAAATCATCCTCCGCCTCTCACAGAGGGTGGGGATGGGAACTTTCAAGAGTTGCCTGGATTGATACCTTAAAGGAAATAAAATATCAAATGCTTGGCACATAGCAATGCTCAACACAAGCAGAAAAGGCACTTAATTTAGGTGGGTCTGCCCCTAAATGGCCCTTTTGCAAGCCCTTCTCGTTTTTTGGAATCCAAAGGGAAGATGAGGGGAACGGGGTCAGGGCAGAGGGGCAGGGCGCCGTTAGGCTGCACGGGGCCTATTCTCGAGGCAGCAGCACGTCTTTCATGGGCACTGCCTGGGTTTCTGTAGGCTTTGAGAGGAATGGAGTATGGGATGCAGGTAACCTCAGTCTGGGCACTGCATTTTTGTTTACCTACCATTAAAATATTTTGTGTTTTCCGGGCGCGGTGGCTCACACCTGTAATCCCAGCACTTTGGGAGGCTGAGGCGGGTGGATCACGAGGTCAAAAGATCGAGACCATCCTGGTCAACATGGTGAAACCCTGTCTCTACTAAAAATACAAAAAATTAGCTGGGCATGGTGGTGCGTGCCTGTAATCCCAGCTGCTCGGGAGGCTGAGGCAGGAGAATTGCCTGAGCCCAGGAGGTGGAGGTTGCGGTGAGCCGAGATTGCACCATTGCACTCCAGCCTGGGTAACAAGAGCGAAACTCCGTCTCAAAAAAAAAAAAAAAAAGATACAAAAAATTAACTGGGTGTGATGGCACCCACCTGTAGTCCCAGCTACTTGGGAAGCTGAGACGGGAATCGCTTGAACCCAGGAGGTGGAAGTTGCAGTGAGCTGAGATCGTGCCACTGCACTCTAGCCTGGGTGACAGAGAGAGACTTTGTCTCAAAAAAAAAAAAAATTTTTTTTTTTTTTTTTAATATTTGCAAAACCATGACAATCACCCCAAGGTTTTCACAGGAACCAAACCCAGTCCAGAATAAAATAGCGGAGCCTCGAGTGCAGGAAAGGCGATTGAGAGCGAGGCCCGGCGGGCGAGGGCTGGTTAACCTGTCTCACATTTCTTCCGCACAAAGTCATGGTTGAAAGTAGGACTCTGCCTGGCAGAGGAGAAAGAAGTTCTGGAAGGCCCCTGTCTGCATTAGCTCCGTGAGAAGGGAGACATTGAACTCATGAACCAATAAGTGGTCTGTGCAGATGGAGACAGAATGAGCAGGATGGGGAGCCGACTGATCGGGGTAAAGGCGGCTGAGTTTTGCGTTCTTGGTATCTCACAGCCTCAGTGCCTCCCTATGTAGGCAGAGTATGCTTGTCACATCCTTGTCGAATGTGTAACTCGTACCTGTTTGAGGATTCTGAGAGCCTGTGACAGCTGCAGGGGACCTGAAGCTTAGTGTGCAAGCAGGAGTGGGGGACGGTGGGGGGTTCTGACTGGGAGCCAGGGTGCCTCCTCCAGACATGGGGGTGGGCAAGGGTGGGCAAGGTTGCTTCCGGTTTCCCTGGAGCTGGAAGGTTAGAAACGGCAGTGCCGTTTAGCCACAGTCCCTGTGGGTTAGAGTCAGGAGGAAACATGGTAGTCGTGTGTTTTGCACAGGAATCAAGCTGTCAGGGGTGCAGGGAGGCCCTAAGCTCTGTGCCAGCAAGCGTACTTGGCTGTGAACGCGAGCCGCCGGCCGCAGCTCTCCAGAGCTCCTCGTCCCCACGCCCGGCCCCATCTCATGTCACATTCCCCCGAGGTCTCATTCCACTCGGCTAATCTCCAAGAACTCCGGCCAGGGCATTGGCTTTCGGGTCCTCTTAAAGACCGAAGAGGAGAGCGCTCCCCTGTGGGTGCCAGGCAGCTTGGGAGGGATTTGGGGCCGTAGGTGGTGAAATCACAGCCCCAGGCACACACCTGCTGGCCCCATGTCACTGACAGTCTGCTCAGAGGCTCAGGGCTCCAGTTAGAGCACATGAATATTTTTTTAAAAAGATACTTGAGATAAAATAAATCCCCTGTGTGCTGCAGAACTCGCTCTGGGCACATGTACCCACTACCATCCGTCAGCAACCACACTCTTTGCTTTGTATTTGTAAAAACAAACAAAAACAGCCCACAAGTGAACAAACAACCCCCCACACAAAATGCTCATTCTAGTTATGCAAGGAATGCATTGATAATTAACACACTCACCGGTAAAACTCAGACACCTCAGATAAGGCTGACCTAAGGCTTCCCTCGGCCCCTCCCCAGCACCCCCAGCAAATTAACTGCTCTTCTCAGTCTCAGGTGTCTGCTTCCAGATATTTTCTCTGTGCATTTGCATATGTGGATGCATATACCTCTAAAATCTATTACTTTGTTTATTTTTTACATAAACTCTATCATAGCGTATATTTCCTCTCCAAGCAGCTTGTGTTTCTTCCTTCATGAATCTGCTTAGACATAATAAAGATCACTATTCCTTCTAACAGCACCCCAGTGTCCTTACTGCTGGCATAAAAGCCTCAGGTCCTTTTCCCCAGTGGGGGGGCAACTTGTGGAGGCAGGTGTAAGTAATTTCCGAGATTTGGGTTTGGGGAGTGGGCTCATGAGGGTGTATGACATTATGGCAGATGAATACATGATACAGTGCATACATTAGCAAAATCAAAGGGGGCCTTTCTGGACCAATGATGAGACAGTGTTTATGAACAAAGCATAATGATTAATCCAGTTTTACACAAAACACTGAGGTCCATTAGAAGACAATAGGTCTCGGCTGTTCATTCTTTTTAAGAGCTGTTTAATATTCCATGGTATGTATACAGCATTGTTGATTTCACCCTCTTCTGCTGTTGAAAATCCCAGCTGAAAGTGCTCCGGGGGAGGAGAATGAGCAGATAGAAGCTTCGGTCACGGTCTGAGCCGTCAGAGTGGGTCACCGATTCGTAGGTGTTCATTAAGGCATTTGTTTAGAAAAGAATACATGAAATAAAAATGGTCTTTATGCAGATCAGTGAGGGAGCGTGTCACAAATTGAGGTTTTAATTAATACGATTCTGCTCGACTGATGCCTGACAAAAGGGATCTAAGCTGTTCCCACTGTTGTTGCTGCCGGTGGCACTGCTGTGAGCATGCTTGCAGCTAAACCTGTAAACACGTCCTCCACTGTTCCTTCTCCCCGGCTTCTTAGCGATGGTGTGGTGGGTTAAAATTGTTTGCAAAAGTTTATTTTCATGGAGTGATCTTTCTACAACGGCATTCTGACCTTGTTCCTGTCTTGCTTTGGAGCCTCCATCTGACTTCCCGGAGTTCCCAGGATGGAGTCCAAAAAATAAGGCCTGATCCTGGCATGGAAGACCCTGTAGGGTCTGGCTTGGAACTCGCCAGCCTCAGCCCCTGCCCACTCCCGTTCCCTCTAGGTGCACCTCGCCTCCACAGAGCTACCTGCTCCTCTCAGGCTCCCTTGCTTCTTACGCTTCACGCGGTCATGCCTTTTTAGGCAGCTTCTTCAAGCCTTAAAGAGCAGGCTTGAAGTATTCCTGTCGGGGAGCCCAAAGTTACCTGTGGCCCCAAAACACCATGTTCAAAAGCACAGCAAAGCCCTGTCCCTGGAATTGGGATGCCTCATTGACATGTTCTTCCCAGTTAAAGGGAATGTTTTGCATTTTTCTAGAATTGATGAAAATTTAATCACCCCTTCCTTTGTCCCTTTCTAGAAGCCCTGGGCACCCCAGTGTTGCCTGGATCTGACTCTGCCTCCGTGAAAACTGCCTCGAATTCTCTCTTGCACCGAGATGGGCAGATGGGCAGTGTCCGAGGAGCATGTGGTCTGCCCTGTGGCGCGGGGTAAGTCTGCAGTGAGGTGGGGCCCAGGCTGGCATCCCCCCACTGCCTCAGCCTGCTCCATGCCAGCTTCCCCTGCCTGCTGTGTGCAGGGCCCCAGAACCCAGGGTTGTGGGGTCCACGGGCAGGAGTTGCATCTCAGTGTTGTGAGTTCTGAGGATGACGTTTGGGCTTGATTACAGCTGGGAAATGGCTGATTGCCATTATGGCTCCTCCTTGCCAGGGGTCTGGACCCAGAACAGGAGAAGGACATGTGATGACTAGAGTAACGGTGAGGGCTCTGGGGTAAGACAGGGCTGAGAGGGAGCGTGTGGACCTCTGGGACAGAGTCATAATTCCAGAAAGAGCACAGGCTTTGAGGGAGAGGGGCTATGAAGCCAAGGCAGCATCCCCGTTGGGAGCTTGTCAGGAGTAGCAGGAGCCACTGTCAGTGTTCTGGGCTTTTGGTCCCTTTTTTTCTCTCCCAGGGGAGGGGAGAAGAGGCATTGCAGGGAGCGAGCCACCCTGAGCACAGACCCAGCTACGAACAGACATTGGGTTGCTTGTCCTTGGCAAATCCCCAAGTGTTTCTGTGCCTTGGTTTCCTGATATTTAAAAAAAAAAAGACTCATAATCTCTCTCTCACAGGGCTATTGAGATCTCAATGAGGAAATAGCGCAAATAAATCATCCAGCAGGGTAGCCAACACACAGTACCCGGCAAAACTCGGTGGCTCTCTGCATGTTATCACGTCACAAAATGCTTAACCCCTCCTGGAGACAGGCAGCCGCTCCCTTTCAGGGCAGGGAGACCCAACAGAGGAAAACAAAAGCTCCAGAGAGAACGCCAGGGGGAAATAAAAGCTGGTGCTTCACCCCCTCCCAGACACCTTCCCAGGGAAACAAACATGTACCTTCCCCAACACCTGGGGGCCAGGGAAGGGGTATCCCACCGCTTTTCATTCGGCTTTCCCAAAAAGTTTGGGGAGAGTTTATTTTTACGTAAATAGCATAAAAAAGTCAGAGTCCTCCTTGGGCAGACTTTCCGAGCCTCATATTTTATGGACTTTGGCAAGGATCGCTCGGAAGGAACAGTGGTTACAGTCTCCAGAGGCTCATAATTCCTGGAAGAACTTCTGCTTAAACCTGACTTCTCCTAAACTTCACAGAAAATTCTCCCTGGGCTGGGCTCAGCCTAAATGAGCTTTTTGTGCATTGGTCCAGCCTCACCTAGTGGGAGTATGACTTGCACGTTGTCTTTACACAAAAGCGAACCTCCTCGGCCACTGTGCACAAAGGCGCCACTCTCCGAAACGTTTGATTTATTTACTTGGGAGCGTGAGCCTGGTCAGGCACGTCTGACACGGGGGATACTTCTCTGTGGCTCTGTGTACGGCTGCCCAGGTCTCTGCAGTTTCTTCCTGCGCTTCAGGCAGAAACCCATGCCCTGACTTCCTCCAGCACAGGGCAAGGGACCCAGAGCAGAAAGTGGGGTAGGGACACTGTCCCCTCCCTGGCCGGCAAGGGCTAAAGAGCTTGCTACCCCATGGCGGTTGCCTCTAATAGGGATTTGGGTGGGTGGCTTTTCATATCTATGCCAAAGCTCTTCAGAACCATTTCTGCACCACCAGCTATCCTGAACCAGAAATCCCTGTTCACAGAATTTCCCAGGTGGGTGCCTCTCATTCTGCACACCCTCCCCCATTTATGTAAACGTCACTCTCCCAAACATTTTCACATCTGCAGCTTCAGATTGACCCTTTCATAGGTTAAAACAGCAGCACCAATAAAACCAACATAAACGGAGGCTCTGAGAAACAGTTTTTCCTCAAGGGCTTGCAGTGCCCAACCGAGCTGCCAGGGCCGTCTGTCTGTCTGTTCCCAGGAAGGCAAACCAGCCTGCACGCTCCACCAGCAACGCGATGCTGCCCCCCCACGGCGGGTTGGGGCAGCTGTGGTGACCCCAGGGCTGATAGATTGGGTTGTCAGGAGCGGGACAATGAGGCGGCAGTGAGGAAGGGCTCCATCCTTTAATGACTCTGCCCTCCCTGAAATTTTTCTGCCCCACAGAGGTGCATCTCTGCTCCTGGGGACCCTGGGCATTTTACAGACAAGGAGCCCTGGCTGGCCTCACAGCCATCCTCCGTATGCTCACATACACACACGCACATAGGCACACACACATAGCTGAGTGCCTGTGCTGGGAACAAAGGCAAAAAAAACTCCTTTAGAAACTGCAGAACAGAGGCTTGTCTAGCAGAGGTCCCCTGATAAAGGCTCTGTCCACCCACAGTTCCTGGGAACTGAACCCCTGTGAATGGGCCAGAAAAGGTAGCTCCTGACCACAGTGTGGGCTGCATTCATCAGCAGGCAGGCCCCCCAGCCCTGCTGCTGTGTGAGGAGCTTTCACGAGTCCCCAGAACATGCAAGTCACAGTCTGGCAGCTGGTTGCCTGTGTGGCTGCTGTTCAGCCTCCAGAAAAGGGCCCCTCAAACTGCCAGACTCCCTCCCTCTACTCATTCCATCACTCTGCCAGCCTGTTGTCCCAGAGGGGACAGAGGCCAGCTCTGTGGGCCCAGGAGCCAGGGAAGGTGCTTGGCCACTCTAGGTGCCCTGGCCCTCGAGAGGGGAGTTGGCTGCAGGACAGTCCCCATCTCCCCCCACCAGCTCTGGGCACTCACCCCCATTCTCTGCTCTTCTCCCCCATTGCCTCAATGGGACAGAGCCACCCCGCCAACCATCTCTGTGCCTTTGCCATTTAGCCCAGGGCAAGCTACTTGGGAGAGGCTGCACAGCCTTGCACTGACCCCTACCTGGTCCCCTTTGGCCACCTCGCTCACTCGCCCGCTCGCCTGCCCGAGAGTTGGTGCTACGGGAGCTTCTTAAAGGCCTAAACGTGGGCTGCCAGCCCGGGCAGGAAGCCATGCTGCAGCCTCCTTGGCCGTGCACCGGCCTGCCTGTCTCGGCTCGGATGCCTCCTGTAACAGGGAGCTCCCTCTTCCCCCAAGCAGCCTGCTCAGGGCTCGCATACGGAGCTGCTTTGCCGAGCCCTCCCCTGCCTTTTGCATCTGACTTCTTGACTGTGCAGCAGTCCCCTAGCCCTCTCTGCCCTCCGATCTCTGCAGGCTGCAGGCTCCCTCTCTTTTCAGTCCTCTCCTTTCTGTGCTGAATGGCAAAACCCCCCACCAATGGTGGAAATAGGTTTGGGGGCCTCTGGACCTGTGCTAACACCTCTGCCTCTGCTCCTCTAGACCTGGGACAGAGCTCTTTGCCCTGCTGTTCTGCAAGAAGCCCAGGGGAGGGCGCGGTGCTCCCCTCCTGTGGCCAGCTACTCCATGTCTATCTGTTCAGCAGCTTCTGAGCCCTCTCGGGTTGTTGTATGGCCCCTTTTCCAGTTGCCAGGGAGAACGCTCTCTATGCAGCCCCCTGCCTTTCCTGCAGGAGCAGCTGGACTCCCGGCTAGCCTGGTCAGCCCTGTAGCAGAAGCAGGAGCAGCAGCAGGCAGGGCTAGGGTCCCCTGAGCCCAACAGACCGACTTGACTCCCTGCTCTCTAGCTGCCAGACAATTCCCTTTACTTTTCAGAGTCTCAGCTTTTCCCCTGTGAAATGGAGATGAGAGTTTCTCTGTCACCGGCTTGAAGTGAGGACTAAATGAGATAAGTGAGCCTTGCACACATCAGACACTTCATCAGTGCTTGTGCAGTAGACGGTGGGACCCAGGGGGAGCGAGGTATGTAACAAGTGTCGCAAGAGAGAAAACAGCCTGGCCTTTCAATACCCTGCTCCGAATACAGACGGGGACCTCTCCTGGCAGAGTCCCCTCTGCTGGCTTAATCGCACAAATCAAGTCAGCCGGAGGCAGCCCCTGGCCTAAGGAACTCACAGAAGATGCAGCAGGCGGCAGAAATGACAGGCAGAGCACACATCTGCATTTAATAGACCGAGAATTTGCATTGTATCTAACAGCATGAGGGGTAAAGCATGAAGGCATAAAGGAACATTTTTCCCAGCAGCTTCCTTGAAGGGCCAGTTTAGACAGGGAGGGGTCTGGGGAAGAGAAACCCAGCGGGGTCCAGGCATCCCGTAGACTATGGAATAGACATCCATCCACACACTCATCCCCCAAGCCACCGCAGTGTGCCTACCTTCCCCGGGCCCAGTCCCGAGCGTGAGGCTGGGATGAAGTGATGCCGGTGGCTTCCTGTCCTTGAAGCTCAGTCGGTCTGGTGGGGGAAAGAAACAGGGACTAAGTCGAGGCGACCAAGAGGGGATGAAGGCGTGGAGATTTACGGAGCCCCATCTTGGAACCAAGTCCAGAACTGGGTTGTCTGAAAAGAACTCACTAGGGCAATAACCCTGCACACTGGTCTCATGGGCTCCATTACATTGATGAGGAAACTGAGGCACAGAAAGGCAAAGTCCTATACTCACCGTCTCTCAGCTGGTCTGAGGCCGGGCCAGGATGGAACCCCAGATTCTCCGAGGCTCCCCACCACACCCTGCTGCTGAAGGCTGCTCAGCGAGCCTGTGCCGAGTGCTGGGGGGGTGTGGGTGGGCAGGGGACGGATTGATTAGTTATAAGCACCTCCCAGCGGTGCTTGAGATCCCAGCTCCTCTGTGGCCCAATCCGTTTGAAGGGCAGATTCAAAATTAGGTGGTAGCACCTATGGGCAGAGGCTTATGAAAATGGCATTATTAACCTGATGTGGAGAGGGCCCTGCCTGTCTGCAAGTAGATTGCAGATAGAGACAGAGGGGGCTGGGCTTGTTTGTGTGGACAGTGAGTTAGAGAGGACGCAGAACATCCAGGGGCCCTCCGGGGCTTCCGGACAGGGAGAACCAGATCTGGAGGGGCTGGGGCTGGGCAAGTGGGAGAGGGAAGAGGGGGCACAGCTTAAGGGTGCCCCAGCACCTCAGGGAAATGCCCCAGGCTGGACTTGGAGGAGGCTCTGCAGCCTTGAGTCTGACACAGACAGGGACTATGGCCCTCCCCGCACCTCGGTTTCCCATTTGGGAGATAAGAGATGGAAACCAAACACCATTTCGAGAAAAGCCCCCGTTCCCACCACCTTCCCGGCCCCCCTCTTCCCCCACCACCACGATCGCGGTTGCCAGACACCTGTCTGCTTGTCAGAGCAATATTCAACAGGAGAGTTCCTTCCGTTCCTTCCTGGAGGGAGAAGGGAGAGGTGTGGACGGGGAAAGGGGAGGGGAGAGGTGCCCCCCCACTCAGAGAGGCCGCTGAGCGGAGTTCTGCATGGGTAGGAGTTGGGCCACCGAAGATTTGTGCCAACTCACGGTGCGGTGGAATCAGACAGTCTGAATTCTTCAGACACCAGCCAGGCGTCTGTGGCGCCCCCACGTGCCACAAGGGGGCTGCCTGGGCCACATTTTTGAGTCCGAAAAGTGAGGAGGGGGACAGGCAAGAGGGGCCGGCGCTTTTGCTCAGGCAGCGGCGCTTTTAACTGCGACAGATGCGTGCGGTCCAGGGGAGCCGGGGAGCCGGGGAGCCGGGGAGCCCGGGCCCGGGTTGGGGGCCGGGGGCTGCCGGGCGGCGGTGGTCGCGGCGGGGGGCGGGGGCTGCAGGGCGCGCCCCTCCCTCACGGGCGGCTGCGCTGCAATGCAGCAGCCGGAGAGGTCCTGTCCGGTGTCTTTCCAAAGTGGGGAATGAGACGAGGGAGGGAGGGAGCGCTGGCTTCCAGGCGCTGCGTGGTGGCCGGGCGCCCAGGAAGCCGAGGGGCCAGAAAGAGAAGAGTGGGGGAGGAGGCAGGGCGTGGCGGCTGGACCAAGGGGCAGAGGGAGGTGGGTGTGGATCCGGGGTCGGCGCTTGTCAGCTTGCACCCACGAAGGACGGAAAGGAGGGCTCGCTCCAGAGATACGGGGAAGAGTGGGGCCGAGCACAGCCAGAGCGGCTTGGCACACAGTTTTAGGGCAAAAGCATCAACTCCTATCTTTCAAAAAAATAAAAATAAAAATAAAAAAAGTAAAAGCCAGAAGAAAGACAAAGAAAAAAACAAAAAAGAAAGCATTTGAGAAAGCTAGACAGCTGAATCCTTCCCGGCATGACTGAGCCGGCCACCCGAGTCTTCCTTCAAAGCTTGTCTAATGGGACACTGCGTTGTCCCAGTAACCAAAGTGGGACCAGGGTCCCAGGGAAGGGCGACTCAGGCACCGCTCTGCCTTGAAGAGAGGTACCCTCAGGCCCTTTTCCAGCCAGGGAGGGGTCTTGGGGTCAGGGAGGGAACTGGAGGGCTTGGGGAGGTGGGCTGGGAGTGAGGGTGGCGTGAGGAGCACTGGGTGGGGGGTTCAGGGCTCTCTGGGCTTCTGCAGCACTCTGCACCCTGGTACATGGTCCTCAGTCCACTGAACGTGGAATGATTCTCTTCTCTCTGGATGCAGCCCCTCTAGTTCCCTTTTCACTTTGAGGGATTTGCCTCTGTGAATCAGTTCCTACTACCCGGCAAGATTTCTCTCCTACCCCAGGCCCCTTTGCTCTTGTGACTGGCACCCTCCACCCCCAGCCCTTTATCTCCCGCACTGTATGTTCACTTGTTGATTTAGAACTCCCTTTATTATAGGAAATTTCAAACAACACAAAAGTGGAGACGATAGTGCATATTCTTACACAGTTCGCTCAGTGCTCATATTGTCATCACCCAGAAACAGTGTTCATCAAACCCTGGCCCCTCTTGTTTCATCTAAACCCTAAACTCTGCCTCTGCTCCCACGCCTCAACTCCTACCCCTGGACTACTTCCAAGTAAATTTCAGACACCATATTGTTTCCTCTGAGCATTTTTTGTTTATATTTATAAATAAGAAATTTTCTTTCTTAAAAATATAACCACAATACCATTATCACAGATAAAAAATCAGTAGCATTTCCATAACACCGTCCGGCAAACACTCTCGATCGACTCCTACATTTCTTTTACAGTTGGCTTGGTCAAGTCAGTGTTGAAAGGATCTCCTGCTCTTTCAAGGGGATCTGGGGCTCTCAAAGGTAAGTAGGGACACAAATTTAGGGATTGAATATCTGCCTGGACCTTAAATGAGAAACCCAATCTCAGCAAACCTCAGTGTTTTCACTGCAAAATGGGGTAAATTCTGGGTCTCTGCTTGGGTCCTCGGGAGGGTTAGAACATTAACCCCTGAAGCCCCCAGCCTCACGTCTAATACGTTAGAGACACTCAGCAAACAGTAGCTGCTAGAGTAGTTCTTTTTCCCAGAAATCTTTAAAGGGGAGTTGGGCAGGGGCAGGAGGCATAACACAGCTGGCTATCGTCCATAAAACAAAGGTCCTGGCAGCCCAGGCTCCCTGAGTGATTAAAACAGCACTCCCACCCATCCCAAAAAGGGCAGCCTAGAGTGGGGGGCGTCTGGGTTCGCTTGGACCTCCTGGCTCACCGTTCAGCTGCCTGACCTCAGCAGTTGTGACCTGGGACCAACAGGGGACCCCGGCAGGTGCCTATCCACTAGATGGCACTCTCTACTCTGAGTCTGTGGGGGACCACCACCCCAAACCACCTTGACCACTGCCCAGCCCTGGGTGCCGCCAGAGAAACCACTGAAACATCGCAGATAATTTCTAAAAAGCACTTCTCAACATGTCATGCAAGATGTGGTGGCCTTTTTTTCCTTGCATAATTCCCAGCCAGATTGCAGAAGCAGAGGGAATGAACATTTAATGACTTTGCTGAGGCCAGACACGGGTATGTGTCCACTCTCTTTAAATCCTCACCCTGGCAACATCTGATTTCCCTTTATTTTACAGACTAGAGGACTTTGAGAGGTTCGTAACTTGCCCAAAGTCGGCTGGGAAGCAAGACTCAGGATTCCAACTCAGGTCTGTGTGATTTCTCTGCAAAATGGAGAGGTGGAAGGATGGATGTGAGGTCTGGTGGAGGGAGGATGACTGCATCCAGATACATGCATAGATGGAGAGATGGCTGGCTACCTGATGGAAGCTGGTAAGACGGATGAGTGGACTGAAGCACAGGTGGTGGAAGGAGAGAGGAATGAGAGAGAATAGTCAATTTCTCACCAAGATCAAAGGCTTACTTATCTTCGAAGAGAGGTTCCCTCTGAGTGGAGCTTGCTGGTGAAGCTCCTGCCTTCTGTTCTGCCTCTGAGCACACTGGCTGGCTCAGGTGGCTGTGGGACAACAGGTGGGATGGCAGCTTACAGGGATCAAGTCCCAGCCGTGGTGCTCCGTGAGCTGCTCAGTGGCAACTCCCTGTCTCTGCTGTTTTTACGCAGCGCTGAGGAAGAGCAGGCATCTGCCTTTCCACTTGCTCTCCTGGATGACTAAGCCCTAAGCCCCAACCGCATGCACAGCCCTTCATTGGCACTTGGCATAATTTTATCTCCTCTAAATCATCACAGCCAGCCTCCATGATAGCAATTTCCATTCTTAATTAAGCAAAAGGAAACCAGAGTTTAGGAGTGGTAAGTGACTTACCCCAAATCAGAGGGAGCCAGTGCAGACCCAGGATTTGAACTCTAGTCTTCTTTCCTTCCAAACTTATCCCCTCAACCTGTTTATTTCCTTTTCTTTGACCATGTCTGAAAAGCTCCGCATGCCTTGGGGTTCACTCATGTTGGACTCACTCTCTTGCTCTGTCAGTTAACTGAACTTCTCATCCAATCAAATCCAAGTTTATTTCCCACGTAATATCTCTAGTGTGTTGTATTTGTAATGATCACACAAAGGCCACACATATCACTGCAGTACACTTAATCAAGTCAAATTAGATTCCTGGCATCTCGTATTCTGACTGAATGCTAATGGTAGCGTTTGTAAAAGTGACCCCTGTGCCAGACGAGGAGGGTGAGGACGGGACGGAGGTCTGAGTGGCAATCAGGGAGCCTCGCTGCACATCTGGCTTAATGTTAGCACACGGGTTTTGAGAACCTATTCAGAATGTGTGGGCCCTGCCTCACACATTCCAGGTGCTAAGGTTTCGAACTCAGCTGCGCCTGTGAGTTTGGACAACGTATTTTATTTCTGTGCCTCAGTTTCTTCAGTCGTACCAGTGGTACCTTACTAATAGTGATAGTACCTTACAAGTTAGTCCTTGAGGATTAAATCAGGCAAACATATAAATTCCTTAAAAGAGAGCATTCCAGACTGGGCGTGGTGGCTCATGCCTGTAATCCCAGCACTTTGGGAGGCTGACGTGGGAGGATCACTTGAGCCCAGGAGTTTGAAAACAGCCTGAGAAACATAGGGAGACCCTCCCCAATCTCTACAGAAAAGCTAAAAAATTATCTGGGTGTAGTGGTGCACATCTGTGGTCCTAGTTACTTGGGAGGCTGAGAGGAGAAGATTGCTGGAAAGTCAAGGCTGTGCCACTGCGCTCAGCCTGGGCGACAGAGGGAAACCCTGTCTCCCCCACCCCCCGAGAAAAGAAGGCTTCCAGGTGATGAGCATTCAACAAGTATTTACCTACAGTGAAAATGACAGTCGTTATAAGTATTGTTATTGAGGCGTCATTTGATATCATTGTCAGATAAGAATCAATAGCTGAAGGGGTGCTCAGAGACGCCTGTGAGCTTGTCTTTGGAGAGAGAATCAATGGAATTGAAACAGAAATACTAATTTAAAACTAGAAGTTCTAGTGATGGAAGTAAGAGTTCCATCAGCAAAGGGACATGATCCATCTAAGGAAAGATTAAGCCCTAGGAGAGGCGAAACTCCTGTGGAGGACTTTCCTTGCCATATAGGGAGTTACACAGGGGTTGGATGGGAGCTGGTGAGAAGCTGAGTCGGTAAAAGGCAAGGTAAATCGTTAAAAGTCTCTTAATTAAAGCTTCTGAGGTTGAATGAAATTCGTTAACCTTCATGGTTTCTCACAGTAGTGGACAAGGTTTTCCAGTTCTCATGTATGATTTCATTAAACTTCTTTCCCTACCTGTTTTTTTGGGGGATAAAATAGTTATTTTAGAAACATTTCTTGACTTGTTCTTTTGGAGGCTGCCAGCTGGAAAAATTCTGAGACTCTTACCATGTGGGGCTTGAGGACCGGGTGGCCTCCTCCCATTCCCGGTACATCATGTCTGTAACCTGAGCCCAGGTGGCATGTGGCTGTGTGTGGGGTGGCTCTGGGGGGGCATCAGATACCCTAACATCTAGGTGGGAGGATATGGGTTTAGCATGTTGAGTTTCGCTGTGATCCCAGCATTGCCTGACTCCAGAGTCTGGGCGCGTCCTGTGAGAACTGTAACCCCTGCAGCTCCTCCGAGAAGGACAGTTGATTCACTCATTCAGGTCTAATGGTACAGCCTGGGAATTCCCTCTGCTTTGGGGGCTGCCTGTGTGGGAGAAACCTTCACAGCTCCTCATGATTTACTCTCACACTCAAGTTGCGGGCTGGCTGCAGGAGTTTGCTGCCAAAATGAGGCATGGGGAAGCAGTGGAAAGGGTGGCTCCGGAGCCACGCTGCCCGTGTTTGCCTCCTGGCTCAGCATCGCTTTGCTGGGGGGCCACTTACAAGTCATCTAACTCCCCCGAGTCTGTTTCCTTAGGTATAAAACAGAACTAGTAATGTCATTGCTCAGTCATCGTCATCGCAGTGACTTCCTCCCTCGTGCCACTGCCTGCCCCTTCCTGCTTTATTTTCCTCCCCAGTTCTCACAATCTTTGATCCCATGCATTATACTCACCTTTTCTGATGGTTTTCTGCTCCTATCCACCCACCAGGATGCGAATTCTCATAGGGTGGGGATCTGTCCGTTTTGCCCATTGCTGTATTCCCAGCACCCAGACCCAGTACCAGTACAAAGTGCATGCTCAAAAATTGCCGGGGGGAAATTTATAAGATACTGTGGAATTGTATCCACCCCAGAGGAGTGTCAATGTATGCAAAGTAGGCAGCGTGGTGCTTGGTACAGAGTATGCATTCAATAAATATTGGCTAATTATGATTATTATGTCTAATCCGCAGGGCTGTCGTGAGAATCAAATGAGATAATGTATGCTGAGGCATGCTGTGAACACTACGTGCTGGGTACAGGAGGTACAATATTAATGATCCTTGCTGCTTGGAGGGAACCTGTACTTAAAGTGTGATGCTTTTCATTTTCACACCACTTGGGAGGGAGGAAAGGCTGGTGGGAAGATTGCCACCTGAGGCTCGGGGAGGGGACAGGCCTTCCTCAAGGGACCCCACGGTATGAAGAAGGCAGGAGCCAGTCTCCACACTGGTGGTCTTCCCATGACTCCCTTGTGAAAGTCCCCAATGGACAGATTGATGTATATATGACAATATCCACGTACACCATAACTATACATAATATATAGAATTATTTTTAGGTCCCTGAGTTGCTCTGAGAACAGTTGTGCCAGGTGGTGCCCACCCAGGACAGGCGGGGAGGGTAAGAGGGAAACTGGCTGTGTATGGGTGGTGGGGCCCATAGTGAAGCCTCCTTTGGTTTCTTGGAATCAAGTTGGACATCAAGAATCTCATGGCGTAGACTTCCCCAAAGGCAGTCCCATTTCACAAAGTGAATTTTCATTTTCCAAAGCTCATCCCTTAGTTGGATTTCTGTTCTTCAGGGCACTTGTTTTAGCTCTGATGGCATGTCCAAAAAAGAACAGACCCCAACAATTTCCTGCCCGAGTCCCATCCTTCCCCCAAACCCTTGGCTTGACCTGAGCATTGAGCTAATTCATTTCTTTGATCAAACTGGGGACTGTCTGAGCAGTGGGGTGGGCGGCATGGGACAGGGATAGGGTGGGTGTGCACAGGTGTGCAAGGCGGGCTACTTGAGGGCTGGGCGATAGTTCAGGTCACCCTCCGGTTGGACCCACGAGGGCGCTGCGTTCCTCATTCTACAAATCGTACAAGTCGGGGCACAAGACAGAGAAGCCAGGTCACGTCTCTGCAGTTACACAGCTCACGAGTGCCTGCTGGGGTGGAACCTGGTCTGTCTGTCTGTCTAACACCAGAGCTGCTGCAGAGGGAGCCAAGATTTGGGTGAGGGAGGGACTCAGAGGTGGGGTGGAGGGTTTGTTTTTTTTTTAACCTGGTTGCCATTGGTGTATAATAAGGTAACTCTGCTTGGGGACTAGTGCTGTGACTGTCTTGCCTGAGGAGGAAACAGGCACAGAGAGGTTAGTTTGCTTTCCTGATGTTGCCCAGCTAGTTGTGGGTTGAGGTTGGATTTGGGGGGCACTGAGGTGTGAGCATATGTGCTGCAACCACTGCGCTCACTGGCTCGTGACATGAGCATAGGGGTTGAAGCCTCTGCCATCTTTGTTTGAGGATTTTTGCCAATTCCCCAGTGGTAGGTGTGCTCTGAAGTCAAGCTTGTGTATTTCACACTCTCCCTTGACCCTTCTTTTTAGCCTTCAGTTGAAAAATTCTGCAAGCCACTGATCCATGGAAAATATTTACGAATACATATATTACATATATGTTTTAAATTTATTTACATATATATAAACATATATTTGGAAAGGGATTGTATCCAGGAGATTTGGGAGTGATTGTTTAAGGTAGAAGGAGGCAGGGGCATGAGAGGGGGAGGGATGGAGGTGGAGACATCAGTGGTAATTGTCAAGGGTGGTTTTTTTTAATGTTTAAAGATGTTTATTAAAGTGTTATTATTTTTTTTTAAAGTGTTATTTTTTAAAAAATTTATTTATTTTACTTTAAGGGTGGTTTTAACAATCAATACACTAAGAGAGAGGCATGCTGGCAGCAAGGACAGGAGTGGGATGTAAACCAGGAATGGTGATTAATTCTCCACAATTGAGGGACATTAAAAAAGAGATCAGAAGGGTTTGTGGCTATTAATTTTGTTATTAAAAATAATCAAGGAATAAAGAAACAAGGTAATAAAGACCCCAAATGGGACAATTTTGAGAATGTGTTTTAGGCAAAGGATTATAACTAATCCAGGTCTGGTAACCTGACATTAACAAACAGAAAAGGCCTCACAGGCTATTTTCTTTCTTCTAATGGGCTTTATGTTCCATAGAATGGGCACGCTGGGGTTTCCGTGCCAGAGAAGGTGACTATGGGCAAATAAAACCTGGCTGCATGGGTGTTGATTGAACAGTTAAAAATGAATGAGTGCGTTAACAGTCAGGCATGGACCAGTGATGGCAATGTGTTCCCCACTCCTCAGCTTTATCATAGATCACGGATGAATAACGATTGTATGTATTTGCATTGTATGTATTTACGTTGCACAGTGTGACATTTTGATAGACACATATATTGTGACGTGATTACCTTAATCAAGCGAATTAACGTATCCATCACCTCATGCAGTTCCCTTTGTCTGTGTGTGCAGTGAGAATACGTAAGGTCTGGTAAGCACCTTTCTATTCTCTGCTTCCGTGAGGTATTACAGAACAAAACCCGGGTTCCAGGCTGTTGAGGCTGTGGGTGGGAAGTGTGTCAACAAGTATACAGAAGAGTCACTGGTCTTGGGCTGAATGGTGACCTGAAGCGTAGTGGCTGCGTAGTTAAAAATGAATTACACGAGTACAGAAGTGACGAAGTGAGAGTGCCAAGAACGGACCACAAAGACCGTGTTTTACCAGCTGAAGACTGAGATTTATCCGTTCATGTACAATTGTGGACTATTTAAAATAAAACAATACCTTTACCTTGGTGGTTAGAGGTATTTGGATGTACTAATCGATATTTTCATTCTAGTTCAGTGGTGGATTCATCTGTGTTTGTATTTTAAAAAAATATGTGAAAACACTGAAAAGGGCGAAGATGATTGCTGCTCCAAGTCTGCGTCATCTGCATCCGTTATTCAGGAAGAATACCTGCGTTGGTCCCTTCTTGGGTAAGACTCAGAGGGATGTATGTTTGTGATAGTCATAATTCTTGTTTTTGATTAGAATGGTAAATACACTCATCGTAAGAATAAAAATTAATAAATGAACGATTACATGCAACGAGAGGTATGCTTGGACCAGTGGTGGGACTGTCATGGAACACAGATGATAATTAATCCTGTGCTTCTCACCTGATGGCCATTAAAAAATATCTAGGTTTTAAAATTCTTTTCAGTGTCAGCCTTGTGTTCCACAGAATGGAGGCTCCAGAGTGAAATTAATGATACTTTGTCAATGAAGGTCTTGACTGTGAACTCTATGGGAAATGAGCCGTGAGCCAACCAATGTAAGTAGTGTTTAGTGTTGGTGTTTTGAAGCTGGGCGGTTGGTTGATGGTTGTTGATTGCATTATTAAATGTGAATGGACACATACATAAAGGCAAAGATGACTCGCGTGATGAGAATGTCATGAACCAAGGGTGATTAATTTCATTTAGTGTAACTGTCACCAAATAAAAATAATATTACCGAGCTGTTCTCTGTAACAAATGAGCAAAGAAAAGGAACACACACGTCTCCTACATATATATCACACACATCATGTGTTATGTTTATACATGTATCTTGTATGTATCACTTACGTAATATGTGTTGTTTATTTTTCATATTTTCAGGCTGGGGTGGGCTTATATATATATTTATGGGGTAATTAAACATAAATAGATGCGTGTATAAAGAAGATCAAGAGAGTCAAGCATGAACTATTGAAGACAATGTACTGTGACCTAAGATTTATGATTACACAGCTCTACAAAGTTGTGAGACATTAAAACACGAATATTTATGCTGTTTCATTCATTTCAGCAGCATTCTGCTGTTAATTTATGTGCCGCACTTTTGCATCAACACTTCCCTAATGAAGAAGTTTGAGGCGTTAAGTCAGTGGCAGAGGGCCACATAACGAAGTGAGGTCTTGGTAGTTTTCTGTTGATTGAGTAGAATTCGTGAATGTTCTTTCATGATTTTTGTTTAAAGGGATAAGTAAAATTTAAAAGGGCCAAGCATAGATAATGAGGATGATATTTCATAGAAAGTGAGGCTTATTAATTAAATTCTACAGAAATAAAGGCCATTAAAAATGATCCAGGGTGTTCATTTGTCTAATAGTTGCTGTCTGTTGCACGGAATGGACAAATCATAGTTTATGTAGTCATGCAATATTTATGAGAATTTTCACTCTTATTTGGGTAGATAAGGTACTCAAGGAAAATGTAATTAATAGTTGATGTTCTTCAGTCTTGCCTGGACAGTTATTCAAGGGTGTTCATAAATAAGCAAGTGAATGAATGAACAACCACATGAATAAAACAAGAGAGGGCAAACATGGGACAAAGGTGACTGTATCTCATTTTACATGTAGTAAATTCTTTTTATTGTATGTAGCTTCAGCATCCGTTTTGAACCCAAGTTTAACGTTCTAATTCCAGAAGCAGGCTTACTCACCCTTGACACAATTTGCAGTTCTTCGAGTCCCCCCAGTTCTTAATGTGACAGATCCAGATATAACTACCTTGTACAGCCACTTCCAGGATACTGCCTCCCTAAGGAACAGCTAGACGCAGCCCACTTGACTTTCCTCACTGACCCCACAGCCTATGTGGACCACACAGATATAGTGGCTTGCTCTAAACTCACCAGTGAGAACTCTGAAGGAAGCCTGCTTGGGAGATGCCCTAGACCACAGGGCAGGCTTTCCCCTTCCTGGTGGCTGTGTGAGGCACACGGGACCTGTAAGTAATAAACCGCTTCTGTTGTCTCATTTCATGTGTTTTGTTGAGTTGCTTCCTGTGTGTCTCACCTGACCAATACACTTAAATCAAACTTCTTTCCTGGTTGGAGATCTCCTAGAGAGTGGCTGGTAGACTGGACATGGATCAGACAAGAATCATAAGGGGACTGCCAGTGTAAACGAGTTTCCTTTGAGAGGGACACCTGGTAATGGGTTAGGATACTTGGGTGTTACACTGTTTGCCAGGATAAAGACGTATCCCATAAAAAATACACTGTAAACACCCATGACCACCTCTCCTGGATCTCCATCAGGGCAGACCTAGAATTTATATTCACTCTCTTGAGACAGACCTCAAGACCATGTGGGAGGAAAGCACAATACTCATTATCCTCGAATTATGATTATTCCAATTCAGTTCATTGAAGGGCCTTTTAAAAATGCATTGTTTAGGCACTGAGTGTGGTGGTTCATACCTGTAATCCCAGCACTTTGGGAGGCTGAGGCGGGTGGATCACGAGGTCAGGAATTCGAGACCGGCCTGACCAACTTGGTGAAACACCGTCTCTACTAAAAATGCAAAAATTAGCTGGGTGTGGTGGTACATGCCTGTAATCCCAGCTACTCCGCAGCCTGAGGCAGGAGAATCGCTTGAACCTGGGAGGTGGAGGTTACAGTGAGCCAAGAGCCACTGCACTCCAGCCTGGGCAACAGAGCAAGACTCCATCTGAAAAAAAAATGTAAATGCATTGGTTAAAGAGTTAGTTAATATTCTGGTTTTTGCATGGGGACATGTTGGATGTTGATTTTAGTACTATAAATAAATAAATAATTACATAAATGTATGAAATAAAACAAAGGCCAAAACATGGACTCATGATGAGAATGGTCCAAGAATGAAAGGATTATAGTTAATTAAATTCTGACTGCCGTACAAATAATCTACCCTGTTTCACTCCCTTTGCCAGCTGTTTTGTATTTCATTTAGCCCATGTGCATAGTTTATTTACACGTTTGCCCATAAATAGAAATCTGGGCTATTCACTCTGAGTAAGGAGCACACGAAGAGATGAAAGATGATGTGAGCATTCTATTAGAGAGAGATTGGATTTATGGTTGCTCATTAAAACTTCTTTAGAAACTATCAAATTAAATCGAAGAGTGTTAGCATAAACCAACGATGGTGTTTCATGGAGTGGGGATTATGATTAATTCAATTAGGTTCATTAGAAAAAGTTCCAGACTATAACCACCCCCCCTTTTTTTTGCCTTGAGACAGGGTTTCATTCTGTTTCCCAGGCTAGACTTCCCTGGGCTCAGGTGATCTTCACACCTCAGCCTCCTGAGTAGATGGTATACTACAGCTGTGCACCACCATGCCCAGCTAATTTTTGTATTTTTTGTAGAGATGGGGTTTCCCCATGTTGCCCACGCTGGTCTCAAACTCCTGGGCTCAAGCAACCCCCTGGCCTTGGCCTCCCAAAGTGCTGGGATTGCGGGTGTGAACCACCATTCATGGCCGCAATAGAACTTTCTGCAGTGATGGAAATGTTCTGTAACGTGTTCTGTACAATAGGGTAGCTACTAGTCACGTGTGATTATTGAGTCCTTGAAATGTGGCTGGTGTTCATGAGTAACTGAATTTTTTATGTGACTTAATTTTGATTACTTTAAATTTAAATAGTCACATGTGGCTACTGTATCAGTCACTTGTGTCAGGTGTTTGGTTCATGGCAGTTTTTTGAATATTAAATATGAATACATCAATACAAAAATTAAATAAAAGTGGATTATGAGCCAGTTATTAGTTTGTTTTCACACTGCTGATAAAGGCATACCCAAGTCTGGGAAGAAAAAGAGGTGGAGGTAAGAGAAAATGAGGAAGATGCAAAAGCAGAAACCCGGGTTAAATCATCAGAACTTATGAAACTTATTCACTACCGTGAGAACAGAATGGGGGAAATCGCCCCCAAGAGATGAGATTTGAGGGGGGACACAGAGCCAAACCACATCATCCTGCCCCTGGCCCCTCCAAATCTCATGTCTTCCCATTTCAAAACCAATCATGCCTTCCCAACAGTTTCCCAGAGTCTTAACTCATTTCAGCATTAACCCAGAAGTCCACAGTCCAGAGTCTCATCTGAGACAAGGCAAGTCCCTTCAGCTTATGAGTCTGTAAAATCAAAAGCAAACTACTCTCTAGGTACAATGAGGGTACAGATACTGGGTAAATACGGCCATTCCAAATGGGAGAAATTGGCCGAAACAAAGTGGTTGCAGGGCCCATGCAAGTCCAAAATCCAGCGGGGCAGTTGAATTTTAATGCTCCAAGATGATCTCCTTTGACTCCAGGTCTCACATCCAGGTCATGCTGATGCAAGGGGTGAGTTCCCGTGGCCTTGGGCATCTCTGGCCCTGTGGCTTTGCATGGTACAGCCTCCCTCCTGGCTGCTTTCACAGCCTGGCGTTGAGTGTCTGTGGCTTTTCCAGGTGCATGGTGGTAGAAGCTTATGGATCTACCATTCTGGGGTCTGGAGGATGGTGGCCCTCTTCTCAGAGTTCCACTAGGCGGTGCCCCAGTAGGGACTCTGTGTTGGGCCATCAACCCCACATTTCCCTTCCACTGCCCTGGCATAGGTTCTCCATGAGAGCCTCACCTCTGCAGCAAACTTTTGCCCAGGCATCCAGGTGTTTCCATACGTCTTCTGAAATCCAGGTGGAGGTTCCCAAACCTCCATTACTGATTTCTGTGCACTTGCAGGCTCGATACCAGGTGGAAGCTGCCAAGGTTTGGGGCTTGCACCCTTTGAAACCATGGGCTGAACTTTACCTTGGCCCTTTTTAGCAATGGCTGAGGTGGCTGGGACTCAGAGTACCAAGTCCCTAGGTTGCACACAGCATGGGGACCCTTGGCCCAGCCCATCAACCCATTTTTTCCTCCTTGACTTCTGGGTCTGTGATGTAGGGGAGCTGCCATGAAGACCTGTGACAGGCCCTGGACACATTTTCCCCATTGTCTTGGGGATTAACATTCAGCTCCTTGTTACTTATGCAAATATCTGCAGCCAGATTGAATTTCTTCTCAGAAAACGGGTTTTTCTTTTCTACATCACCAGGCTGCAAATTTTCTGAACTTTTATGCTGTTTCCCTTTTAAAATGGAATGCTTTTAATAGCACCCAAGCCCCCCTTTGAATGCTTTGCTGCTTAGAAATTTCTTCCTCCAGATACCCTAAATCATCTCTCTCAAGTTCAAAGTTCCAAAAATCTCTAGGGCAGGAGCAAAATGCTGCCATCCTCTTTGCTAAAATATAACAAGAATCACCTTTGCTCCAGTTCCCAAGAAGTTCCTCATCTCCATCTGAGACCACCTCAGCCTGGACCTTATTGTTTATATCACTATCAGCATTTTTGTCAAAGCCATTCAACAAGTCTCTAGGAGGTTCCAAACTTTCCCACCTTTTTCTGTCTTCTTCTCAGCCCTCCAAACTGTTCCAACCTCTGTCTGTTACCCGTTCCAAAGTCACTCATACATTTTTGGGTATCTTTTCAGCAATAAACCCCACTCCTGGTACCAATTTACTGTACTAGTCTGTTTTCACACTGCTGATAAAGACATACCCAAGACTGGGAAGAAAAAGAGATTTAGTTGGACTTACAGTTCCACATGGCTGGGGAGGCCTCAGAATCATGGCAGGAGAAGAAGACACTTCTTACATGGTGGTGGCAAAAGAAAATGAGGAAAATGTAAAAGCAGAAACCCCTGATAAAGCCATCAGTTCTCATGAGACTTATTCACTACCATGAGAACAGTATGGGGGAAACTGCTCCATGATTCAAATTATCTCCCACCAGGATTTATGGGAGTATAATTCAAGATGAGATTTGGGTAGAGGCACAGAGCCAAACCATATCAGCCAATGATGGGAATGTTTTTTGAAACAAATATGATTAATCCAGTTCTGTACAATTGAGGTTCACTGGCAAAAAAAGTCATTCATGAAAAAACAACATAGGCTTATTCGTTTATTTGATAACTATTGAGTATTACATGAATGTGTACCCCATAGTTTCCATGAACATTTCTCTAATGTTGAAGGTCTATGTATCTTGATGGTAAAGGATCAAAAACTTACCGTCAAAGTCATAGCGTGTTGAATAGAAGCTTTGTGAATATTCATCATATGAAATTATTTACTTTAAAAATGATTGATAAACACTAGAGATTCCATTGCATAGGGCAAGGATCATAACGTAACATAGACCAGGGTTTGTGATGTTTAAGTCAATGCGAGTGTATTCCATAAATAAGAGATCTCTTGTGTTACACTTGTTAGTGAGGAACGTGTAGACAGATGCACCTCGTTGTCATTGTGTGTAAAGAAGGCTGAGCTTTGACCAATGATGAAAGTGTGTCATGATTCAAATATATCCATACGTTTCTGAACAGGTGAAGCCCATTATATAAAGATTTCTATTTCTCCAGTAATGGAGAAAAAAAATCTAAAAAACTAAAGATTATCTATCTATCTATCTAGTGTACTACTGTTTTTCTTGGTTTTAATGGTAGACTTTTGGTGTTTTCATTGATTATATTATAAAAATCAATAAGCGAATAGATTTTTAAAACTCAAAGATCTTAAATAGGTTATCTGTCTCATATGGTAAATTTTCTATAGACACAAAGGCCACAAGAACCACTTCCACTTACAAAAAGAATAGGAGGCACTGAGCAGTGCCACCTCACAGCAACTCCACAGTCCTGCTGGCCAGATGATGTGGGCTCTCCCTACCTGGCCTGTCACTCACATAAGAGGGGCACATAGACGGGTTCATCATGGTCCTCAATCTCCTTTTTATTTTAGGTGATCCACTCGATGATGTTCATTAAATTAATAATTAAAATAATCAATTGATTAAGTCAATTAAGAATGAAGTGAGTCAGTGTCGAGAAAGAGGGCCAACCAGGGGCCAATGTTGAGGATGTGGCGCAAGCCAAGGATTATGCTTAATCTAGGATCCTACAATTTTAATATTTAAAAAGTTTAAATCCAGTGTCTTTCACACCTGCTTTCTCTTCTACAGAATGAGTGCACTGCAGGCGATCTGCTGTTCCGTAATGATGAGGGCTGGGCTGCTTTCTCTGTGGGCAAGGAGCATGGAGGCTGATGAAAGGTCAGTGAGAGTCCTTGTTCTTGGTTTGGATGATTTGTTCATGGATGTTGTATTATTATCTAAAAGAAATAAAAGAAATATGTTATTTAAAAGAATTAAAAAGAAATAAAAAGCTCCGCATATTAAAATATTACAGAACATGCATGGACCAATGACGAGAATGATCCATGAATCAGCGTTCGTGATTAATCCAACTCAACGCCACTTCCATTAAAAATACAGTCAGGCTATTTTATTTGTGTTGCTGGACATTTAATATTTGTGTACATTCTACACCACTGTTGATTTAAGCAGCCCTCCATTGATAAAGACCTGTGTCATCAGCTGCAGAAGAGGGCAGCACATAGGAAGATTGGAAGTGATTATCAGTATTCTATTGGGCAAGAAGCTGGTGGGTTTATAGTAACTCATCGTGTCATCTTTGAAATATAGACGAATTAAAAGAAAAAAGGGCTGGGGGAAATAGGGGAGGGAGAGCGGAGGGTGGGGAGTTGGGGAGAGATAGCACGGGGAGAAATGCCAGATATAGGTGAAGGGGAGGAAGGCAGCAAATCACACTGCCACGTGTGTACCTATGCAACAATCTTGCATGTTCTTCACATGTACCCCAAAACCTAAAATGCAATAAAAAAATAAAGAAAGAAAAAGGGCTAGGTATGGGCAAGTGATGACTGCAGCATTGCCACGTATGAAGAATGTTGATCGAGCCATTGATCCATATGTCATGCTTAGATGCATTACAGGATGATATATAGTGTATTCTTTCTGTGGGAAATTAGGTTGTAGACATGCACTGTCTGATACCATCACTGCTAGCCACAGGGGCCATTGTGCACTTGGAATGTGACTAGTCTAATTGACATGTGATCTACATGGAAAATTATACTGGGTTTAGAAGCCTCAATATAAAAAGGGTAAAATATTTATAGAATTATTTATATTGATTAAATGTTACAGTGATAGTATATATTGGGCTAAATAAAATGTGCAATTATACAATTGATTTCACCTTTTTCCTTTTTAAAACTGTAGCTTCTAGAAAATTTACAAGTGTTTGTGTGGCTTGCATTATATGTTTTACTGCTCAGCACTGCTGTAATCCGATGAGAGGAATATTCAGTTTTCTGTTTTTCTAATCCATGGGTATTGATTGTATTATTATTGGCTAATCAATGATGAATCAATGACAAGTGAGAAAGCAATGGTAGCAGCTCACGCTAAGCATTAAAGTGTAGACTGGAACAAGGATTATTTTCCCTTCTTTTTTTTGAGACAGAGTCTTACTCTGTTACCCAAGCTGCGGTGCAGTGGTGCAGTCACAATTTACCTCAACCTCAATCTCCAGGCTTAAGCAATGCTCCTGCCTCAGCCTCCCTAGGATATAGGACCACAGCCACATGCCACCATGCCTGGCTGGTTTTTTTTTTTTTTTTTGGTCTTTTTTGTAGAGACAAGGTTTCATCATGTTGGCCTAGGCTGGTCTCAAACTCCTGGGCTCAAGCTATCCACCCGCCATGGCCTCCCAAAGTGCATGAGCCATGTGTCTGGCCTATTATAAGTAGATTTTATTAAGCACCAAAACCCATAAAAATAATGGCTGTGGTTTAATGGTTAATTCTTTTAGGTAAGGGAGGCTAGTTCATTGAGGTAAGGAAGATAGGAAAAGATCATGTAGTAGTAATCGATGCTGTTCTGTTTTGTTGGTGGTGTCTTGCTAGTCTTCAGTTTTTTTGTTTCAAAGAAAATTACGAACATTAACAAATACCTGATTAAGTAGCTGACCAAATGGAAGAGGGTTAAGCATGGTGAGTGCTGAGTGAGGGCAGGATTAACCGACGTAGGGCCCCACTGAAGTCCACTGTAAGAGACACCCAGTCTCTCACCTTTATAGATGGGCCTGTAGTTAGGGAATAGGAACTGCAGAGTCTTGATCTTAACCTTTTATAGCTCACGGCATTGATTACATTAGTATTAATAAGTGAATTGATCAGTAAATCACTAAACAAATGGAACAAATGTATAAACAAACTTATTAAACAAATGCATAAGTGACTAAAAAAAGAAAGCAAAGCATGAACCAATGGAATATTATGTTTTTGAAGCATTGATGTCAATACAGTGCACACAAGCACAGGGGTGGATGGCGGCTCTTACTGAGAAGGGAGAGATTTTTATATAAATAAGAAAATGGAAGAGGACCAGTGCTGAGAATGTGTCAGGTGCTAAGAATTACTCTTAATCGGTTCCAGTCATTGAGTTCATTGAACAACAATGAGAAGGAAGATCTAGTCGCTTATCTCTGGGTAATGGGCAGATTGACAGATGTGACTGTTTTTTTCTTTTTTTTTTTTGCCACAGACTTTTAATGTGTAAAAAACAAAGTATTTTACAGCTCACTTTGTGTCTTTGTGTCACATTTTGGTAATTGATGCAATATTTCAAATGCTCTCGTTATTGTTCCATCAGTGATCTGTAGTCAGTCATGTTTATTTGTTTTGCGAGGACTTTTCAGAATTTTCTTTCTGTTTCCTTTTCTTTTGAGATGAAGTTTCACTCTTGTTGCTTAGGCTGGGGTGCAATGGCGTGATGTTAGTTTTATTCAGAGTTTTCTTTTTTTTTTTTTTGAGACGGAGTTTCGCTCTTGTTACCCAGGCTGGAGTGCAATGGTGCGATCTCGGCTCACTGCAACCTCTGCCTTCTGGGTTCAGGCAATTCTCCTGCCTCAGCCTCCCGAGTAGCTGGGATTACAGGCACGCGCCACCATGCCCAGCTAATTTTTGTATTTTTAGTAGAGACTGGGTTTCACCATGTTGACCAGGATGGTCTCGATCTCTCGACCTCGTGATCCACCCGCCTCGGCCTCCCAAAGTGCTGGGATCACAGGCGTGAGCCGCCACGCCCGGCCTTATTCAGAGCTTTTAACAGTTTCTTTGAATTCTCAGCTATGGATTGTAAGGGAACGAATGAGTAAGTTCATGTCATAATTAGTTAAAAGAGAACAAATGACAGACCAGTGATGGATATAAATTATAAAGTTTTAGGATAAAGTAATTTCTATACAGCTGATGTCCATGTAAAAGATATAATATCTAGGCTCCTAACTGCTTAATGTTCACAGATGGATTCATGTTATATTAAGTTTTGGATGCTTGCAGATTTATCCTTAATTTTTTTTCAGAAGATGGGTATAAGGTTAAATTAATCTATTACTAACTAGTAAATAAGCAAATAGATGAATACATAAAGAGGGTCAAGAATGATTTGTCAAACAAAATTTTATTTTATTTTAAAAATAAATAAAACTTAAAAAAGAATGAACATTGGTGAAAATATACCCTGAAGTAAAGTTTAAGATCAATATAATTCCGAACGAGTGGGTTCCATAAAAAATGGAAGAGGGTGCTTCATTCAGTTTACATTTGTTTAATATTTCATTTTTTACCACTCTTAATGTATACATTCTGCCATTGATAAAGATTTAGGTTTCTAAGCTATCGACAGAGAAAACACAAGGAAGGGGAAAAAAGTATTGTCAGTGAAGTAAAACAAGAGGTTCCTTTATGTTCTTTATTAAATATTTAAAATTTGACAAAGTTGAGGAAAGGCTAAAGAGAGAGGACCCTACATGGGCCACATCGAGCATGGGGCTGACGTCGAGCATGGGGCTGACGTCGAGCGTGGGGCTGACGTCAGAGCGTGGGGCTGACGTCGAGCGTGGGGCTGACGTCGAGCATGGGGCTGCCATCGAGCATGGGGCTGACGGCGAGCATGGGGCTGACGTCAGAGCGTGGGGCTGACGTCGAGCGTGGGGCTGACGTCGAGCGTGGGGCTGACGTCGAGCTTGGGGCTGACGGCGAGCGTGGGGCTGACGGCGAGCGTGGGGCTGACGGCGAGCGTGGGGCTGACGTCGAGCGTGGGGCTGACGTCGAGCGTGGGGCTGACGGCGAGCTTGGGGCTGATGTCGAGCATGGGGCTGAGGTCGAGCATGGGACTGCATAAGGATGTCGGTTGCTCCATATGTGCAACAGGGAGCTCCACTGTAGAGGGAGAGTCAGTGGATTAGCTCTTGGAGAAATTAGCCTACATATCCCAGTTATAATATTCATATATCTTATTTTTGATTTGTTGCGATTCATGAATATTCATAGTGATTTTTAGTCAATTAATGAATTAAATCAATAAGCAAATGTATAAATAAATAAAAGTCTCAAAACTAAACCATTGATAAGTACTCTAGGGTGCTTGAATCAAGGATGTTGATTAAACTATATGACTCTGAGGTCCATTATAAAAACAAATCTAACTTACTGCCTCAGTGGGACATGAGCTTTTAGCTGCAGTGAGGAATGTAAGCATCTTGTGCTTGGGATTTTGCAGCTCTGATATGAATCCTATTATTAGTAGTAAATCAGTGCATGAGTAAATAAAGACACGCACCAATGAATCCAGCTAAGAGGGCTGGATATGCACCAGTTATGGGAGAACGTAATGAGATACATATTATTATTAAATATTTCTGAGAAGCTGAGTTCTCGTAAGTAAATAGTAAAAGGCTGTTACCACATTGGTTAGGAATGTGTGGACAGATGTATGTTTCTGGGTTGGCAGCTGTAAATCTTGTTTCGTATTTTAATATGAAAAGGGAAAAAAAGGAAACATAATTAATTGCTTACAAAACCGCCTACCTGAAAGATCAAGCAGGGGCCATCCGTTGAGCTTATGGGCAGATGTTAGTGCTATTTAGAGCTCTCATTCGGAGTATGCAGGTTCACAATTTTTGTTGTGAACACTTTTTTATCATCTGTAGCATCAGCAACGCTTCCATCATAGCAATGACAGAATGATAAGTATAATAATAAAATGATAAAAATGTCAGTGATGTAGCTAACAATTATTGTACTATATATTTAATCACTGCGATTTTAAAATTTTCTATTTTTATTTCAATAATTTTGGGGGAACAGGTGGGTTTTGATTACATGGGTAAGTTCTTCAGGGGTGATTTCAAAGATTGCGGTGCACCTGTTACCTGGGCAGTGTACACCGGACCCAATGTAGAGTCTTTTATTCCTCACCCCTACAAACCTTTCCCCCAAGTTCTCAAAGTTCATCATGTCGTTATTATGCCTAGGCAGCCTCATAGCTTAGCTCCCACTTATAAGTAAGAACAGATGATGTTTGGTTTTATTCCCAAGTTAATTCACGTGGAACAATGGCCTTCGGCTCCATCTGGGTAGCTGTGAATGCCATTATTTTGTTCCTTTTTATGGCAGAGTAATATTCTGCAGTATATATTTATACACACACACATATGTATAGACACAACACATTTTCTGCACATATATATACATACGCAATATATACATGCATACATACAACACATTTTCCTTATCCACTCGTGGGCTCATGGGCATGTAGGCTGGTTCCATATCCTTGCAGTTGTGAATCGTGCTGCTATGAACATGCACGTGCCAGTGTCTTTTTCGTAGAATGACTTCCTTTCCTCTGGGTGGACACCCAGTAGTGGGATTGCTGGGTTAAATGGTAGTTTTGCTTTGAACTCTTTAAGGAATCTTCATACTGTTTTCCATAGTGGTTGTTCTGCTTTCCATTCCCAGCAGCAGTGTGGAAGTGTCTCCTTTGCACCACATCCATGCCAACATTGGTTACTTTTTAATTTTTTAATTATGGCCATTTTTGCGGGAGTAAGGTGGCATCCCATCGTGGTTTTAATTTGCATTTCTCTGATAATTAGCATTTTTTCATGTTTGCTGGCCATTTGTATATCTTTTTTGCGGAATTGTCTATTCATGTCCTTTACCCACTTTTTGATAGATTATTTCTAATTTTTTGCTGATTTGTTTGGGTTCCTTGTAGATTCTGAATATTAGTCCTTTGTCAGATCATGGTTTGCAAATATTTTCTCCTACTCTGAGGGGTGTCTGCTTACCTTGCTGATTACTTTTTTGCTGTGCTGAAGCGTTTCAGTTTCACTAGGTCCCATCTATTTATTTTTGTTTTTGTTGCATTTGCTTTGCATTCTTGGTCATAAACTCTTTGCCTAAGCCAATATCTAGAAGAGTTTTTCCAATGTTATATTGTAGAGTTTTTATGATTTCTGGTCTTAGATTTTAAGTCTTTGATCCCTTTTGAGTTGACTTTTGTTTAAGGTGTAAGAGATGACGATCCAGTTTTATTTTTCTACATGTGGCTTGCCAATTATCCCAGCAGCATTTGTTGAATAGGGTGTCCTTTCCCCACTTTCTGTTTTTGTTTTGCTTTGTTGAATATCAGTTGACTGTAAATATTTGGCTTTATTTCTGGGTTCTCTATTCTTTTCCATTGGTCTACATGCCTATTTTTATGAGTATCATGCTATTTTGGTGACTATAGCCTTGTACTATAGTTTGACGTTGGGCAATGTAATACCTCCAGATTTGTTCTTTATGCTTAGTATTGCTTTGGCTATGTGGCCTCTTTTTTGATTTCATATGAATTTTAGGATTGTTTTTTCTAGTTCTGCGAAGAATGATGATGGTATTTGGGTGGGAATTGCATTGAATCTGTAGATTGTTTTTGGCATTATGGTCATTTTCACAATATTGACTCTATCTATGAACATGGGATGTGTTTCCATTTGCCTGTGTCATCTATGATTCCTTTCAGCAGTGTTTTGTAGGTTTCCCTGTAGAGATCTTTCACCTCTTTGGTTAGGTATATTCCTAAGCATTTTTGTTGTTGTTGCAGTTGCTATATAAGAATCAAAAGTTCTTGATTTCATTCTTAGCTTGGTTGTTGGAGTATAGCAGTTCTACTGATTGTGTGAAAGGGATTATTTAAATGAAGACAAACATAGATGAATAAGGTTACTTTATCATTTCAAATGTCCATATAAATAAAAGGGTAATGGGGTTCTGCTCACTGTGGATAAATAGCATGGAGTCAGTTACTTGTAATAATATTTTAGGCCATTTTGCATTTTTTTTGAAGAAAATAAAAATACTAATAAATTATTCCATTAGTGAATATAACACAAACAAAGAAATGAATAGGTTCATAAGTTAAGATCAATCACAGACCGTTGGTGAAAATGTGTTAAGAAGTGGGAACATAAATATATCCAATTCTAATCAAGAAAGACCGATAAAAAAGATCACCTTGGTTCTCACCTGGGTGGGTGGGCTTCAGTGACAGGATTTGGAATATGCATAGACTTTATTATTTTCTTAGGTGTAGGTTCAGGAATTTCACTCTATTTGCCTACATTAGTGATCAACAAAGACAATAAATCAACTCAGTGGCATTCTTGGGCTGATGGTGGGAATTTGACTAAAGCTGGAGTTTTTTAAAAATTTGGCACAACAGGATTTAGGTCCCTTTAAAAAAAATCTAAATCTGTGCTGCTTCTTGACTTTTCTAAAATCTGGTTTTTACCCCACATATTCAATATGCCAGATCTGACTTATTCGTAATACAGCGATGGAGATGTTGGCTGACGTGTAAGTGGATAAGGAGCAGAGAGGCACGTGTAAGTAGCAGAGTTCTTGTTCTTGCTTTGAAGGGGGCTGTTCATGTTGTCCATGGAATTAATTCAAAGGAATGAATAGCTACCACAAACAAAAATAGAATTGAACATGCTGGCTGGGCGCGGTGGCTCGCGCCTGTAATCCCAGCACTTTGGGAAGCTGAGACCGGTGGATCACGAGGTCAGGCATTCAAGACCAGCCTGGCCAACATAGCAAAAACCCATCTCTACTAAAAATACAAAAAATTAGCCAGGCATGGTGGTGGGCACCTGTAATTCCAGCTACTTGGGAGGCTGAGACAGGAGGATTGCTTGAACCCAGGAGGTAGAGGTTGCATTGAGCTGAGATCTCACCACTGCACTTCAGCCCGGGTGACAGTGTGAGACTCCATAGCAAAAAAAAAAAACAAAAAACAAAATGCTGAGAGAATGGATGTTAAGTGTTCTCACCACAAAAACGACAACAATGGGAGGTAATGGGTATATTAATCAGCTAGCAATCCAACAATGTATATACTTCAACACATCATGTCGTACATGATAAATACACATAATTTGATCTGTCAATTAAAAAAATGCAGTAATAAAATCAAAACAAATGAAAGAATGCCATGCATGGAGCAATATTGGGAATATGTAATGAACCATGGGTTAAGATGAATTCATTTTAGTACAACTGAAATTGGGAATATGTAATGAACCATGGGTTAAGATGAATTCATTTTAGTACAACTGAAATCCCTTACAAACAAAATCGGAGGGGGTTGTATTCATTTTCACAGTTGATTTATAGTCTACTCTATTGTGCACCATATTTTAAGAAGATTCCTCTCTTGCTAAAGATCTAAGCTTTTAAATTGCTGAGGAGGGAGCACCTACAAATGTGGGACAAATTGCAAGTGTTCTGGTCTTGGAATGAGATGATAGGCTGTTCATTGAACTGCCTTTAAGTTACAAGGAAATTAAGTGAAAGATGAGTGAGGAAAGAGCAGGACACACGGGATGGGTAGGAAGCAAGGTTACTGATTAATCTACAGGTACAATCTGAGGCCCAATTAAAAAGAGATCTTATTTACCAGCTCTGTGGGAAATGAGCCTGGAATAGCAGTCAAAGGTCTTGTTCTTGGATGTTTGTGATTCATAGATATTAAATTATTTTGTTGGTGAAACCATAAATGAAATAATATGTATAATCAGTAAACAGTGTAAAATTAAATACATGAGGAAAAATGTCAAGCTTGGATCAATGATGAGTAATTCTGAGGCATATAAGTCATTCATTTTGATTAAATCCTAAACTCTAAAGTCCATCAAAAAGAGACCTAGTTATTCTCTCTAAGGGAATGAAGTTTGGAGTAGAAGTTCAGGTTCTTGGGCTTCGATGGTTCCTGGGTAGGGACTGTAAGTGAATCAATGAATGCAATAATAAAGAAATGTGTAAGTGAAGGTAAAGGTTGTCATATGTGGGCCCTTTATGACAGCATGTCATGAAACAAGTATTATCAGTAATATATTTGTGTAATGTGTAATTTCAATATAATACGTAGGCAAAAGCTGTCATTTGGAGTACATAGGCGCTCCGGACACATAGAAGCACATAGGCAGACGTGTTCTGGATCCACAAGAGGTTGCTTGTTGTCAGCTTATTAAGAAGGGAAAGTATTTACAAAAACAAAAGATTACATGACTGTAATAGAAAAGGAGCAAGCATGTGCCGAGTTGAGGATGTGTTACATGACACCAGCTATGACTGATCTAATCGTATCCATTTAATTTTATAAAAAACAACAAAAAATGGCAAGGGATAGAGTCAGTTATTTCTATGGGTAATGGGCATGTGGGTTGTTTTGTCTTGTTCTGTGTTCACATGTAGAGTCTAGGATCTGTGGTAATTACATATTGTTTTTTAAGTTGAATGAATATGATTATATCTCAAGGGCCGACTCTGGACAGTGTGGAGCATGTGATGTGGAATAAAGCTAATGACTAATCCCGCTCTACCCTGCTGATGGCCATATAGAGAAAGTGGGATCTAGGTGCTTCCGTCTTGGGTTAACTTGGGTTAAGTTCATAGACAGATCATAGAACATTCCAGTTCTGGGCTGCTGGTGGGTTTACTGTATATTTTACTGAGAGAGGGCCAAACATGAGGCAATATGGAGAATGTGTCATATGACCAGGGTTATAATTAATCCAACATTATTTAGTGAGTTTTATTTATTTATTTATTTATTGCATTTTCGGTTTTGGGGTACATGTGAAGAACATGCAAGATAGTTGCATAGATACACACATGGCAGTGTGATTTGCTGCCTCCCTATCCATCACCTATATCTGGCATTTCTCCCTGTGCTATCTCTCCCCAACTCCCCGCCCCCTGCTGTCCCTCCGCTATTGCCCCACGACAGACCCCAGTGTGTGATGCTCCCCTCCCTGTGTCCATATGTTCTCATTGTTCAACACCTGCCTATGAGTGAGAACATGCGGTGTTTGATTTTCTGCTCTTGTGTCAGTTTGCTGAGAATGGTGGTTTCCAGGTTCATCCATGTCCCTACAAAGGACACAAACTCATCGTTTTTTATGGCTGCATAGTATTCCATGGTGTATATGTGCTATATTTTCCCTGTCCAGTCTATCATCGATGGGCATTTGGGTTGGTTCCAAGTCTTTGCTATTGTAAACAGTGCTGCAATGAACATTTGTGTGCATGTGTCCTTATAGTAGAATGGTTTATAGTCCTTTGGATACATACCTAGTAATGGGATTGCTGGGTCAAATGGAATTTCTGTTTCTAGGTCCTTGAGGAATCGCCACACTTTCTTCCACAATGGTTGAACTAATTTACACTCCCACCAGCAGTGTAAAAGTGTTGCTATTTCTCCACATCCTCTCCAGCATCTGTTGTCTCCAGATTTTTTAATGATGGCCATTCTAACTGGCATGAGATGGTATCTCAGTGTGGTTTTGATTTGCATTTCTCTAATGACCAGTGATGGTGAGCATTTTTCATATGTTTCTTGGTCTCATGTATGTCTTGTTTTGTGAAGTGTCTGTTCATATCCTTTGCCCACTTTTGAATGGGCTTGTTTTTTTTTTCTTGTAAATCTTTTTAAGAAAATAAAAAGAGGATTTTGTTGGCTGTGGTTATGGTCTATGAATGAACGTGTAGACAGATATCGACAGTTCTTCTCCTGTGTCTTGGAGTTCGTTGTCATTGAGATGCTGTTCTAAGAGAATAAAGGAGGTTATTTATATCTAGATCAATTATTTAAGAGAAGGCCGAGCATGGGCCAATGAAGAACACGTGTTAGGAACCAAAGGTAATGATTACTCCGGTTATCCTCCAATGTTGTCCAGATACACAGAGCTCCAGGTTGCCCCTCCTTTGGGTAAAGCACACTGAAATTTCCATGGAGTAAGTCTTTAGAAAAACAGATATGTAATCTATTCCACGCTTAATTATATACATGAATTAATAAGTGAATCACTAGACAAGTAAATCCGAAAGATTTTGCATAAAATACCATAAAACAAAGGTTTACATCTATCGAATTTTACACAAGTGAGATCCACTGTAAGTGATCACCTATCTGTTGAATTTATGGATAGGGAGTGTGTAGACAGATATTTGTGGTAGATATAACTCTTATTCTCATGTGGACATTCACTGTACTATTTAAAAGCCAAAAGTACCCAAGTCAATAAATAAGGAGTGCCGCTTTTGGGCAATGATGAGGTGGCGCAAGTTTAAGATGAATCTAATACTGCAAAACAGGTTTTCATTAAAAATATCTAACTGCAGGGTCTTCCCTTCCTTTGGAAGTGTGTGTTTTACTTGACCAAGTGAGCACACCACGGTGAAGAACTGATGTAGTCATTCTCTAATGATAAAGATCTTGGCTTGTACCTCCGTGGGTAAGGACAGAAGACACTAATGTAAGTAGCAGCTACCGTTTACCGTTCCTGGACTGGGAAGTTGCCCGAATAACTGGATATATTCCTAAAGAAAACGAGGTAACACCAGCATGGACCAGGGATGAGGGTATGTTCAGAACTGGGATTTACGGTTAATATGACTCAGTACCAGTAAACTTCAGTGAAAAAGACGCAGGCTGTTTCATTCGTTTCCAGAGATGATTCAAACTCTGCTTTGTTTCTGTGTTGTGACTCAAGTCCCTCTCCATTGATAAAGATGTAGGCTTCTAGCTCCTTGAGCGGGGAGCACATAGGAAGATGGACAATATTGTCAGTGTTCTAGATGAGCAGTAAGGTTATGATTCCTTGGTGATTTATTGCACCATCTTTGTTACCTGAAAGAGGGCCAGGTGTGGGCCAGTGAGTAGCATGGAGCTGACATGAAACAAGGATGCTGATTAGTTTATATGTGCAAAAAGTGCATATATAGATATGTATCTGTGTCTGTATACATATATGCATATACCCACACATATACTCACATATGTGTGTGTGTGTGTGTGTGTGCACGTGTCTGTCTCTGTGGTCAGTGGACATATGGACAACTATTAGTATTCCACATGTTCTTGAGCTTCTGGACTCATGAGGATTGATTATAATATTATTAATGACTCAATGAATATAGAAATAATGCATAAAGTGTTTTGAGTATAGCCAGTCATTAGTATTCTGAGCTGTAGGAATAAAAGATTTTGATTAGATTCTGTAGAGGTTTATTAGAAAAAAGAAACTAGTTATTTCTTCTGTGGGGAACGGGCTTACAGTAAAAGTTAGGAAAAGCCAAAGATCTGGTTCTCAGTTCTTCCTGTTGGCGAATTGCCTGAAAGTGAAGCAATGCAAGAGGAAATAAAGATGGAGAAATTAATGACAGCTAATTACGCAAGCCTGTAACGAAACAAGGATTATTATTAATTACTGTTATTTTCGGAGGCACTGAGTTTTATAACATAGGTTAAGTCTACCTTACTGTTTTTCATAAAAGACACATCTAATTTCATGACAGTCCCTGTTGTAATTTTGGATTGATGTTGGGTAGCTGGTTGTCAGTTTAATTTAGAAAAGAAACAAATCATTTACATGAAAAGTAATTGTTCCAATAATTGCCTAATTGAAAGAAGGCCAGGTGTGGACTAATACTGAGAATATGATCATAGGTGTTGTTAATGTAATTCTGTTCGCTGAATATTATTTAAGAAAACAATAATGATCTAGCCATTTACATCTTCGGACAGTGAACATACAAACAGGTATTAGTCAGTGTTCTCGTCCAGTGTTGTGGCTTTTATTCATTTTGATGTATTGCAAAAAGTGAATGAATAAATGAGTTTGTGTTTCAATTATTTAAGAAAATATGGAGGATTGGCCAGTGTGTCATCAAGCAAAGATAACAACCTACTTTTACAGATTAAAAAAAAAAAAAAAGAAATCTACGTGGATCCCACTTTGGATAAAGTGCATGTCAACAGTTGCATGAAATGGTATTTTACTTTTGGATTACTGTTTGGTTTTATTCTCTTTTTAAAAAAATGAGCAAATGATCAAGTTATTTTGGGGGTAAATAAAAGAAAGAACATACGTGAGTCAGTAAATGCTTAAATTAAGGTAAATCTTGGATCACTGTTTCTTGACACACTCTCAGCAATGCTCAAATATGGTCCCTTAAGAAAGATAAATGAGGTTTGGGTGTGTATGTGGCTAGGCTCTATACAGATGGAGAGTGGTAATGGTTGCACTTATTACTTCTGCATTGGATGGATTTAAGGGTTCATATGTTAAAAATTAAACAGTAAATCCATACATAACAGGTATGGTTACCCTTGAGTCAATAAGGAGAATGTGTAAGGAACCCAGGTTTATCATTAATCTAATCCCTCATGACTCAGGTCCGTTAAAAGAAGTTAAGTCTTTGCTGTTTGATTCTTTCTAAAATATATATTTTCCTTGACACAATGAGCATGCTACAGCTAATTATTCAATAACAATAAAGATACTGGTGTTTTACCTCTGTGGGTAAGGAGGTCAGAGACCGTTGTAGATAATAGTCAAAATTCATGTCCTGGGTTTCTGTGGCTTGTTCATCACTAAATTATATGAGAAGAATAAACGGGTAAATATATACATACATAAAAAGCAAACCGTGGAAGGACCAATAATGGAGATGAACCAAAGTTTATGATTCGTCTAATTCAGCCTAACTGAAGCCCATTGCAAATGATGGAGGGCGTTTATTTACTTTGCATTTTATTTCGTGCCATGGTTGATTTACACACATTTTCTTTAATGTAAAAGATCAAGGCTCTTCACTCCTGTAGGCAGATAGGAAGAGGAAGATGGTGTCAGTTAAGATGGGGGTTCACAGTTGTTATTCTATTCTATGATTATCTGTTGCTGTGTAATGAATTGTTGAACAATTTAATGGCTTAAAACAAGAATAATCGTTTGTTACTTCTCATGGTTTCTATGTGGCAGGAATCCAGGAGAGGCTTACTGGGGGCAGTTTTGGCTTGGGGTCTCTTGTGAAGTTCCAGGACAGATGTCAGGTGGAGTTGCAGTTATCTTAAAGCTTGACTCTACTAGAGGGTCTGCTCCACTCACATGGCTGCACAGTCGGTGTCTTCACAAATGAACTCTTCCTTCCTTAGGACTGCTTGAGTATCCTCACAACATGGCAGCTGACATCCCCTAGTGTAATCAATCTAAGACAGAGAAAGGTGGAACCTTCAATGTATTTTATAATCTAGCTCTGAAGTCACACACCATCATTTTCACATTATTCTATTGGTAATATCGGTGATCATGATTTAATATGGAAAGAAGCTACACAAGACTATGCATGCCAGGAGGTATGGGCCTTGGGAGGCATTTCGGAGGCTGGCTACCTCATACTATCTTTAAAATATGAACAAATTAAAGGAAGTGTGGATGAAATGCTAACATGAGATTGGTATGAAGCAAGGAAGTGTACTTAATTGTATAACGCTGAGCTTCATTCTAAAAAATGTAGTATCACTTCTATGGAGAATAAGCTTATAGATCTCAATAATATTCAAGGATCTTGTTCTTAGATTTTTTTGATTTGTGTCTATTGGCTTTATTATTAGTGACTCAATGAGTGAAGCAAATAAAGGTATGAATGAATGAATAAAAAAGGAATGCTAGGACTAGACCAATGATGAGTATTCTGGGGTGTCTGAGTCAATGATTTTGATTAAACCCCATAACTCTGAGGTCCATTATAAGAAGAGACCTAGTTAACACATATATGGTAAATGATATTACAGTAGAAGTTAGAATTATTTGGGGTTTTGTTCTTAAGCTTTTGAGGTTCATAGGTATGGATTGTATTACTAGAAGAGAATTAATAAATGAATCATGAAACCAATATGTAAATAAGGAAAGACAAGTAGAGCCATATGTGGCCTAATTATGAAAATGTATAACATATTTATTATTAATATGCTTCTGAAGCACTCAGTTTCAACATAAATTGATGAAATCTGATACCTATATGAGTAAGGAATGTATATAGAGATAAGTACCTAGAAATTGAGGTTTGTCCTGCATTATTTAGGTGGTGCTGTTTGTTACTGAGCAAAAGAAAATATGACCTAGTCTGGGAGTAATGAGCAAGGGACAGCTGTTAGTGCCATTCAGATTTCTGATGCAGTCCGTGTGTTAACAGATACTGATGATCTCATGAGTGAATGTATTCAATTGCTTGAGGAAGGTAAAGCAGTGTTTGTTGACTTTGGCTCTATTGACATTTGGGGTAATTCTCTATGGTGCAGGGTTGTCTTTTATATTGCAGGATGTGAAGTAACTTCATTGGCTTCTACTCAGTAGATGCCAGTATTGACCCTCCTCCTAGTGTGACAAACGTTTCTGTAGACTTGGACAAATTTCATCTGTAGGGGCAACATTGTCCCTAGTTGAGAACCACTGAGGAACAACATGGACTGAAGAGGGGTGTGTGTTAAAAAAAGTGTGAATTATTTATCCTGTTGTATCTTACTGATACTAAGATAAAGAAAAACAAAAGACCTAAAACTAGGCTCTTCCCACATGGCGTCAGGTTTGTGTGTGTGGTTGCGTTTAACTGTATTACAGTTCTGGGTTGTTGATGGGTTGATCATATCGTGTTTTCTCTGAAAAAACAAATAATTATTCATGAATACTTAATAAATGAATAAGTAAAACAACAAAAGGATAAAGAAATACATAAAGGAGAGTCTATCATGGACTTTGGTAAAAATTTGCCATAAAAAGTGATTAAATTTACCTAATTCCGTACAGTATGAATGAGATCCATTATTGGGGAAAAGGTTCTAGATTTTTACCATGTGGGTAGAAAACACATAGATGGATACTTGTGGTAGCTTTTATTCTTGTTTTGGGTGCCAGATAAATCAGTAAATAATATTCCAGGCTATTTTGGGCCACTGGTTACAGTGTGGTATGAATGAGAGTTTATGATTAATCTAGTACAGTTCCACAGATGTCCCCTGAATGATTTAAATGCATGTAGGCTGTTCTTTCTTAAATCTGCTCTTAGTTTACACAACAGATGCACCATATCTGATTGAATTATTCTTCAGTGGTGAAAGTTATGGCTCGCTCTTCTGTGGGTAAAAGTGTAGGAATGGATTTAAGTTAATTTTTATATTCTTGATTTGTGGGGGATTGTTCTTGTTTTTTATTATTTTAGAGAAATAAATAGGCACATATTGAAATAAAGTAGAAAAGCCCTGTGCATTGCCCAGTTATAGAAATGTTTTGTAAACAAAAACAAAATTATATTCTTTGAAAGCATTAAAGAAAAGAAGTTAGAGGGTATTTAAATGACATTTAGAGATGAGGACTCTTGCATTTGATTTTTACACTACAGCTAATTCGTATTTCCTTAAGTGACCTAATCTCTTGAATCTTTAAGGGTGGCACATGAGAAAACGGTTTATACTGTCAGTGTTCCTATCGTGGGGTAAGATGGTGTGTTCACGGTCATTTACTGTGCCACATTTAAAATATGGACAAATTAGGCCAGTCGTGGTGGCTCACACCTGTAATCCTAGCACTTTGGGAGGTCAAGAGTTTGAGACCAGCCTGGCCAACATGGTGAAACCCTGTCTCTACTAAAAATACAAACATTAGCTGGGTGTGGGGCAGGCAAATCGCTTGAATCTGGGAGGCAGAGACTGTAGTGAGCTGAGATTGTGCTGCTGTACTCCAGCCTGGGCAAGACTCTGTATCAAAAAAATAGAAATTAAATAAATTAAAATAAAATCTGGATAAATAAAATGTAAAGGAGCAAGAACGAATCAGTGATGAGTATAGGATTGCTAAGAAGCAGTGAATCCATGTGTTTGATGTTTGGATTCACTGTAAAATGATAATCTGTAAACTTTGTTTATCTTAGAAATGTCATGATTTTTATTGTTGCTGTCACCCTGGCTGGAGTGCAGTGGTGTAATCTCAACTCACTGCAACCTCCACCTCTCGGGTTCAAGTGATTCTCCTGCCTCAGCCTCCCAAGTAGCTGGGACTACAGGGGCTCAGCAACACACCCAGCCAATTTTTGTATTTTAATAGAGATGGGGTCTTACTGTGTTGGCCAGGATGGTCTCGATCTCTTGCCTTTGTGACCCACCCGCCTTGGCCTCCCAAAGCACTGGAATTACAGGCATGAGTCACTGTGCCCAGTCTATTGTTGAGTTTTAGGAGTACTTTGTATATTTTGTATAATAGTCCTGTATCTGGTATGTCTTTTGAAAATAGTGTCTCCTAATTTGCTGCTTGCCTTTTCATTTTCTTGACAGTTTCTTTATGGAGCACAAATTTTTAAAGTTCGAAGATCAGTTGATAATATTTACATGATTCTATTTATGGGCTATGCTGTTCCGTTGATCTATTTTTCTGTTCTTTTGCCAGTAGCACACTGTCTATTACTGTAGCTTTGTAGTAAGTTTTGAATATGGGTAATGCCAGTCCTCCAACTATGTTCTTCCCTTCAATGTTGTGTTGGCTACTTTAGGAGAGTTCGGTCAACATCCACAAAATAACTTGCTGGGGTTTTTTATTGGGATTGCATTGAATCAAACTGGGAAGAAATGGTAACTCTTCTTTGATTATATTCATTAGCGTTTTGTAGGTTTCTTCATATAGGTATTGTAATGTTTTGCTAGATTTATTCCTTTATTTTATCATATTGTATTTTGTCTTCTTATTACGTAGTAATGTATACTAATATATAATAGAATATTTACACATGTTATTTATTACAATTATACCTGTTTTATATTTTCGGTTGTACTCATGCAAATAGTATTGTTTTTAATTTAAAATTTCCCTTGTTCAACACTGGCATATTGGAGAGCACTGACTTTTGAATATCAGCCTTGTCTCCTGCCGTTTTACTGTGATCACTTATTAGTCCCGTGAAGTTTTTTATTGTTGTTAGTTCTTTCCTCGATTTTATTTTCTGCATAGGTGATCACATCACCTGCAGAGACAGTCTCATTGCTTCTTTCTCTATCAGTATGCTTCTAATTTCCTTTTCTTGTCTTATTGCGTCAGCCAGAACTTCCAGTAAGATATTCAAAGGCAGTAGGGAGAGAACATCTTTGCCTTCTTCTTGATCTTAATGGGAAAAATTTGAGTTTCTTACCATTAAATATAATGTTAGTTGTAGATTTTTTGTATGTATTTTTTTTATTAAGGAAATTTTTCATAATTCCTAGCTTACTGAGGGTTTATTTTATTTATTTTATTTTTTATTTTTTGAGACAGAGTCTCACTCTGTCACCCAGGCTGGAGTGCAATGGTGTGATCTCAGCTCACTGCAACCTCCACCTCCCAGGTTCAAACGATTCTCCTGCCTAAGCCTTTCAAGTATCTGGGATTACAGGCCTGTGCCACCATGCCCAACTCATTTTTGTATTTTTAGAACAGATGAGGTTTTGCCCTGTCGGCCAGTCTGGTCTCAAACTCCTGGCCTCAAGTGATCTACCCACCTTGATCTTGCAAAGTGCTGAGATTACAGGTGTGAGCCACTGCACTTGGCCTTATTTTTTAATCATAAATGGATGTTGAATTTTTGTCAAATGCTTTTTTATATTTATTGATATGCTCATGTGGTATTTTTTCCTTTGTTGATGTAATAGATTAAATTAATTGATTTTGAAATGTTGAGCCAAACTTGCATATATGTTACAAATTCTACCTGGTTGTGGTGGTAGTATTTTTTTGAGAATTTTAACATATATGCTCATGAGAAATATTGGCCTATAGTTTTTTTTTCTTTGAATTTTTTTTAATGGTTTTGGTATTAGGGTAAAGCTGGCCTTTGGGAATGAGTTAGAAAGTAGATCTATCTTCTGAAAGAGGGTACAGAATTGATATAATTTCTTCCTGGGTGTTTGGAAGAATTAACCAGTAAATCCATCTGTGTCTGGTGTTCACTGTTTTGGAACGATAATTATTGATTAAATTTCTTTAATAGATATAGGACTATTCAAATCGTTTTTCTTCTTGTACGAGTTTTGGCAGATTGTGTCTTTCAAGGAACTGGTACATTTCTTTCATCAAATCTGTGGGCGTGGAGTTGCTTATATTATTCCTTTTAATGTCCATGGAGTCTGTAGTGATGTTCCTTCTTTCTGATGTTAGCAATCTGTGACTTTTCCTTTTTTCTTAGTTAGCTACCTAGAGGTTTTTTGATTTTGTTGAGCTTTCCAAAGAACCCATTTTTTTGGTTGTTGTTGATTGCTCTTTGTTGATTTCCTGTTTTCAGTCTCATTGATTTCTGCTCTAGTTTTTGTTATTTCCTCCTTCTGCTTACTTTGGACTTAATTTACTCTTTTTGTCTAGGGTGGAGGCTTACATTAGTAATTTTAGATCTTTTCTTTTTGAAAGTTAATATCAACATTATTTTAAATGAAAAAATATAATTTTATGTATCTATGGGGCACAATGGTATGTTTTGATATGTATGTATGATGTAAAATCATTAAATCAAGCTAATTAACATACCCATCAACTTTGTTGTTTGCCCATCATTTTACTGTGAGACATCTGAAATTTACTCTGAGTTATTTTGAAATACACAAATATAGTCAATGAAATATCATTGACTATAGTCACCCTGCTTTGGAGCAGATGTCAAACTTATTCCTCCTGTCTACCAGAGACTTTGTACTTTTTGATCAACAACTCCCCATTCTCCCTTATTCCCACCCCATTCTCTGTTAACCATCATCCTAATCACTACTTCTATGTGTTCACCTCAGAGAATATGTGATATTTGTCCTTGTGTGCCTGGCTTATTTCACTCAGCATTATGTCCTCCAGGTTCATCTACACAGTCACAAACGACAGAATTTTCTTCTTTTAGAAGGATGAATAGTATTCCGTTATGTGTATGGTCCACATTTTCTTTGTTCATTCATCCCTTCCTGGACGTTATTTTGTTCCATATCTTGGAGACTGTGAATAATGGTGCAGTGACATAGGAGTGCAGATATCCCCTTGACATCTTGATTTCAGTTTCTTTGGGTGGGATTGCTGGATAATATGGTAATTCTATTTTTATTATTTTTTGAGGACCCTCCATAACTTTTACCACAATGGCTATACTAAATTACATTCCTACCAGCAATATAGAGGAGTTCCCTTTTCTCTGCATCCTTGGCCTCATTCGTTACCTTTCATCTTTTTGATGAAAGCTATTCTAAAAGATGTGAGATGGTGTCTCGTTGTGGTTGTAATTTGTGTTTCTCTAGTGATTAGAGTGACTGAGAATTTTTTTTATATATCTGTCTGCCATTAGTATGTCTTCTTTGGGAAAATATCTATCCACATCCTGTTTCTATTTTTAAATTGGATGTTCTTGCTATTAGTTTGTCTGTGCTCCTTACATATTTTGCATATTAAGTCCTATCAGATATATAGTTTGCAGGTTCTTTTTCCTGATCTGGAAGTGGTCTCCTCATTTCCTTAATTGTTTCCTTTGCTGTGCAGAAGGTTTCTAATTTGATGACATTCTATTTGTCCATTTTTACTTTTGTTCTCTGTGTTTTGGGATCATATTAAAAATTCATTGTCTAGACCAATGTTTTGGAGCTTTTCCTCTGGTGGTTTTACAGTTTCAGGTTTTAGGTTGAAGTTTTTAATCTATTTTGAGTTGATTTTTGTATATGGGGTGAGATAAGGATCTAATTTCATTCTGCCTGTTGATAACCCAACACCATTTATTGACTAAATGGTCCTTTTCCCATTGTGTGCTCTTGGCACCATTGTCCCAAATCAATTGATTGTAAATGTGTGAGTTTTTGAAAGAACTTTTAATTCTGCTCCATTGGCTGATGTGTCTGTTTTTAGGCCGATATTATGCTGTTTTGATTATAATCATTTTATAATATATTGTAAAGTCAAGGATTGGAATTCCTCGAGCTTTCTTCTTTTGCTCAATATTTCTTTTGTGTGTATGTATGTGGCTATTCAGTATCATTTGTGGTTCTATATGGATTTAAGGATTTTCCCTCATCTTTCTATGAAAAATGACATTGGCATTTTAATGGGAATTGAATTGCACATGTAGATGGATTTAGGTAGTGTAGACATTTTAACAGCCTTAATTCTTTCAACCCATAAACACAAGGTATCTTTCCATTTATCTGTGTTTTCTTCAATTTCTTTCAACTAGCGTTCTATAGTTTTCAGTGTACAGGTATTTTACTGTCTTGGTTAAATTTAGACAGTATTTTTGGTGCTATTGTAAATGGGTTTATTTTCTTCATTTCCTTTTAAATTAATGACCTATTATCGTATAGAGTCATTACTGAATTTTTTTGATGATCTTGTATCCTGCAATTTTGCTGAAATCATTTATCAATTCTAACTTTTTTTGTGAGGTAGTTTGGATATTCTGTATATAAAATCATATCATCAGCAAGTGGAGACAATCTCACTTCTTTTCCTATAAAGATGCCTTTTATTTCTTCTTCTTCTAGGATAAGTCTACTTTACTTCCACGTAACAGCCACAGGATAGATGAAATTAATTTTCTAAGAAACAAAATCTTGGCAGTTAGTTCCATGGGGTAAAGAATATAGATACTAATGTAACACCTCAAGTGCATGTCCTTGGTTTGATTGCTTTGCTCAAGAGTGTTTAGTGGTATTTCATAGGAATCAATGTCTATAACAGCAATTAAAATCACAGGCGTGGACCAAATGTCTTCTGAAAATATGTTTAATATAATTTGACACAACTGAAGTGATAAGAAATATAGTAGTTAGACCATTCATATTCACAACTGTTTAACATTGTATCTTATTTTCTACCACAGATGATTTAATCTTTTCCGAATTGGTAGGATCCTGGCTGATAACTCTTTGTGTGGCAGCCTGAGAGAATACGGAAGACGTTGTCGGTGTTGGAAGATGGTGGTTTCATCGCTTTTCATTGCACTATCTTTAAAACATGGGCAAATTGAATAAAAGAAGACTACAGAAGAAATAATGGTGAATGAGGGTTTGCTATGAAGCATGGATGTCAATGAATCATCCATGTTGTCTGCTGTAGAAGGAGATCTAGTCGTTAGGGAGAGAGCCACTAATGGGAGATCTTATTCCTAGAATTGTGTGGTTAAATTATTATTCATGAACCAATGAATAATAAATGATGAAGATATAAAGGAAGAAAAACGTGCTTGGACCAATGATGAGTACCATGGGGTATCTGAAACAGGATTTTTGATTAAACCCATATGCAACTCTGAGGTCCATTACAAAGAGACACGTAATTATTCCTTTTCTGGGAAGTCGAGACTGTTGTGCCCTGTCCTTGGGCTTTGTGGTTCTTGGGGATGGATTGTATTTGTGTTATAAAATCAGTCCGTGAATAAAAAATTTATCAATGAGTGACACAAAAAGCGTAAGTCATGTACTTATCAATGAGTATAATGAAACATGGACTATTATTAAAACTTATCTGAGGCTCCTAATAAATTTATATCCAAGGCTTGTACCTTCTGGTAAAAGGCATACGGTCATTTGTATGCAAGAGTCAAAGGTTTTGTTTTGGTGGTGGGTTGCTGTTTTATTAAGAAAACGAAGCATCTTTAGTCATGTAAATAATTGGTTAAATAATTATTTGAGACCAAGAAGAGACCAAGGATGAGAGTATTAATCTAATTTTTTTTTGAGACGGAGTTTCGCGCTTGTTACCCAGGCTGGAGTGCAATGGCGCAATCTCGGCTCACCGCAACCTCCGCCTCCTGGGTTCAGGCAATTCTCCTGCCTCAGCCTCCTGAGTAGCTGGGATTGCAGGCATGTGCCACCATGCTCAGCTAATTTTTTTTTTTTTTTTGTATTTTTAGTAGAGATGGGGTTTCACCATGTTGACCAGGATGGTCTCAATCTCTTGACCTTGTGATCCACCCGTCTCAGCCTCCCAAAGTGCCGGGATTACAGCCACCGCGCCCAGCCCCCTAATCTGATTTTTAATGGACTTTTACTAAACAAATAAAATAAGAAACTTAGTCTGTTCTTCCTGAGGGCAGTGACTCTAGACAGATGTAAGTATTCTTCAGTGTTCTGGTCCGGTGCTGTGACAGCACAGATACTGGTGCCTTTTGTGTATGAGGGACCAGGTGTGCTTTTACGTCTCTGTTTGTATTTTACAGTCAGCAAACCATGGACCAATTAGGGGCAAATGTTACGATATGAGAATGCCACTTCATGTTTATATATGAGAGACCAGGTGTGCTTTTACGTCTCTGTTTGTATTTTACAGTCAGCAAACCATAGACCAATTAGGGGCAAATGTTACGATATGAGAATGCCACTTCATGTTTTTTTCCATGATGGATATTCTCGGAAAAACTCCAGGCTCTTTCATTGTTTTTCGAATACATACATGGGCCTTTCCAAGTTGTAGTAATTTCGTTTCTTAGAAAAATGATAACATGTTTTTAAAGAGGCTTTATTTGTCTCTATAGAATGAAAACCATGTAGCTGGTGTTATTATTCTCTAATCATGAAGACCATTATTGTTATTTGTGGTCTAATGAGCAGAAAGACTGATGTAAGTAAACATCAAGTTCATGTTTTGGGCTAGGTCGGTGCTCATTGATGGGAGCCCACTACATTATTTCGATAAAACAGATTGTTAAATCGCACCTCAAAGAAGGAAATGCCGGTCACAGACCTATGATTTTAATGTGTCACGAACAAAAACTTAGGATTAATTCAACCCAACCCAACTGAAGACGATTGGTAAATAAATGAGGCGCATGCCGTACATTGTCAGAGTAACTTAAACTCCCATTTAACGCTTAATAATAGTTGCTTAATATATTCCGTCACTGACAGACATTTAAGTTGTTGACTTTTTGAGGTAGAGTTACCTTGGAAGATGTTAGATGTTAATTTGCTCAATTGTGGGCTTACATGGTAGGTCCATGGTTTGCATCCAAATTAATAAGTAGACAAATCAAGTGGAAGAGAAGCTGGTAGACCCCAATCATAAGTATGATATTTAAATGAAGCAAAGGCTCTGATGAATCTCTATGTGTGAACGTGAGGTTCATCGCAAAATATGATCTAGTTCATTTCCTCTGCGTGAAAGGGAGTAATGAACAGATCTTGGTCCTGTTAAAGCCTTTTGTTCTCAGTTTTGTGTCATTAAAGGGTATTGATCATATAATTATTATTCCTGAAGCCATGAATGTTTCAGTTGAAGAAGGTATAAATGAATGAGGAAATGGACTGCCTAGCCTGGATCAATGATGAGTACTGGTGGAGGTGTCTGAATCAACACTTTTGATTAAGCCCTCTGTTAACTCTGAGATCAGTTATTGAATGAGAATCAGCCAGAATTCTCTGTAGAAATTACCTAACAGAAGTTAGGAAAATTCAATAAAACTTGTTCTTGAACTTTTGTGGTTCAAAGACATGAAATGTACTATTTTAAGTGAATTCAATGCATAAATAGAGAAATGTATACAGGAGACAAGATGAACAGGCCTACTCATGGAAGTATTCTTTGAGAAAAATGAAAAAGTACTATAAATATTAATACTGGCAATCAAACAAGTATCATTATTAATCTGAGGTAAAATCCTGTTATATGGAACATACTGTATCTGCAGTTGAGACAATTTTTAAATTTTTATCATTTGATTTTTTAATTAAGAAAAGGGAAAGTGTTAGCATCAGCCAGAAATCCATTAAGTAACATCTACTTAACAGATCTTTATAATACACAAATATTCATAATCATTATAGATCTTATTCTTGGGCTACGTCATGAACTCAATAGTGTCTGTTATACTATTTAAAACTAAAAGTTCAATACTGGCCTGAAAAAAGGTTGCATTTTGGAGCCAAGGATTATTGTTATCTAGTTCTGCTTGACTAACATCCGTTTAAGAAAACCTAAATCTATTCTAAATCTGCCCTTTTCTCTCCAGAGTGGATATAGGCCAGTTGATTCAATCATGTAAAAAAGAATTATTATCCTGAGTAAGGAGCATAGAGACAAATGTAAGTAAGTTCCTTGTTTCGTGTTCGTCCTTTGAATGGTTTGCTCTTGAGTGTTAGCTAAAGGATTTCAAAGAAATCAATGTCTACACACACGAAATAAACAAAACACCCCAAACGGACCAATGATGGGAATGTGTAATGAACCATGAATTACATTTATTCTAGATTGTCACAACTGAAGTGATTATAAAAGAAGACAAAAGTTCATGTATTCTCAGAGCAGCTCAACACTATTTTTTATGCCATGGTTATTTTACACATTCCCTTATGGGTAGAGATCCTGCTGGCATCTGTTTTGGGGCAGTCCATAAGAATATATAATATGGCAATTTCATTGTTATTCATCTATTTTTTTGGCAATAGATGAATTAAATAGAAGTGGGCTATATGAAAACAGATGCTAAATGTGAATTGGTAGCATTCGGGGATGTTGATCAATTCGCATGTACACTTTTAAGTGTCACTGTCCTAGAAATGTAGTCTGTAGCTCTATGGACCAAGAGCCAAAATTTAATGATCCTGTTTTGGGGATTTTTGATTGCATCATTATTTGTGAGTCAATAGGTTAATCAATAGATGACAAAAACGCACATGATGGACCAGTGATGAATGTCATGGGGTTTCTGAAAGAACGATTTTGATTAAACCCGTCTGCAACTCTGAGGTCCATCACAGAAAGTCACCTCTTTATTCTTCGCCGGAAATGAGTCTACAGAACTTTGTTCATGGGCCTTTGTGGTTTGAGGGTACGAATTACATTATTATAATGCATGAATACAGAATTTTATCAATGAATGAAGAATAAGAAAGGTGTGCATACACTTACCTCTTAGGGCATGTAATGCAACATGGGTTATTATTAAAACCATTTTGCGATTCTTAGTCCCAGTAAATTAGTAGTGATTAAGGCCCTTATCACTTTGGTAAGGAGCATATGGTCATCTGTGCATGAGACTGTTTTTGTTCTGTGTTGAGGCAGGTTGCTGATTGCTCATTTTATTAAGGAAAATGAAATACATTCACATAAATGAATAATTTCTTGAGTAACTGTAATTGAGAGAAGGCGAGCGTGGAGCAACGATGAGATCTGTATTGAGACACACTCATGATTAATTCAATCTTTCATGGAATTTTACTTCAGTAAACAAACATTAAACAAGTTTGGTACTAGATTCACTAGTGATTATTATATTATCTAAAACACAAAAATTCATGGTGAGAGATACTTCATCTTGACAAAAACAATTTCTGTAAGATAATAAATAGAAAGAAGTGTTTCCTCGAGTGTTCAGAATAGAGCACAGAACAAGGCTGATGGCTGTTTACTACACAACTCTGATTGATTTTAAAGAGCTAATCATAGAGTGTTTGATTCTTTTTAAAATTTGCTTTTTATACTGCAGAATGAACACAGTCTACCTGATTTAATTATAGTCTTCTGGTGAAGATCTTGCCTTTTATCTCTGTGAATCAGGAGAGAAGAGATTGATGTAAGTAAAAATCAAACTTTATGTCCTTGCTTGGGAAACATGATCATGTTTATTTGTTGAATTATTTCTTTTTTTTTTTTTTTTTTTTGAGACAGAGTCTCACTCTTATCACCCAGGCTGGAGTGCAGTGGTGCAATCTCAGCTCACTGCAGCCTCTGCCTCCCGGTTCAAGGGATTCTCCTGCCTCAGCCTCCGGAGTAGCTGGGACTAAAGGCACATGCCACCACAGCAGCTAATTTTTGCATTTTTAGTAGAGGCAGGGTTTCACCCTGTTGGCCAGGATGATCTTGATCTCTTGACCTTGTGATCTGCCTGCCTCAGCCTCCCAAAGTGCTAGGATTGCAGGCGTGAGCCACCTCACCTGGCCTCATTGAATTATTTCAAAGGAATAAATGGCTACATACATAAATGAGTCAAAAGTGGTTATGCATGGACCAATGGTAGAAATGTGTTATGAATTAAGAATTATGATTAATCCATTTCAGCACAACCAAATTCATTAGGACAAAAAGTTGAAAGGTCTTTCTGTGATTTTTAGAATGCCTTACTACGCCGTTTTTGTACCATAGTGGATTTAAACACTTTCCCATTGGTATTGTTATTGACTGTTAACTAACTGAGAGAAGAACATAAGAAAATGGAAAATTTTGCCTATAGCTGTGGTATAATCATGGTGCCGTCTTAAAGAAATGGACGTTAAATGAGAAAAACCCAACCGTAGTAATGGCTGATATGGAATTGAGGTGGTGCAGTTTGTGGAAATGAATTAATTCACCTTTGCAATGCTGAGGCTCACTACAGAGGCAGACAGTCCTTGAGTCTTAAGGAACATGAATCTTACATACATAGTTACATCTTCAAGGATCTTTATGCCCTCTAATTCTTGGATAGTGATTTTACTGTTAGTGAATGAATGTGTAACTCAAGATCAGCATAACTGAATGAAGCACAGAATTCCAAGTCTGGATCAATGATGAGTATGCGTGGGGCATCTGAATCAAATATTCTGATTAAACCCTGTCTGTATCTCTGAGGTCCATTGCATGCATGGGAAATGTGCTTGGAGAGAAACTTAGGCGTGTTCAAGGAATGTGTTCTTGGTTCTTTTTGGTTAGTGGGCATAGATTGTATTATAAGTAAATCAATGAATGAATAAAGAAAAATACAGATAAAGACAAGGAAGGCTACATCTCATTCAGTTATGAAAGGAGCTAATTATGTTTTGAGTTCAAATAAAATAAAATAATTCTGCTCCTCCTTTGAGAACATATAGATAAATATTCACACAATGCTCCAAGTTAGTAGCAAGTTTCTGGTTGCATATCTTGTTTGATTTAGAAAGGGATAAGACATAAATAAATGATGTATTTAGTTTGATAATACTTAATATAATAAATAATAGCTAATATAATTAATATTCATATTCAACAATAATATTATAAATCATGCCAAATATATTAACATAAAATTGTTTTAATAAAAACCAATTTAACACATTAATAACCATTAAAATACTAATGATTAGGTTGAAAATGTGGAAAAAGTCTAAGAATGAACATTGAAAATTTGAATATAGTAGCTAAAAGTCCTCTCATGATTGCTGATTTTTATTTAAAAAGAAAAATGCAAATGTATTTTTGATGACTTTTATGAGTAGTAAGTGAATAAGTAGACGTTAGTGTAATGAAGGGCTTTTGTCCAGTGTCCTTTGAGTTCATGAATATTGGCACTATTATTATGAGAAAAAGAATCATTTTATATCTCCACCCCTTATTTAAAAGAGGGCAAACCATGGACTAGAGAGAAACTTATGTAGTGCATGAAGGGGTGTGGTTAATCTTGTCTGTCCTCTTGAAGTCCACCTAAATGGAAAAGGTCCAGGACCCTCCTTCCTTAAGGAGGGCTGTAGAGACCCATTCTCTAGACATATTTTGCTATTGACATTTGAATGAAAATTAATAAAAAATAAAAATTCAGTTCTTCAATCGCACTAGCCACACCCCAAGCCACATGTAGCAAGTGGCCGCCGTTTCAAAATTGCTGATATACAACATTCACCAAGGAACGTTCCCATAGCACAGATGGGGCTAACATGAACTGTTGCAGGTAACGGTATTCAGTTTTAGGTAGCGGGTGGCTTCACTATTTTGAGTTTTCTTTAGAAAAAAAGAGTAGATAATTGAATTATTTTTTGAGTCATTAAATAGATGAGTAAATAAACACATAAGTAAATAGCTTGAATTAAAATAACTGTGACCCACTGGTCAGATTGCGTTATAAAACAACAATTTCAATTCATCTTATAGTGCAAAAGTTTTCCTCATTAACAATGTGTCTTCCCTTTATGCTGGAAATACTTCGGCAGATACTGAAAACTGCTCTTCTTATGTTGTGTGGTAGATTCGAAAATGTTCACGATATTATTTCATGCTAAGAATAAGTTAACAGATGAAAAAGAACTACTGTTGGGTTGATGGTGAAAATTTGATACAACCAATGTTTATGATCCATCTAGTAATAGAAACCTAACTTCTACTTAAAAACAGATTTCAAAAGTTGCACTTTTGATTCTTTACAAAATCTGCCTTTTCCTGCAGAATGAGCAGAGCACACTGGATTTGGTCATTTCCCCAAGGTGAAGCGCATGACGTTTTCTTCTGTGGGTAAGGAGCAATGTTAGTAATAGAATTTCTGTTGGTGTTTTATATGGTTGGTTCACGTGTGATCATTGAAGAAAGGAGCAAAAGGCCGGATACACAAAAATAAAAGCATCGGCTAACAGCCGACAATAGGAGTGTGCTGTAGGCCAGGGAGGAGGACTGACTCTTTTTAGCACAATAGAGACTTCTTTTTTAAAAAGCTAGAAGGAATTTAATTTCCGAATGTTTGACATTTTGTAGTATTTCTGCACCGTACTTGATTTAAACATTCCCGTATTGGAAGAGATTCAGGCTGTTGACCGTTGAGGAGAAGCTCTTGTAAGGTGAAGCGTGCTGCCTGTGTTCTGGTTGGGGACACCATTGCAGGTTTTGATCGTTCACTATATCACCTTTAAAATTAGACAAATTGAACACAGCCCCACCATTGGCCATCCATATTGATGGTACTGGTATGAAGCAAGGTTTATTGACGCTTCCACATGTGGTACTGAGATCTAGTCTGACAGCGTTGTGGAAATTGAGCCTGGAGACAGGTTGTAGTGGTAGCCAGGATCTTGTTCTCGGAATTCGTGATTCATGGGAAAATGAAGGTATACATGAATGAAGAAAAAGAGTGCCAAGCCTGGACCAATGATGAGATTGGAGGGTGTCTGAATCAAAACTTTTGATTAAAGCCATCTGTAACTCTGAGGTCCATTTTAAAAAGTGGCCTCCATTTTTCCCTCTATGGAAATAAGGTTATAGCACAGGTTCACAATATTCAGGTATCTTGATCACAGGTATTCACAGTTTATGGGTATAGATTCCATTTTATAAGTGACTCAATGCATACATGTTGCATAAATGGGTAAATAGAAGGACAGCTTGGCATTGACCAATTCTGAGAGTGTGGATTATTATCATACACGTCTATAGCACTGAATCCCAGTGATAAGTATTGATAAAGACTTTTGCTTTGTTTTGGAAGGAGTATGTGGACAGATGTATGCAGGACACAAAATAATTGTTTGATGTTGGTAGTTGTTTATTGATTGAAGGGAAAATTAAATAAATAATAGGTTTAACAGTTATTTAATTGGAAATAAATGAGCACATTTCAACTGAGTTTTATTAAATACAATTTAATGAGTTTTATTAACAACTAAAAAAAGCGTCTAGTTTTTCAATCTCCCTGAATAGCATCATGGACGTGTGGAGACGTAATATTATTCAAGCTTCTTCTATAATGTTAGTAAATTCCTATATATTGAATTGTCATTGTGAATAGAATACGTCCTTATCACAGTTAAACTTTTTAAAAGAGGGCGTAACACAGTTGGGTAAGAATTGTCTATACTGCTGATGCTCTCTTCCTAGTTAGGTATGGGACTATAGACATTGAACATGAAAAGCATTTCTGCTCTGGGTTCTTCATGAGTTTACTGCAGTGTGTGTGTGTGTGTGTGTGTGTGTGTGTGTGTGTCAGTATTTGTGAATGTATAATAGAATATTCCATGAGTCATAACATAAATGAAGAAATCAAAACAATAAATGATCGAATTAATATATAAGTAGGGTCAAGCATTTACCGTTGGTGAGAATATGCCATGAATCATGAATTTAAATTCATCCATTTCTATACACGTTGAGACGGTTGAATAGAAGGATGATCTAAGCCGTTGTCTACGTGGGTAGGTGTCCATGGACAGACGAATATCATAGTTTAGTTTTTGTTTTGGGTGTTGAATTTAACAGCGTTTATTGTATTATTTAAACACTATTAACTATTTCAACTATTATTATTTAATAGTTAAATCAAGAAAGAAAAATAAGCTCAGTTCTTGGGTCAGTGATAAAAATGGGATTTGAATCAACTTTATGACTAGTTATTATCACACAACGAACGTCTTTTAAGTCAGTCTGAATCTGTACTGTTCGTTCTTTTGAAAATTTGCATTAACAAACTCCACAGAATGAAGACTGTGGCTGGTTTAATCCGTCTCTGCTGATGAAGATCTTGGCTGTTACCTTTTTCGGGTAAGGAAGCTAAAGACTTAAGTAAATAACAGTCAAAAAACTTGTCAATGAGGGTACAGTCTTCGTGAATGTTCACTGAGTTATTTCGGGCAAGCTCTATGTAGATCAGGGATATGAATGTGTTACAAACTGAGGTATGGTTAGTCCAATTCAGCACAACTTTGGTTAATAAGGTGAAATACATTTCATTCATTTTTATATCTGGTTAATAATTCGTCCTATTTTTTACTGTGTTTAAGATTTATTCAGTAATGAAGTCTGTGGCTGGACTGTTCAATGTTGTTTCCTCCATCTCCACGTGGTTGTTTATACTTGAAATGGTTAAAGATACAGGCACTTTTAAATTTAATTTCTTGGTTGCATTAAACACGTTTCTAGTACTCAGTAGCTATATGTGGCCGTTGGTGACTGTATTGGAGAATCCAATTACAGTACATTTACATTATGTGCAAACTCCTGTTAGACAGCTCCTACTGCAGGAGGAATGCACGGAAAGGGGGAAAAGAAGTGGAATGAGGTGGTGAGGAAGCAAGGACATTCATTGATCTATGCTTGCTTCACTGTGGGCCACTACAAAAGGAGATCTAGTCTACTGAGAAAAGGGCTAGTCTGTGCGAAAAGAGCCTGCAAACAGATGTTGGCAATATTCAAGGATATTGTTCTTGGGTGTTAAAATAGCAATGGGTATTGGTTTTATTACTGCTGCTGAATCCATGGATGGATCAATAAACAAACGTATAAATGAAGCAGAAGATTGCTTATCCTGGATCAGTGATGAGTACCCTGGGGTGTCTGAATCTCGGATTTTGATTAAACCCTGTGACTCTGAGGTCCATTACAAAGAGTACTTTTCATTATCTCTATGGGAAATGAGCTTATTCCAAAAGCTAATAATAATCAGCATTTAGTTCTTGGGCTTCCGAGTATGGACTGTATTATTTTTAGTAAAGGAGTACATGGATAAACCAAGAAAATTGCTGTGTAAGTCGATTAAAAGGTGGTTAGTCCTGCCTGAATGTGAGAGTACAGAAAACAACAAGAATCGTTACTGATACAGTTCAGAAGCACTCAGTCCCAGCGAAGTAGATTAGTCAGAGCTTACCCTTTGGGTAAGGAGCATATAGATAAATGGACGGTAGAGTCCAGGTTGTTGTTCTGGGTTAGGGTGTTCATTTTTTTTGTCTTTTTTAAAAGAAAAGTCAAAATATTTACTTACATTAATTATTGATTAAATCACTTCCTAATCGAGAGAGGTTTTACACACGGATCTGTCTTGAGAATATGTCAAATGACCAATTATAATGAGTTCTAATACTCTTCATTGTATTTAAATTCAGTTCCTTGGTTTAATTTACAAAAACAAGGAAGATGATCTGAATTTTCTGTTTAATGAGCATGTGGACACAAGCATTGATATTGTCCAGTTTCTGTGGAGTCACGGATATAATGATTTTATTACAAATGTAAAAAGAATAAATCAATGTCTCAACCAAGTCCAAATCATGAACCAATGAGGGCCAGGTATTGTGGAACAAAAAGAGGCATTAATCCAGTTCCACACAACTGCTCATCAGAATCATTGTTTCCATAAACGAAATTGACATAGCTCTTGCATTTTTGGAATGCTGAATGTATTTCTACATTTGCATAGTATTTCCCTTTCAGTCTTGTTGGTGCAGTTTCCTTTAGACATGGAATAGACAAATGACTCCATGTGTAACTATTTAACTTCGTATGTATTATGCATGCATGCACAATGCACAGTTGATGAGAACGTACGTGAATCTAGGATTTAGATGAATTTAATTCTTTCTAGCCAGATTCATGCAGAAAGGAGGTTTAACTCTTTCGTGGTTGGGTTGAAGGCAGGTAAACAGACAGACAAGTTTAATAGTCACAGTTCTTACTCTTTTGTCTGGTGTTGCCGATAGTAGTTAAATTTAATACATGAGTCCATAAATCAGTGAATCAATGGATATGTCATTCATCTTTCAAATATATGATGATGCCAGGGTTTATTCCTAATCAATAATTGATGAACTGAATTTTAAAAAATCTAAATCTGGGCTGATCCGTTTCTCTCTCTCTCTCTCTGTCATCTACCTATTTTATATTCACTTCATACTCCACAGAATGGGTGTGCAACAAGTCCGCTATTCTCCAGCAGGAAGGTCATGGCCGTTGTCTGTGTGAGTAATGAATGAGTGTAGAAACATATGTAAGTAACGAAGGGATTCCTTTTGCTTTAAGGGCTATCCTGAGAGTTAACTCGTACTGGAAAGGAATAAATGGCTATGTATACAGTTAAATGAATGACATCTATGTGTGAATGATTCCGCACATCTATGGTCAGTGAAGGAGAAAAAAGCAGGACCATCTTAATCATTTTAAATTGTTAATCAGTTAATTAATGTAAAAATTAATTATTCAATTTTATTTGAGTCGCAGTTGATTTTAAGCTCCCTCTGTAAAGACAGCTTAGTCACATTCCAAGATGGAGGACGCTGTCGGTGTGAAGTAAAATGTTAGGTTCCTAGTAGTTTATTGTCACATCCTTGAAATATGGACAAGGTCAATGAAAGATGATGAAGCCTTGACCAGTTAAGTGTATGGGATTAATATGAAGCAGGTATGGTTATTTAAAGGTAAACTTAAATTATTATCTATGTGAGAGGGGCATAGAGACCTGTTCATTAGGGACGTAGCTCTTTTTCTTGTATTTAGGAATGAGGTTTATCATACTCTTAGTCTATTAAAACTTAACTTTAAGCTAGTCATAGGCCAATCATAAGTGAGTGATAAAAGTCTGTTACCTATCCAAAATTTCAATTAATCCAGTACCACATGACACCCATAAACAGAAAGAAAAATCACAGTGGTTTCATTTTTTCTAACATTTGTTTTGTACTTCCAGAATGGAGGCATGATGGCTGATCCAATCATTTTCCTCTGATGATGGTTTTGATGGCTACCTATGTGAGTATGGAGGACACATGCTGCTGTTAGTAATTGTGTTAAGTTCTTAAGTCTAATATCAAGGATTTTGTTAGTAAATTTTGATTTTATTATATAACCAAGTAGAAAAGAAGATTGAAGCATTGTTCAACTATGAATAAATGTGATTAGGCAAGAAACACTACTAAGAGAAATGGAAAACACTAAAGTCTCAAGAAATATGTGGATCAAGCATGTTACTTCTTTGTTTAAGGGTCCTAAGACACTGCATATAAGAAATAGTCAATATTATTGACTGGTCTGCTTTGTACTCCTCAGAATGAACAGCCCCATCTGATTTAAGCACTGCGCCGTGACCATGAACTCTACGGTTACCTCTGTGTGTCACAGGAAGACTCTTGTGAGTAGTCGTCAAAATTCTTGTTTTGTTTTAAGGGTATTCTCTGTATTCTTAAAAAGTCTAAAATATAATCGAATGAAGTCAAGCACTTTTATTATTCACTACTTACATATAAATTTATTCTTAAGATTTCCCTGTTCATAGCTATGTATTTGATTATTACAGCACTATTAATGAATTGATTGATCAATAAACGCTGTACATGTGAATGAAGACAAATAGAGTCAATCTTGGACCAATGATGATGACTGGTGGCGTATGAGTCATGGACGATGAATACAGGTCTGGAAGTCTGAGGTCCAATATGATAAAAAATCTAGTCTTTACCTTCTGATCCAAAGGGTAGACTTTAGGAATATTCCAAGATGTTGTTTTTGGTCTTTGTGTTCATGCCTTTTCCCTCTATTTTTATAATTGGTTCAATGAATCAATAAACAAATATGTAACTGCATAAAGATAAAAAAAGTGAGGCATTGTCCAATTGTGGAAATATATAGTGAAATAAGAAATACTATTCATATATATTAAAAACACTGAGGTCTTCTTTCTATTAAGAAATAAATGACTCAAAGGTATTATTCCCTTGCTGGAGGATGGCATCATCAGGAGCAATAAGAGCTTATGGCAGGTCATTTGGTCAGGGCCACGTTCATTGTTGTTTGTTTTCTCAAGAAAAAATACAGTTTCACACACACTGACATGACTAATAAAAGGAAAGGAGAAGGCCGGGCGCGGTGGCTCACGCTTGTAATCCCAGCACTTTGGGAGGCCGAGGGGGGTGGATCACGAGGTCAAGAGATCGAGACCATCCTGGTCAACATGGTGAAACCCCCTCTCTACTAAAAATACAAAAAAAAATTAGCTGGGCATGGTGGCGCGTGCCTGTAATCCCAGCTACTCAGGAGGCTGAGGCAGGAGAATTGCCTGAACTCAGGAGGTGGAGGTTGCGGTGAGCCGAGATCGCGCCATTGCACTCCAGCCTGGGTAACAAGAGGGAAACTCCGTCTCAAAAAAAAAAAAAAAAGGAAAGGAAAGGAGAAGTGTATGGAAAGAACATTTCAATCTTTTCATCTTTTTTGCTTTGTACTCTCAGAACGAATGCTCCCAAGTTGACCTAAGCAGTGTTCCACAGTCACCAGGTTTCTGGTTGCCTCTGTGTTGGAAGCTTGGAGACCAATGTGAGTATAGTCAAAGTTCTCGCCGTGGTTCTAGGGTTTTTAAAGGGTATTCATTGTTTTACTAAAAGCATTACAGATAATCCAAAAGGTTAACCGCGGTCCAGTGATAAATATGGCATTACCACGAAGCATGCTAATTATCTAATATTTACAAAATTAAAAATAATTCATGATGAAATCACTGTGACAGATGATCCTGTAGATAGCTATAAAGTATTTCTTATTCTTAAGTTTTTGCAACGTTATTTGATTATTATATTATGTGTTTGAAACTCAGTGGTCCCACACAGGGATAATCTAGTCCTCTGGTTCTATTGGACATGATTCTATAGACAGATGGTACATATATGTAAGGATCATATTCTTGACTTTTGTGTTCACAGATTTTGATTCTGTTGTTATAACTGGGTATATTAAAATTATAAAAATTATCAACAAGCAAATATAAATAAATACAGCAGGTGAAGCATCATCCAGTTATTAAAATATGTTACGAGGCAATAAAACCTATTAATATATATTAGAAGATAATAGATTAAGCAAGACATGGTTTAAAGGTGTAACTTCTTTGACTAATAATTAAGTAGTAAGTACAAATAATAAGTACTATTACTATAGATCATTGGAATAATCAATAAACAAGTACAAGTAAATCAATAGAAGTAAAATATGACCTAATTATGCATAGTAACAATTCCTAAATGATGGAGTAAATAAACAAAATGTGGAAAGTGAGACCAACGCAGATGTCTCTATGTTAAAAATCCCCTCGTTTGCTTTGTGCTCCTGGGAATGGGCGCCTTTGAAAGGATTGCGCTTGCCCTGTGTGTTCGGCCCACTGAAACCGACGTGAGTAATAACGGTTAAAGTGTCATCTTGTTTGAATACGCTATTTTTAAGGGTATTCACTCCATATTTAAAAAGTGTGAAATGTCACCACGGAAAGCCATCTGAGGCAAGATGATCTACATGGAACTATTATGCACTGCAATCTTATATTGACTAAGCTGTATATGAAACCTTGAGAATGATTAGTGAAACCTTATGGAAGTGGCGAGTTAGTTGGTAAGAGAGAGGTAGGATATTTAAGTGTCTTGGCCTTGAGTTTGTGATGCAAGAGTATTTGTTTTAGTATCGTCAGGGAATTAATGAATTGGTCCGTAACAAAAGCAGATAAGAATGAAGAAAGAGAGTCCCAAACCCGGACCGATGATGACGACTGGTGGCGTTTGAGTCATGGCTGATGAATAATACGTGTCTGGAAGTCTGAGGTCTGGCAATAAGGAACCTAGCTCGTTGCCATTATTGGGAGTGATGCTGTGGACAGATGTTAGGGATAAAAAAAATCATGGTCTTGGCCTGTTGTTCATAGATTTTGATTTTATTATTATAAACAAGCATAAATAAATAGAATAAGTACTATCCAATTACAACAATTGTATAAACAGATAAAAGAACTATTCATATATATTGAAAACAGTGGGGTCTATTATGAAATAGCAGTCACTACACAGAGCAGTGTTCTTGATTTGTGTCAGTGGCAAGATCAATGTTGTTAGTTTTCTAAAAATAACTAATGTTAACTCAAAATTATAAATACCTAAATGACGGGCTAAATGAAAGGTGACATGCATAGATCAGGGGAAACTATGTCTCCGTTTCTATTTTCTTTCTGTGCCCCGCTTAGTACTTCTCAGAACGGGCAGAGCCACGCCTTCTGCGGAGATCCCTCTCTGCGGTTGCCTCCGGGTGGGAGCCTGGACACTAATGGAGGTAACAGTCAATCTTCTTGTCATATTTTTGTATTTGTTTAGGGTAGGTTTTTAAAGATTCACTATAACATTTTAAAATAACCAAAGAAAGCCACCCGTGACCCAATGGTAGATATGTGGTGGACATGAAAACTGTTGATTAATTAATATCACTGTGGATGTTTAATAATAACAAAAAAAGCATCTTGTGCTCAAGGGTTTTGGGATTTTGTTTATAAGTGTTTCAGGTATGTAGATATTTACTTTAATATGATTAGTTTACTGATAAATTAACTGGTAAAGAAATGTAGAGATGAATGAGGTAAAAGAGGCCCAAGCCTGGAGAATGACTGTAGGGGACGAGTAGTCAATGAGGAGGAATGATGGTTTGTGTCTGGACATCTGAGGTCCAACACTAAAACATTTAGTTTAATTACTCTAATTACTCTGATGGAAATCCAAAATAAAAGAGCAAAATCTTTGTCTATTCCTAATACGTATTTGATAGTATTCTTATAAGTAAATCAATCATGGAAGCATTAAATTAATATATAAATCAGTAAGTCTGATATATTATACTATAGGTGGTGAAGCTTTGTTCAATTATCAATATATGTGGTCAGGCAAGAAATATTATTAATAAATGTTGAAAAATTATTCCCATTAAGAAATAAGTGGATCAAAGTGTTACCTTTAATTATCCTATGGACACTGATAAATAATGGTCAACTTGATTACTCTGGTTCAAAGCAAGTGAAGGCCGTATGTTCTGCCCAGAAAGCACATGAACTAGAAAAGGTTAATCAACACCTAAGTGAGCAAGTAAATTAAATACAGGGAGCAGGATTCGGTGAAGATAAAGTCCTCATGTTCTTTTAACCAGTGCTCTGCTTTGTACTCCTTAGGATGGCCCTGGAGCTGATTTCAGGATTCTTTGGTAGTCACAGATATACAGCTGCCTCTGCATGTTTGGCACGTGAAGACCGATGTGAGTTTTTGTGAACGTATACTCTTTATTTGAAAAGTTTGAAATATCATCAAAGAAAGCCAACCATGGCCCAGTGATAAATATGGAATTCGTATGAAACATCGTATTGATTAATCATCTTTGAGGATGATTAATTAAAGAGATAAAGTGATTCTATACAGAGATGTAGCACTATTTCAGGCTCACTCATGTTCTAGCTTTAGGTGCTTCGTGGTGATTTACTTTGTTATCAGATAATTGATGAATTAATTAGTAAACAAAGGTAGAGGAGAGTGAAAAAAAAAACCCAGATAAGCAAAGAACGAAAATAAGGCCCAAGCCTGGATCGATGATGACTGCTGGTGGCGTATGAGTCATGTATGATGAATACGTGTCTGGAACTCTGAGGTCCAGCATAAAAAGAAAATCAGTTTATTGGCTCTGGTGAAAATGACCTTATAGGCAGATCTAAGATTTTACAAGGATCTTGCTTGGCATCTATTATAATTAGAATCCAAATCCATGGATAGTTAGAACTAGAATCATTATAATTAGAATCCACGAATTTGGACTCTAATTATAATAAGTAGGTCAATAAAATTATCCATGTCCAATAAACAGATCGTGTTATTCACCTCAAATATATACAATTAACCCTTTTAATGAAAAAGAATTAATGTATAGTTATAATAAGTGAAGATGAAGAGCGCAAAGTATTGTTCAGCCGTGAAGAAATGAGTGAGGCAAGAGGAAGTAACGGCATGGAAAACACTAAGCTAGTTATGTCGTACACGGCTCCAGCGTGTTGCCTCTCGCTAATGAGGATACGGATAACATCAGCAACGGTCAATATTCTTGTTTTGTGTTAGTGGAAGTTCGATGTTGTTTGTTTTTAAGAGCATGTGAAATATTTAGAAAGCTAACTTGGATAAGCCTAAAAGACTGAATAATGGATTCTAGATGCAAGGATTCATGGAGAGAGTATTTCAATCATGTTCCCATCTGGTCTGTTTTCTACTTCTTAGAATGGACATACCCAAGTGGATTTAAAACTTGGTCACTGATCTCATGGAGACCCATGTGAGTAACGGTCCATTGTTGTCATCTTGGTTCAAGTAGTTTGTTTAGAGTATCCGCTGTCATGTCAAAAGAAGTATGAAATATAAGAAGAAAGACCGGCCAGGCCCAGTGGCTCATGCCTGTAATCCCAGCACCTTGGGAGGCTGAGGCGGGTGGGTCACCTGAGCTCAGGAGTTCGAGACCAGCCTGCCCAACATGGTAACATGGTGAAACCCCATTGTACTAAAAATACAAAAAAATTGGCTGGGCATGGTGGTGCATGCCTGTAATCCCAGATACTGGGGAGGCTGAGACAGGAGAATCACTTGAACCTGCGAGGCGGAGCTTGCAGTGAGCCAAGATCGAGCCATTGCGCTCCAGCCTGGGCAACAAGAGTGAAACTCAGCCTCAAAACAAACAAACAAAAAAACAAATAAAGAAGGCCAACCATTCCCCAGTGATAAATATGAAGTTGACATGAAATGTTATTTTGATTAATCAATATTTGCAGCAATGAGAATAATTAATGAAAGAAGTGTAGTCATCGAGGCATGTGAATCTCCAGAATAATGTGAAGGATCGTCTTTTGAGGTTTTTTTTCTTTGAGATGGAGTTTTGCTCTTGTTGCCCAGGCTGGAGTGCAGTTGTGCAATCTCGGTACACTGCAACCTCCGCCTCCCAGGTTCAAGCAATTCTCCTGCTTCAGCCTCCCAAGTAGCTGCAGCTGAGATTACAGGTGCCCACCACCATGCCCTGCTAATTTTTGTATTTTTTAGTAGAGATGGGGTTTCACCATGTTGGCCAGGCTGGTCTTGAACTCCTGACCTCAGGTGATCCGCCCACCTCAGCCTCCTAAAGTGCTGGGATTACAGGGGTGGTTTTTTTTTTTTGAGTTTTAATCACTAATACGTCTTTATTTTATTATTATATTAACATAATAACAAAAGTAGTTGAGAAAAAAGAAAAAGAAGACCCATCCATCAAAGGATGATGACTGGCAGCGTGTGAATCAATGGCCGTGAAACTATGTGTCTGGAATGCTGAGGTCCAACATGAAATGAAATATAGTCTATTGCTTCTGTTTGAAGTGATCTTATCTACGTATTCTAGGATGTAAAATAACTATTTTCTTGGATTGTTTTTATGAAGTTGGATTTTATTATTATAAATTGATCAATGTAACGATCACTGTAGAAAAACAAGTAAAGATGAAGAGTGTGAAGCATGCCCACATGTCCACAGGTACATAGTGGGCATATGTATTTGTGGGGTACATGAGATGGTTTGACACAGGCATGCAATGGCAAGTGAGCATATCATGGAGAATGGGATCTCCATCCCGTTAAGAATTTATCCTTTGTGTTGTGAACAATCCAGTTACACTCAGTTATTTTCAAATATACAATTAAGTTATTATTCACAGTAGTCATCCTGTTGCTATCAAATACTAGGTCTTATTCATTCTAACTATATTTTTTTGCACCCATGAACCATGCCCATCTCCTGCCCAGCCCCTCACTACCCTTCCCAGATTCTCGTAACCAACCTTCTACCGTCTATGTCCATGGAGTTCAATTGTTTTGATTTTATATCCTACGAATAAGTGAGATGTTTGTCTTTCTGTGCCTGGCTTGTTTACTTAACAGAATGATCTCCAGTTCCATCCATGAAATTGCAAATGACAGGATCGTCCTCTTTTCTATGGCTGCATAGTACTCCATTGTGTGTACGTACCATATTTGCTTCATCCGTCCACCTGCTATGATGAATAGATAAAGTTGGTATTATGGATCAATGGCAATTCGATATTCTTAATTTTCTTAAGAGAAAAATTCGTAAGTATTACTCCAAATTAAATGAATATATACTTACACAATTGACTTACTGAGATTTGGATGTACTCGACAATGCTAAAAACATTTAATCTTATCATCTGCTCTGATTTGAGCTTCTCAGAGTGGCACACCAGAACGTGCTTAAGCAGCCTGCCATGTTCACGAGCTCCGGGGTTGCCTCTCTGTGTATGAGCCTCAGTCCTCTGTGAGTAGTCAGATTCTTGTCTTGGTTTGGGTGGTTTGTTTAGGGCATCCACTGTAATATTTTTAAAAAATTAAATATATTCAAAAAGAGTTATCCGTGGCCTAATGACCAATGTGGAATCGACATGAAACATGATGTTGATTAATTTACAACAACAAGGATGATCAGTGAAAGAGCTATATATTCAGTGCAGTAAGTGAGTCCATATAGTTGTTAGGGATACCTGAAGATCTTGTTCTTGAGTTTTTGATTCATAGATATTTATTGTATTATTTTAGTGAATTAATAAATTGATCAGTAACCGCATGTATATGAGAATGAAGAAAAAGAGTCCTAGGTCTGAACCAGTATTCTAGGTGAATTAATGAGTTAATCAGTATGTAATATAGAAATGAATGAGGAGAAAGTGGTCCTTCTTGGACCAATGGTGACAACTGCCAGCATATGTGTCTCACATGATGAATGATACATGTCTGAAACTCTGAGGTCCGAACCTGAAGGAGTCTAGTCCATGCCCTCTGTTTAGATGACCCCATAGAAAAATGTCAGGAGAGCAACATGGCCTATTCTTGTCTCTATGTTAATTTTTAAAAATATTTTAATTAAAATAGCAATGGCAGAGTCAATAAACATGTATAAATAAATAAAGTTGACACATAAATTACTGTTTGATGTTAAAATGTGTAAGAACAAATCATACTAACGTGAATTGAAATCGATAGTAAGTAGATCAGCGTATTACATCTTTCACTAAGGACCATGTAGACAGTGATAAGTAATAGTTATTGCTCTAAATCAGTTGCAAGTTTAACATTTGTTGTATTAAGAGAAAAATGAATAAGTATCACCATAAATTAATAAATACCTAAATAACTATGCAAATGAACAGTGGAAAGTACGGACCAATGGAGAGAACGTCTCAGTATTTTTACCGTCTCTGCCTTGCACTCTTCAGAATGGATGCACTGAGCTGACTTCAGCTCTCTTCCTTCGTCACAGTTAAGTGTCCTGCATATGAAAGAGACCAATGTAAGTAACAGTCAAAACGTCTTCTTTTTCTCTGGGCCTTTTGTTTCAGGCTATTAGTGATACTGTTAAAAGGTGTTAAAACATATTTAAATAGCTAACTATGACCCAGTTATAAATATGATACAAAATATTATTTTGATTAACTGTTAATGTACATTGAGGTCAATTAATGAAAGATATATACTCTATGTGGGAAATGGTTCCATAGACTAATGTTAGGAATTGCCAAGGATCTTGTCTTGGGCTTTGTAAATCATATGCTTACTTAGTTACTATTAATGAATTAATGAGTTATTCAAACAAATGTAGAAATGAAGAAAAGGGACCCAAACACGGACCATTGATGACCGCTGGTGGCGTTTGAGTCATGGACAATGAATACTACATGTCTGAAACTCTGAGGTCCAGCACAAAATATAATTAGATAGATATCAGAAATGTGCAAATATCATATTCTTGCTTTGGATTAATAGATGTAGATTTATCATTGATAGATCAATGATAGAATAATTAAACAAGGATAGAGGGTGAATCGTTGTTCAATTATGAATATATGTGATGCTATAAGAAATATTGGCCGGGTGCGGTGGCTCACGCCTATAATCCCAGCACTTTGGGAGGCCGGGGCGGGTGGATCACGAGGTCAAGAGATCGAGACCATCCTGGTCAGCATGGTGAAACCCTGTCTCTACTAAAAATACAAAAATTACCTGGGCATGGTGATGCGTGTCTGTAATCCCAGCTACTCAGGAAGCTGAGGTAGGAGAATTGCTTGAACCCAGGAGGTGGAGGTTGCAGTGAGCTGAGATCGAGCCACTGCACTCCAGCCTGGGTAACAACAGCGAAACTTCGTCTCAAAAAAAAAAAAAAAAAAAAGAAATATTATCTCTAAAAATTTTAAACACTGATGCCCCTTAAATAGATCACGAGTATCACCTCTTTGGCTAAGGTTCATAGACTCTAGTAAGTAAGAGTCAGTTTCATTTTCTGGTTCAGTCTCATTTGAGATTGTTCCTTTTGTTATGAGAAAAAACATTTCCATTCTGAAAAATTAATAAATATAAAAATAACTGAATAATGGAAATGTGGAAAGGACCAGTGGAGATAAGGTTTGCATTTTTTTTAATTGCCTCTCTGTATTCAGCAGAATGGATGCACTTGGGCTGACCTCAGCATTCATGGTCAAGAGATTTGTGGTTGCCACTGTTGCTTAGGAGCTCAGACATCAGTGTGAATAATAAATTCATGTCTTTCTTTAAGAGACTTTTTAAAGGGTATTTATAATGTCACGAAAGTGTGAAAAATCATCCAAAAGGCCAGCCTCAGCCAATGATAAATATGAGATTGGTTAAAACATGGGATTTACTAACTCATTTATGACACATCGAGGATAATTCATGAAAGAGGTATCACACTGACAGACTATCCAGAAAGTTCTAGAATATTCAATGCTCTTATTCTTTGGATATTATATTTACATGGATTATAAAGTTAATATTAATGAAATAATGCATAAATACATGTAGATGAGGATTACGCTAAAGAGTCCTAAGCCTGAACCAGTGATGAAAACTGGTGGCATAGAAGTCAAGGATGCTGAATAATGTGTGTCCAGATCTCTGAGGTTCCATAGAGGAGAAGATGTAGTCTATTGCTTTTGAAGTGATCCTATAGACAGATTTTGGAAATACAAAAGGCCCATCTTCTTGGATTCTTTTTGTGAATTTTGATTCTTCTTTAAAATAAATTTGTCGACATGATAATCAGTGTACACATATAAAAAAGTAAAGATGAGGAGTGTGAAGTATGTCCACTCAGTGTAAATGGTGAGACAGCAGAAATCATTACAACGTATTGAAAATACGAATACCATTTAAAAAAACAAGTAATTTAAGCGTCTTCTTTGACTAAGGATGACATTGGCAGTACAGTCAGGTTTCTTATTTTGCATTAGAACAAGTGTGGTATTGTTCATTTTTTTTTTTTTTTTTTTGAGATGGAGTTTCGCTCTTGTTACCCAGGCTGGAGTGCAGTGGCGCAATCTTGGCTCACCGCAACCTCCGCCTCCTGGGTTCAGGGAATTCTCCTGCCTCAGCCCCCTGAGTAGTTGGGCATGGTGGCACGTGCCTGTAGTCCCAGCTACTCCAGAGGCTGAGGCAGGAGAATTGCTTGAACCCGGGAGGTGGAGGTTGCAGTGAGCCGAGGTCACCCCACTGCACTCCAGCCTGGCGTTTGGTGACAGATTTGAGACACTGTCTCAAAAAATAAAAAATAGTCTTCTCTGCTTTGCACTAATGAAATGTGAAATGATGAATGTAAGTGATTCATCACTGAATAGGTAGATGTTTGGGATATAAGAACCTCATTTCTTTGAGAATTTGTGATTCACAGACAATTATTTTATTATGTTTGATGAATTCAGAATTAATCAATGAGCAAAAATAGGGTAATATGAGGAAAAAGACATGTAAACCTGAATCAGTAATGATGATTGATGGTTTAGGAGTCATGGGTGATAAATAATACGTGTCTGGAACTGAAAGGTCTGCAGAAAACAAAATCTAATCTATTTCCTAGGGTCATTTGAAAATGACCATCAGTGTTTGGAATGATAGATTGATGTTAAGAATATGTAAGGGTCTAGTCCTGTTATTTTGGATTCATGGATTTATATATTACTATTTACATATTATTATTTTAATTGACCCATGATCAAAATATTAAACAAATATATAATTTGACAAATATGAAGATGGAGAGGTGGACTTCAACCATGTGGTGATTCAAGATATACTATCAACATAAAATGACACACTAGCTCCCATCATGGAGAAACCCTGTCTCTATTACAAATACAAAAAATTAGCCAGATGTGGTGGCACACACCTGTAATCCCAGTTATTCGGGAGGCTGAGACAGGAGAATTGCTTGAACCCGGGAGATGGAGGTTGTGGTGAGCCAAGATCGTGCCACTGCACTCCAGCCTGGGCAACAAGTACAAAACTCAGAAAAAAAAAAAGAAGGAAGGAAGGAAGGGAGGTGGCAGGGGAGGAAGGAAGGAAGGAAGGAAGGAAGGAAGGGGGGAGGGAAGGAAGGAAGGAAGGAGGGAGGGAGGGAAGGAGGGAAGGAAGGAAGGAAGCAGGGAGGAAGGGAGGGAGGGAGGGAGGAAGGAAGGAAGGAAGAAAGAAGGGTAAGAAGGAAGGAAGGAGGGAAGGAAGGAAGGAAGGAAGGAAGGAAGGAAGGAGGGAAGGAAGGGGGGAAGGAGGGAAGGAAGGGGGGAAGGAGGGAGGAAGGAAGGAGGGAAGGAAGGAAGGAGGGAAGGAAGGAAGGAGGGAAGGAAGGAAGGGAAGGAGGGAAGGAAGGAAGGAGGGAAGGAGGGAAGGAGGGAGGGAAGGAAGGAGGGAAGGAGGGAAGGAGGGAAGGAGGGAAGGAAGGAGGAGGGAAGGAGGGAAGGAGGGAAGGAGGGAAGGAAGGAAGGAGGGAAGGAGGGAAGGAAGGAAGGAGGGAAGGAGGGAAGGAGGGAGGGAAGGAAGGAGGGAAGGAGGGAAGGAGGGAAGGAGGGAAGGAAGGAAGGAGGGAAGGAGGGAAGGAAGGAGGGAAGGAGGGAAGGAGGGAAGGAGGGAAGGAGGGAAGGAAGGAAGGAGGGAAGGAGGGAAGGAAGGAGGGAAGGAGGGAAGGAGGGAAGGAAGGAAGGAGGGAAGGAGGGAAGGAAGGAGGGAAGGAGGGAAGGAAGGAAGGAGGGAAGGAAAAGAGGGAAGGAAGGAAGGGAGGGAAGGAAGGAAGGAAGCAGGATGAAGGGAGGAGGGAGGGAGGAAGGAAGGAAGGAAGGAGGGAAAGAAGGAAGGAAGGAGGGAAGGAAGGAAGGAAAAAATGGACCCATTGGTGTTACCTTTTTTTGACTAGTGATTATGTAGATGCTGGGAAATAGGAGTCAATTTTATTGCTTGGATCAGTCCATTTGAAGTTGCTTGTTTTGTCCAGAATGAATATGTATGTTATGAAAAAATTATTAATAGCTAAACAACTAGTTTGGAATAAAATATGGAAAGCAAAGTTCGACAAAGAACCTTAGTTTTTAAAATCAGCTGCTTTGCTTTGTACTTCTTCAAAGGGATGCACCAGCACTGATTTAAGGATTCTCTCATAGTCACAAGGCGTATGGTTGCCCCTGTGTAGGTGCGTGGGGACCAATGTGAGTACGAGTCAATATTCTTGTCCTGGTTTGAGTATTTTTTAAGAGGTATCACTGTATTATTATACATTTTGGCATATAATCAGTTAATATCTCAAGAATGGAACTGATGTTAATCTGTACATGAAACACTGCATTAATTAATAAAATAGAAATAATGTCTATGGGAAATAATTTTATAGACAGATATTGGATATTCAAGAATCTTGCTCTTGAATTTTTCTGACTCTTTGGTAGTTACTTATTAGTGAGTTGATGAATTAATCTATCAATAGATGAAGATACGAATAAAGAAGAAGAGCCCCAAGTCTGGACCAAAGATGAAGTGTGTGGTGATGTATGAATTACGGACGATAAACACCTGTGTCTGGAACTGTGCGGTCTAACATGAAAACTAGTTTACTGCCCAGGATGTCATTGATCCTATGTACATATATTAGGAATAGCAACGATCTGATTGTGTTTCATAGCTATTGATTGTAACTTCATATGTTGATTAATGCACAAATAACCAAAGAAATGTATGAATACCTGAAGAAAAATGGAATCAAGTATGGACTGAGTATGTCCTCTGTAACATTGCTCTTATAGAGAAACAAATCCTTGGATTTTACGAGTTTTATTCAGATTGGTAGGCAGATATTAAAGTAGCGCTTCTGTTCTACATTTCTGAAAATAAAACAATAAATACCTAAATGACTGGACAAATGAAAGGGGGAAGGCATGTATCATTGGAAAGAAGATCTTGGCTTCTTCCTATTCGCATTGCTTGTATTTCTCAGAATGAAAGCTCCTAGCTGATTTAAGCATTCTGCCGTGGCCATGAACTCTATGTGTTAGGAGCATAGAGACCAATGTCAGAGTCAAAGCACTTGTCTTAGTATGAGTGGCTTGTTCAAAAGTATTTACTGTATTATTTACACAGAGTGTTAAGTCAAAGCTGACTATGGTGTGCTGTGGGACTGATGTGAAGTACAAGTTCGTTACTGGATATGTACAACACAGGTTAATTAGTGCAGGATACGGTGTTGAGTGACTTTACTCTGTAGACAGTTGTTATGGATACTTAAGAATGTTCCATGGAATTGGTGACTCAGGTAAATTTATTGATTATAATTTATTGAAAAACTAATAAATCAACAAATATAGGAAAAGGATGTCAAATCCTAAACCAGTGGTGATGGCTGGTGGCATATTTAGTCATGGTTGATGAATAGGTGCTGGAAACTGAGATGAGTACCTAGAGAGAGATCTGGCCTGTGACTTTTGGTGGATGTAGTCCTGTAGAACGATTAAATCCATGTTAAGGTGATGTTCTTGGACTCTCGTGGGTATGAATTTTGATTGTATTGTTCCAAAACAATCAATGGCAAAGTTTCTACAATTCAATGAAGATGAAGAGGGTGAAGCACTGTCCAATTATGAAAATGAGAGGTGAGGCCTGAAGTGCTATTAATAGAATTTGAAAGTCCTAAGGTCAATGAGTACCTAAGTGGGGCAAGGGTGTCACCTCTTTGGCGCAGTATCATAGATCAGCGGTCCCTAACCTCAGGGCTGTGGACCAGGACCTGTGCAAGGCAGATAGGAACCAGGCCACACAGCAGGAGGCGAGCAGTGGGTGAGCGAGCGTTGCCACCTGAGCTCCGCCTCTTGTCAGATCAGTAGTGATATTAGATTCTTACAGGAGCAGAACCTGTTGTGAACTGTGCATGCCAGGGATCTAGGTCACATGCTTCTTATGAGAATCTAATGCCTGATGATCTAAGGTCGAACAGTTTCATCCCAAAACCACCCCTCCCTGCCCTGGTCCGTAGGAAGATTGTCTTCTTCAAAACCCATCCTGGGTGCTGAACACGTTGGGGACTGTAGGTATAGACAATGAGAAGTAACAGCCGGTGCTAGTGTTCTGCATCAGTGGCAAGTACCATTCTGTCCTATTTTTAGGAGAAAAGACAAATAACAGCATCAGCTCGTAAATATCTACGTGACTGAAGAAATGACAGCTGGAAAGCCGTTGTTAGTGGAGAGAATGTCTCCACCTTTTGATCATCGGCTTCTCCTTTGCATTCCTGTCAGCAGTAGGAGCATGGAGACCAGTGTGAGTAACAATCACATTTTATGTCTCGGTTTGCATGATTTATCTAAGGGCATTCCTTATGTCATGGCATATGAAATAGAATCAAAGAGGGCCGAATGCACCCCAGTAATGAAGTTGGGATTGATGTAGATTACCTTCTTTCAGATATAAAACATCGAGGCTTTCTGTGTCAATCGAGTTTTACTTTCTGGCTTGGTTACAAGTTTGACATGGTCCCTGTTATTGAGACAGAGAGAAAAAACAGGTTTATAATGAAAAATTAATAAATAAGTAAATGAAATTTGGAAAGGAAGGATAAATGCAGATAAGGTCTTAAGTTTTTCCACCACGTGTTCTGCTAGGATGTAAGCCACTGCCATGGTCACAAGCCCTGTGGTTGCCACGGGGCATTAGAAGCGTGGAGACCAATGTGAGTAATAATCAAAGTCGGCGTCTTTGTGTGGGTGGTTTGCTTAAGGGTCTTCACTCACTATATTATTGAAAAGAGTGAAATATAATCAAAGAAGACCAGCGGTTGCCCAGTGACAGCAGTTGGACAAAATTGACATGAAGCACTATGTAAATTAATAGATATATGAAAAACTGGAGACAATAAAGGGGATACATTGATGTAAGATGACTTTAGATACAGACCAGAAATATCAAGGCTGTTCTTGGGTTTTGAGAATGTAGTAGGCCTTTAAAATTATTAGTGAACTAATTAACCAATAGATAACGTGGAAGTGAGTGGAGAAAAAGAGACCCAACCCTGGATCGATGCTGACCACCGGTGGCGTGTGCGTCTTAGGCAATGATCACGTGTCTGAAACTCGGAGGTCTGTTAGAGAAGACGCGTGGTCCGTTCTCTCTGCTTCTAACGATGCCATCGAAATATTTCAGAAATATTTTGCTTTGTGATATTTTCATTCTATTTTTATAATTGGATCAATGTAAGAATCAATAAATACATAAGTAAAGATAAAATGGGTGAAGCAATGTTCCGGCACTTCAGGATATATTATTAACAAGTATTGAAAACAGTGAAGTCCAAAGAGAGATAAACGGCACATGTCTGTTACCTCTTTGGCCAATGATGACATAGATAGTATAATTATAAACAACATTCAGTTTTTTGGTTAGTGGCAAGTTCAAAATTGTCCATCTTGTTGAGAAAATTAAATAAATGCAGTCCAAATAATTACTGCCTAAATGACTAACTAAATGAAAGGTGAAAGGCAAAGATCAATGGTGACAATGTCTCAACTTTGTTATCATCTTCTCTGCTCTGTACTCCTCAGAATGGACATGCTGTACTGTTTTAAGAATTCTTCCATGGCCGGGTGTGGTGGCTGAAGCCTGTAATCCCAGCACTTTGGGAGGCTGAGGCGGGTGGATCACGAGGTCAAGAGATCGAGACCATCCTGGTCAATATGGTGAAACCCCGTCTCTACTAAAAAAAAATACAAAAAATTAGCTGGGCATGGTGGTGCGTGCCTGTAATCCCAGCTACTCAGGAGGCCGAGGCAGGAGAATTGCCTGAACCCAGGAGGTGGAGGTTGCGGTGAGCCGAGATCGCGCCATTGCACTCCAGCCTGGGTAACAAGAGCGAAACTCCATCTCAAAACAAACAAACAAAAAAAGAATTCTTCCGTGGTCCTCTGTTTGCACTGTACTTAGGAAGGAGTGTGCAGACTCACGTGAGTAATGATCAAAGCTCTTGTCTTGGTGGTTTGTTGAAGACTGTGTCATGTATTATAAAATAGTTTTTTTTAAGAGCAGGTACTGTTTATTAACTAACCAGCTTAGAAGAATAATCACAGGAGACACCGTAGTCCATTCTTCTAATAAACCTGTTGATCCGATCCTCCCTGTTGCCAGCATCTCCACCTTCTATAAAATGGGTGGTCTTTTCCTTCATTCTGCCCCGTGGGGAAGATAATTTAAAGGGCCACAGGAAGTTATTTGCTTCTTTGAAGCGTTTTCCAACAGTATAGATCTCATGAATCAGATCCTCCATGCAGATGATGCCATATTTTCCAAGAGACTGAGCAATCAGAGCGTTATCTGTCATAGCAATTCGCTTCTTTTTGATTTTGCCGTAACCACGTTTGTAGATTACTTCATTTACTGACTTCAGATTTGGGTACCCCCTGCAATATATGGCTCTGCAGTCCTCAGCATGTTAATTGAAGCCTTGTTGAGCTTCACAGAGGTTCCATTGAAGATTTGATGAAGGCGAAGAAGCTGCAACAGCTTTCGGACCTTCGGGCTCACACCATCGATACCTCTGGTCCTCATGACAGACGCCAGTTTGGGTTCTGCAGGTGCACAGAAGCTGCCAGCTTTCCCTGCCATCCTCGCCATTCGAATTTCAGTTCTGTACACCTGCCTATATTCCTTGTGATGATGCTTCACTTTTTCTTTCTTTTTTTTTTTTTTTTATCTCAGCAAGGACCTCAAGCGATAGCTATTTTTTTTTTTTAAAAAGTGAAGAAGAGGAAAAAAGAGGAAGAAAAAGAGGGAGAGAGAATGGGAATGTTGCTTTATTCTAAAAATGGGTATTAATAATGGGCCGATCAATATTTTGTGTATTTAAGGTGGAGAATGTATATTTAGTGTGTTTAAAGTGGACAGCTCTATAAATATTTATTGAGTTTACTTGTTCCGGATCTGAGTTCAAGTCCTGGATTTCCTTATTAATTTTCTGTCTCGTTGAGTCTAAATCTCTTTATGAGTCTTATGTATCTGGGTGTTAGGATCGTTAGCTCTTGTTGTTGCATTGATCCTTTTACCACTATATCTTTGTTGCTCTGAAATCTATTTTATCAGATGCGAGAATTGCAACTCCTGCTTTTTATTTATTTATTATTTATTTTTGCTCTCCATTTGGTTGGTAAATCTTTCTCCATCCCTTTGTTTTGAGTCTTTGTGTATCCTTGCATGTGAAATGGGTCTGGATGTAACATACCGTTGGGTTTTGGCTGGATCTTTTGATTGGGGGATTTAGTCGATTTACATTTAGGGTTACTGCCATTTGATGTTAACTGGCTGTTTTATCCATTCGTTGATGTAAATTCTTCTTTATGTTGATGCTCTTTACTTTTTGGTATATTTTTAGAAAGGCTAATACTGGTTGTTCCTTTCTACGTGTAATGCTTCTTTCAGAAGCTCTTGAAAAAAAAAAAAGCTTCGCCTTTTCATAGACAACTTCCTCCTTGCCTCTCGAAGCATCTTTTGGGCAAACTTCTTTCTCAGGCGCTTGATCTTCGGCTCTGCGAAATTCCTTTGCTTTTTCTTAAGGGTTTCCGGCACAGCAGGAACCTCCTTCACTTCTGCACCCTCCATGGTTCCAGCTGGAAAAAGAGGAAGTCCTATAAAATAGTTTTTAATAGGCCAGGTGTGGTGGCTCAAGCCTGTAATCCTAGCACTTTGAGGAGGCTGAGGTGGGTGAATCACCAGAGGTCAGGAGTTTGACACCAGCCTGGCCAGCATGGTGAAACCCTGTCTCTACTAAAAATACAAAAATCAGCTGGATATGGTGGTGGGTGCCTATAATCCCAGCTACTTGGGAGGTTGAGGCAGGAGAACCACCTGAACCTGGGAGGTGAAGGTTGCAGTGAGCCGAGATTGCACCACTGCCCTCAAGCCTGCACAACAGAGTGAGACTCCATCTCAAAAAAAAAAAGTGTATGATACGAAGATGGCCAATGTTATCCCTATGACAGATATGAGACTTATATAAAGTATTATATTGGTAATGCATGGATGAAAAACTGAGGGCAATTAACAAAACAGACATATCCGTGTTAGAATGATTCCAGATACGGAGATGGAATATCCAGGTTTTCTTGGGGTTTTTTTGAATCATAGGGACTTACTAGTAAGTTAACGAGTCAGTCAATAGACAAGAAAGAGTGAGTGGAGAAAGAGATGATCAATCCTACATGGATGACGACTGCTGGTGGTGGATGAGTCTTATACAATGAATATGTGTCTGGAACTCCGAGGTCCATCACAAAAGAAATTGAGCTCATTCTGTATGTTTGAAATGATCCTATCCATATAGATGTCAGAGATACAGGATGTATTTGTTTTTGATCTTTGTGTTTACTTATTTTCATTATATTTTTATAGTTGCTCAATGTGAGAGCCTATATATATAATATATATAAAAAGATAAGTAATGTTAATAATTTTCCAATTATAAAAATCTGTAGTGAGGCATGAAGTCCAAAGAGCAATAAATGGCACATGCCTGTCACCTCTTTGGCCAATGATAATACAGCCAGTATAATTATAGACAATGTTCAAATTCTTGGCCAGTAGCAAGATTGAAATTGTTCATTTTCTTAACAGAGAATGATATTTCTATGATTAATGAAATTTTCTTTACAGAAAATGAAACTAGTATGAAATCCAGTTTCATTTATACAATAAAATAATGATTGTATAAATGACTAACTAATTATAGGTGAAAAGCAAGGATCAATGGTGACAGTGTCTCAGATTTGTTATCATCTTCTTCGCTCTGTACTCATCAGAATGGATGTCCTTGTTCAGATCCGAGGATCAGAACATCCTCCAAGGTCATGTTCTCTGTTTGCACCCTGCTTAGGAAGGAGCTGCAGACCAATGTGAACAATGGTCAAAGCCCTTACTTTGCTTTGGGTGGTTTAAGAGTACTCAATGTATTATTTAAAAGTGTGAAACACGCTCAAAGATGGCCAATGTTATCCTAATTATATGGAAGTGACATGAAATACTATATTGATGATGTGTATATATAAAACAGGATAGTTAATAAAACACACCTAATGTTTCAGTGATTCTGCATACTGATATGGAATATCAGCAGCGTTATTGGATTTTGTGAATTATGAGCCTTGAAAGTTATTAATGAATAAATGACTTAATCAACAGACAAGGTAGAAACGAACAGCAAAATAGAGATCAACCCTCATCAATGATGACTACTTGGTGGCGTATGAGCCAGATACAACAAATACGTGTCTGGGACTCCGAGGTCCATCACAAGTGAAATCTGGCCCGTTCCTTCTGATTCAGATGATCTTATGAATATACGATATGTTTGTTTTTGGTCTTTGGGTTTGTTCATTTCATTCTGTTATTACAATTGGATAAATGAAATAATTTATACATACACGTGTACGTATATGAAGGGGATGAAGTATTGTCCAGTGATAGCATAAGTGGTGAGGCAAGATGTATTATTATTATATTAAAGCTTTTATTTATTAAATAGAACATAATATTAATCAATTAATATATAATTTAACGTAACATTTAACATGTTAAATATAATAATATATTAAAATATTATAATAAACATTGAGGTCTCAAGACAAATCAAGGTTACACCACTGTAACTTCTTTGGCGTTGGTATTTATGATACCAAAGGATGATACATTTGGTATTTATGCATAAAAGTCAACATCTGGGTGAAGGAAAATTGCAAGATATTCATTTCCTCAAGAGAAAATAAAATAAGTGTCCTTCAAATAATGACTTCTCAAATGTTTTCCTCAAGGGAAGATGACAAATACGGATCAGCGAGGACGGTCTCATCTGTTTGTAATCTGCTCTGCTCTGTGAGCCTCGGCTTGGATGTCTGCCAGCTGATCCCATGGTTACAAGCTCTGCGGCGGCGTCTATGCCTTCGGAGCATGAAGACCAATGTGCGTCATAGTCAATGCTCCTTCTTGTTTTGAAAGAGCGTCGACTATTTGCTATATTATTTGCATTGTTATTTGCTGTATTCTAAGAAGTATTAAACACAACAAGAAGGTGAAGAACGCAATATTTAAACATTAAAAACTTTACGTTAATTAATGCGTATGTAAAACATTGAGCTCAGTTAATGAAAGACATTTAGTCTTTGTGGAAATGATTATATGGATGGATGTTAGGGATATTCAAGAATCTCATTCTTTTTTTGAAGACTTGTGTGTATTTCCTTGTTAGTGGATTAGTCAACAAACAAATTTAGATGGTAACAGAGAAAGAGGGCTGATCCTGGCCCAGCGATGGCGACTGGGGGTGTGTGAGTCATGCACAGTGAATGTCATGTTCCTGGAACGCTGAGGTTCCATACAATGGGATCTAGTCCATTCCCCGTATCAACAGATGTCAAGATACAGGATATAGAAGGATCTTCTTCATGATCTTCCTGCTCATGAATTAAAAATATATTCTTGTAAAAGAGTCAAGGGCAGGATGAATAAATAAATGTATAAATGAAGAAGATTAGGAGGTGAAGCATTATTTATTACTTAAATATGTATTATGTAAGATTAATTTTAATTTAAATTGGGATGGATAATATATGTGTGGATGAAAGGTGTTATATCTTGGACCAAAAATGATATAGATTGTGATAGGTTATAGTTACTACTTTCAATTACTTGCAACCTTAAATTCTATTTTATTAATAACTATTACCATCAGTTAATAAAAGCCAAAGTGACAATGTAAATGAATGGTGAAATGTATGGATTGATAGAAAGAATGTCTCAATATTTTTATCATCTTCTCTGCTTTGGACTCTTTAGAATGGATGCACTGAGCTGATTACGAATTTAGCCCTGACCAAGACCCGTGCTGTTGTGCTTATGTGAAAGATTTCAGTGTGAGTAATAGTCAAGTTCTTGTGTGGTTTGGGCTGTTTGTTTAAGGGTATTTACTGTTTTATTGAAAATAAAAAAATAGTCAACTAATGTGTGTGTGTGTGTGTGTGTGTGTGTGTTTGTATATATAATGAATATCAACGATAGATGTCAATTATGTGAACCATGAATGTTTATAATTATTACACATGAATTACTGAATTAATCAACAAATACTGTAGATTTGGATGAAAAGAAAGTGGGCCCTTCCTGGACCAAGGATGACAAATACCGGCGTATGAGTCTTGGATGGTGAATAATACGTGTCTGGAACTCTGAGGTCCAATGCAAAAGAAAGCCAGTCCTTTCTGCTCATGTATTTTCCTTCTATTATTGTAATTGGATCAATACAAGAATCAATGAACAAATATATAACTAAATAAAGATGACTCATGTGAAGTATTGTCCAATTATAAAAATAGATGGTGTGGCAAGAAATAATATTGGCATATGCTGGAAACTCTGAGGTCCAAAGAGAAATAAATGGTACATGATTGTCAAATCTTTGGCTAAGTATGATGTTGACAGTAATAGATAAATATTTGAATTCATTTTCTGGGTCAGTGGCAAGATTGACTTTGTTAGCCTGCATAGGAGAAAAATAAGCATTATTACAAATTATTAATTGTATATGACTAACGGAAAGAGAAATTGAAGGCCAGTGGAAAGAATGTTATGACCTTTTAAAAATCATCTGCTCTGCTCAGTAATCCTCAGAACGAACGCACTTGAGTTGATTCAAGAACTCTGCCACGGTCATGAGCTCTGTGGTCGCATGTGTGCGTCAGGAGCTGCAGACCAATGTGAGTAGCAGTCCGTGTTCTTATACCAAATCGAGCGGTTTTTAGAATGCTATTTGCTGTATTGTTTGAAAGTATTAGATATAATCAAACAAGGGAAATCCGTCCATGTTAAATATCAGATTGATATGAAGCATTATACTGAGTAACGTGTCTATGCAACAGCTCAGTTAATGAAATAAATTCAGTCTCTGTGGAAAGGATTATATATATGGATGTTAGATAAGAATCTAATTCTTATTTTTCTTTCTAGATTTTTGGGTATTTCTCAGTTCATACATTAATCAATAAACAAATTTAGATAGGACTAGAGAAAGAGGGCTGATTCTGGACCACTGATGACCACCGGTGGCGTGTGAGTCATGCACAGTGAATGCCCCGTGTCTGGAACTCCGAGGTCCAACACAAATGGGATCCCGTCTGTTCCTCCTTTGTGAAGGGAGCCAACAGACAGATATCAGGATATGCAAGGTTCTTTTTCAGGATATTTATGTTAGTATTTGAAAACTATTATTGTAAATGAATCAAGGGCAGGATAAATAAACGAATGTATAAATGAATAGAAGAGAGTGAAGCATTTTTTTCTTGCTAAAATACGTAACAAAGAAAATGGATTAGGCTGGGCTCGGTGGCTCACGCCTGTAATCCCAGCACTTTGGGAAGCTGAGATGGGAGGATAACGAGGTCAGGAGTTCGAGAGCAGCCTGGCCAATATGGTGAAACCCCATCTCTACTAAAAAATACAAAAATTAGCCAGGCATGGTGGCACACACCTGTAGTCCCAGCTACTCGGGAGGCTGAGGTAGGAGAATCGTTGGAACCCAGGAGACTGCAGTGAGTTGAGATCATGCCACTGCACTCCAGCCTGGGTGACAGAGGGAGACTCTGCCTCAACAGCAACAACAAAAAAACCCCAAAAATGGATTATTAGTATAAGTTACAACGGATAATACATAGAACAAGTTTGTTATGTCTTGGGCTAAAGATGACATCAACTGTGACGGATAATAATTATTATTCTCAGTCAGTTACAAATTTGAAGTTCGTTTTATTAAGAGAAAAACAAAGAAATATATCCATAAATTATTATTATTATTTTGAGATGGAGTTTCTCTCTTGTTGCCCAGGTTGAAATGCAGTGGCACAATCTTGGCTCACTGTACCCTCTGCCTCCTGGGTTCAAGTGATTCTCCTGCCTCAGCCTCCCAAGTGGCTGGGATTACAGGCACCTGCCACCAGGGCCAGCTAATTTTTGTATTTTTAGTAGAGGCGGGGTTTCACCACGTTGGCCAGGCTGATCTCAAACTCCTGACTTCAGGTGATCCACCCACCTTGACCTCCCAAAGTGCTGGGATTATAGGTATGAGCCCCTGCGCCCAGCCCCATAAATTATTAAAAGCCAAAAAGATGACACAAACAGATAATGGAATATATCAGTCAGTGGAGAGAATTTCTCATTTCTTTTTATCATCTCCTCTGCTTTGTATGAAGATGGATCAGAATGGACGCACTGAGTGGACTTGGCGTTCTACTGCGATGGAAACCTGTATTGCTGTTGTAGCTGGAAAGCAACTAATGCAGGGAATAGCCAGAAGTTTTGTCTTCCTTTGGGTACTTGGTTAAAGGTATTCACAGTATTATTAAAAAATTTAAATTACTCAAAATTTAACCATGGCCTAATGGCAAACATAATAGGGAACATGTATTTGTTAATCAATAATGTGTCACGTAGAGGTGGATTAATGAGAGCGACAGTGTCACGTGGAAAAGGATTCTCTAGACAGGTGTTTGTTACATCAGGCACCGTGTTTGTAGATTTTTGTGGATCATGTTCTTATTTTACTCGTAGAAATTGATTAATGATTCATTCAAAACAAAAGTAGAAATTATGAAAATTGAGACCAGTGATGGCATGAGCCACATACAATGAGTAAAACATGTCTGGGCTTCGATGTTCGACACAAAAGACGTGTCGTCCGCGTTCTTGAGATAAGGTGCTGACTAGGCCCATGTTGGGACTATCCAAAGATCTTGGGCTTGATCTTTGTGTTCATATATTTTCCTTCTATTGTTATCATTGGGTCAATGAAAGAACCAATCAATATGTAAATTAATGAAGTATTGTTCAAATTAAAAATATATGGTGAGCAAAGAAACACTACTAACATGTTAGAAAAACACTCACCTTCAATTTGAAATAACTTTCACGACTCTTACGTCCTTAGCTGAGAATGGTGTAGGTTACAGACAATATTCATGTTCTGGATAGATGGCAATTTTGAATTTGTTCATTCTCTTAAGAGAAAATACTCTAAATTTATGATTACTTAAATGACTGACTAAAGGTAAAAAGCAAGAATCAATGGAGAGAATGTCTCAGGTGTCTCTTCTCCTTCTTCTTTTTAAAATCGTCTGTTCTGCCCTGTGTTTCTCACACGGACCCATCTGAGCTGATTTAAGAATTCTCCCCATGGTTCTGACCGGACAGTTGAATCTCTATTAAGAGCCTGGAGACCAACATGAGCAAGAATGAACGTTTTTGTCATGGGTTGGGTGGTTTGTTTAAGGAAGTTCACCGTATTATTAAAAAGTGTGAAATACAATCACAGAAGGCCTAATGGAAACATCATCGTTTGGGATGAACATGAATCATTATACTGATTAACGCATATATGAAAAACCGAGATAAATGATAAAAGTTATATACTGATGTGTGAATAAGGATGGATACCTAACAAGTAGGTAGGCTTTTGTTGGAGGTTTGTGAATCGTAGGCTTTAAGAAATATTGTCAGTGAATTAATGAATTAATCAATAAAGAATGTGGTGAAGAATGAAGAGAAAGCGGGCCTTCCTGGACCACTGATGACAGCTGTGGGGGTGTAAGCGTTAGGTTACTACGTCTCTGGAACTCTGAGGTCCAACACACAAAACACCTCAATAAGCAAGGGTCAGTGGAGGAATATCTAATTTTGAGAAATCATCTTCTCTTTTTTGTACTCTTCAGAGTGATAATCTCGAGGTGATGTATGCCTTCGTCCATGGCCGCCAGCCCTGTGGTTGCACCTCCGTGTCAGAGCTTAGAGATCAGTGTGAGTAACAGTCAGAGTTCTTGCTGTGGTTTAGGCGGTTTAAGATACTCACTGCATTGCCAAAAATTGTGAAAAATAATCACATAAGGCCCACTGTTAGAAATGACGAATATGAAATTAATACGAAGCATATTGATTAATACATGTGTGAAAAGCTGAGAATAATTAATGCAGAAGATATACTGAGATAAGGTGATAGTATATACAGATTAAGAACATTGAGGCTGTTCTTGGGGTTTTGTGAATCACGGGGTTTTGATTTACTGTTAGTGAACTGATGATTAAGTCAACAGGCAGTATAGAAAAGAATGGAGAAAAGGGGGCCCAATCCTGGATCAATGATGACCACTGGTGGCGCATGAGTCATACATGATGAATGTGTGTCTGGAACTCTGAGGTCCTTCACAAAAGAAATTGGGTCTCTTTGTTCATGCATCGTTGCCTTATTATTATGATTGGGTCAATGAAACAATCAGTAAACAAATATATAAATAAATAAAGGGAAAATGGGGGAAACATTGTCTATAAAAATTTGTAATGAGACGAGGGATTTTGTTAATGTATCCAGAAAACACTGAAATGCAAAGAGAGGTAAATGGTGCATAGCTGTTCATTTTGGCAAAGGATGATATGGACGGTATTAATTAGATAATGTCTTTGTTCTGGGTCAGTGGCAGGTTCAAAATTGTTCATTTTAAGAGAAAAGGAAACAAATATACTCCAAGTAATGTTATCTGAATTGATGACTAAATGGAAGATGCTAAGCAAGGATCAATAGAGGAATGTCTCATTTTTTAATCATCTTTTTTGTTCCGTACTCCTCAGAATAGCTGCTTTTGAGGTGATTCGATCTCATCTCTGCTCACCAGCATGTTGGCTGCATCTCTGTGTTAGAGTATGAAGACCAATGTGAGTAATAGTCAATGCTCTTGTCTTTGTTGGGGTAGATTTTTTACACAGAGCTATTTCCTATATTATTAAAATGTACTAAACATGACCAAGAGGCCCAAACATGCCAATTTTACTATCGGATCGACAGACGTATTATAACAATTGGTCAATATATGTACCAGAGAAGATCATTGCTACAGAAGACAGGAATGAAGAGATTTAGTCTGTGGAAATGAATCTCTAGATGAATGTTAGCAATCTTTATGAATATTATTCTTACATTTTCTGACTGATGTGCATTTCTTATTAATGAATTAATTAATAGATACATTTGTATTAGTGTGAAATCAAAGAGATCCTGGACCAGTGATGATGACCTGGTGGCGTGTGAGTCATGCACAGTGAACACCACGTGTCTGGAACTCCGAGGTCCAACACAAATGGGATCTAATCTGTTCCCCATTTCGAAGGGAACTTAGGCACAGATGTCAGAATCCATGAGGGTTGTGTTCTTGGTGTTTGTGTTCACGAATTTAAAAATAGGATTGTAAATGAATCAAGGGCAGAATAAACAAACACATGTATAAATTAATAGGGATGCGGACGGTGACGCATTATTCCTAAACTTCATAGTGAGGACAGTGAGTATTAGTACAAATGGAATGGGTAATGAATTGATCAAGGATGTCAGGTCTTGTTCCACCAGCGACATAGACCGTAACGGGTGATAGTTCTTGTTCTCATTCAGTTGCAAGTTTTGAAGTTTATTAAGTGAAAAATACATAAATATTCCATAAATTAATAAAAGCCTAAAAGGCAGTGTCAACAAATGGCAGACAACGTGAATCAATGGAGAGAACATCTCGGTGTTTTTAAATCCTCTTCTGTGCTTTCTGCTCTTCAGAATGGATACAGCGAGCTGTTTCAAGCATTCTGTTGGGACCAAAATTTCTGTGTTGGCTCCGTGTTTGAAAGAGACCAAGGTGAGTAATAGTCAAAGTTCTTATCTTGGTTTCGGTAATTTGTTTGAGGATATTCTTGTATTATAATAAAATGTATTAAATTGTTCAGAGAGGAGAAATAAGTTCAGAGAAGTGTTATACAACGTGGCGACTATAGTTAATGTTATCCATCGTATTCTTGAAAAATGCTAGAGAGTTGATGTTAAGTGTTCTCACCACAAAATGATCGCTATGAGATGTAATACATATGTCAATTAGATAGATTTAGTTATTCCACAATGTATGTATATTTCAGAACATCACATTGTGCGTGGTAAATACATACAATTTTCTCTGTCAATCAAAAAATTAAGAAGTATTAAATGAATACAAAGTTAACTCCAGCTCAGTGATGAGCATGACATGAAACAGATGTTATTTAATTTATCCTGTGCAACATTGAGGTCAATCAATGAAAGCAATCTAGTCTATGTTGAAAATGACTCTGTAGATGTTACAGATATTCAAAAAACTTGTTGTTGGCTTTGTCTGAACCATGTATTAATGTCAATAATATGATCATTTAGTTGATAAAAATGTAGAAACCCATGAAGGAGAGGAGACCCAGTCATGGACCAGTGATGACAAATGGTGGCGTTGGAGTTAAGGACGATGAATATGTGTCTGAAACTCTGAGGTCCAACACAACACATAGTTAGTCTGTTCCCTCTGTTGAAATTGACTTACAGAGAAATATCAGGAATATATAGATAATATCCATGTATTGATTCCATAGATTATTTATTATTATCAATGGATCAATGATAGATTCATTAAACTAACACAAATTAATTTATAAAGGACAAGAGGGTCAAGCATCATCCAACTGTGAACATACGTGTGGAGGCAAGAAATATTATTAATCAAAATTTAAAGCACTTACATTCATTTACAAGTAAATGAATAAAAGATATTACTACTTTTGGTAAGAATCATAGAGATTGATAGGTAAGAGTTGATTTTATTGTTCTGCGTTATTCTCGTGATAGATGTATTCCTTTGCACACACACACACACACACACACACGTATATATGTATATACCCACACACAGAGCAAACAAATAGTAGTTACCTATTGTTTAATAGGTATCTAAGTTACCTAGTAAATGAAATGCAGAAAGCAGGAATCAAGAATCAATGGTGAAAATGTCTTAATTTTTTTATCATTTGCTCTGCTTCATACTCTTAGAATGGATACTATCATGGCCACAAGTTCTGTGCTTGCCTCTCTATATTAAGAGCACAGAGACTAAAGTGAGTAATGGCTGACATTCTTTTCTTGGTTTTAATATTTCTTTTATCTTAAGATTATTCACTATATTATTAAAAAGCGTGAAATATAATGAATGCGATTGTAACTCAGTGATAAATATGGGATGTATGAAACATTATATCGATTAATGCATATATGAAAACTAAGAGAATGAAACTGATATGAATATGTGAGAATAACTCTATGTAGCAATTTGGGATACAAGGACCTTCCTGAGTTTTTGTGAATAATAACATTATCATTTTATGATTTAGTGAATTAATCAATAAACAAATGTGGGTGACAATAGACAAAAGGGCCAATCCTGGATTGTTGATGACTATTGGTGGCATATGAGTCATAGATGATGAATACGCGTCTGGAACTCTGAGGTCTGATGTGAAAGATCTGTAACTCATTCACTCGGGTTGGATGGCCCCGCAGTTATCAGGAGTATACAAGGATCTTGGTTTTGGTCTTTGCGCTCATGCCTTTTCATTCTATGCAGAGAATGTCTCAGTTTTTTAAAAAATCTTTTTACCCTGTTCTCTGATTTCTTTTTTTTTTTAATTGCATTTTAGGTTTTGGGGTACATGTGCAGAACATGCAAGATAGTTGCATAGGTACACACATGGCAGTGTGTTTTGCTGCCTTCCTCCTCCCCTTCACCCACATTTGGCATTTCTCCCCAGGCTATCCCTCCCCAGCTCCGCCCCCCGCTGTCCCTCCCCTATAGACCCCATTGTGTAGTACTCCCTTCCCTGTGTCCATGTGTTCTCATTTTTCCTCACCCACCTATGAGTGAGAATATGCGGTATTTCATTTTCTGTTCTTGTGTCAGTTTGTTCTATTTCTGAGAATGATGTTCTATTTCTCAGAATGGATCCACTCAAGCTGACTTAAGAGTTCCTCCTTGGTCACAGCTCTTTAGTTGCATGTCTGCATTAGGAGCCGAGAGAACACTGTGAGTAACAGCTGAAATTCCTGACTTGTTTTGCATGGTTTGTTTACGGGCAGTCACTGTATCATTAGAAAGTGTGAGCTATCATAAAGAGGGTGAGCTGTATCTCAGTGATACGCACAGGATTACTGTGACATATTACATTGTTTAGTGCATACGTGAAATACTCTAATTGTTATTACTATGAGAGATATTGAAGTGAGAAGGATTCTAAGTACATGTTTGGGATATAAATCTCTTGGATTTTTGTGAATCACAGAGTTTTAAAATTATAATTCCTAAATCGATGAATAAATAACTTGGAAATGAATTGAGGAAAAGTCGGCCCTTCCTGGATCAATGGTGAAAATTGCCAGCGTATGAGTCTTGGATGATGAATTACATGTGCGTGGAACTCTGACGTCCAACACAAAAGAAAAGTGATGTTTCGTTTCATGAACGTTCATTCTGTTATAATTGGATTGATAAAAGAATCAATGAACAAATATAAAAGTAAATTGAGATAAAATAGATGAAGCATTGTCCAAATATAGAAATTTGTGGCAAGGCAAGAAATACTATTACGTATGTTGAAAACATGGAATTCAATGAGAACTTAATGGTGTGTGACTTTTACCTCTAATGATGACACAGGCGGTTTAAATTATAGACACTGTTCATGCTCTGAGTCTGTGGCAAATTTGAAGTTGTTCATTTGTAGAGAAAATGTAATATCTTCCCAATTAATGATTGCCCTGATTACTGGTTAAATGTTAGACACAAAGCAGGGAACAATGGCTATGAGGTCTCAAATTTTTTGTCAACAGTCCTACTTTGTGCACCTCAGAGTGGTCTCACTTGAGTTGTCTCAAGCACCCCTTCATGCCCTTGGGCCATGTGGTGGCATCTGTGTGTTAGGAGCTTGGAGGCCATTATAAGTAATCGTCAATGTTCTTGGCTTGAGTGCTGTTTTGAAGGATAGTTACAATGTATTAAAAATCATGCAATATATTAAAGAAGGCCGACTGCAGCCCAGTGACAAACATGAAATTGACATGAATTAGTCAACTGATGAATTCATTCAATTAATTCATTTAAGAAAACTGAGGATATTTGGTAAAGGAGTTACATCGATCTGAGAATGATGCTATACACATTTTAGGGATATCAAGGGTTTTTTCAGGTTTTGCACCTTGTAGCACTTTAAACATGTTATTAGTAAATTACTGAATTAACCGATAGACAACGTAGGAAAAAATGAAGAAAAAAGACGAGCATTCCTGGATTAATATGAAGAGTGGTGGTGTAAGGGTCGAAGCTGATGAATAATGAGCGTCTTTGTTAGGGGCAAGTTCAGAGTTGTTTGTTTGAACAGACCATGACATAAATATATTCCAGATAATGATGATTTAAGTGACTAAATGAGAGATGAAAAGCAAGGGGTGTTGGAGAAACGCTTGAATTTTGAAATCATCTGTCCTGTTGCTACTCCTCAGAGTGGACCCACTGCAGCTGATGGAAGCATTCTTCCATGGCCTGCGCTCTGCGGCTGCCCCGGTGTGAGGGGCATGCAGACCATGGTGAGTGTGCAGACCATGTCCTCTCTTTACAAGCTCCACTAAGTTGGTGTCAGTGATGTACGATAATCTTGGTGTTCATGCCTTCTTAAAAGTCATAAGGAATCACTGATAGAGTAGATAAATACAAAATGAATAAACATCGGGTGGTAAAGCATGCTCATTGTTAAACTATGCAGGAGGGAAAATACTACTGATTTAAGTTGGAATGAATACATTGGAACAAGTGTGTTTTGTCTTAGACTAACGGTGATCACAGAAAGCGACAAGTGACTTTTTTATCTGATTAACTTGTGTATTTCATGTTTGATTTATTAAGAGAAAAAGAAATACATATTGATAAGAATTCACGAATGCCTGAATGACTCTATAAAAGGCTGAAGGAATCTGTGGGTCAGTGAAGAGGACATGTCATCATCTCCCGTGCTCTGACTGGCGCAGTCTTCCATGCTCACAAACTGTGCGTTGGGAGCACAGAGATCAGCATCAGCAATGGTAGAAGTTGCCTTGATTTGAGTGAGTCAAAGGAGGTCAGTCATGCTGATGTTTTGTTTCAGATTGATAGGAAGCATTACGTTTATTAATGCCTGTGTAAAAAACTTAATTCGCTTGGAGAAGGGGATTTAAGACCTTTGTGGTAGTATAGATAATTGTGAGTGATATCGAAGAGCTTTTTTTTGTGGTTTATGTGTATGTCTTTATTAATGAATTACTCAGTAAACAAGTGTAGATAAGAATGAGGAAAGAGAAGGCCAATCCTGGACCATCGAATGACAACTGGTGGCTTATGTGGTCGTATATGAAGAACAGTATGTATCGGCAACTTTGAGGTCCAACACAAATAGAATCTAGTCTATTCCCATGTTTAAAGTGATATGATAGACAGACACCTGAAATATACAAGGGGTTTGTAGTTAGTCTTGTGTGCATGAGTTTTAAGAATATGGTCAAAGTAGCAATGGCAGAACAAGCAAATAAATGTACAAATAAAATAAATAAAACGAAGAGGACAAAGCATTGTTCATTGCTAAAATGTGCAGTAAGGAAAATACTGTTGGTGTACATTGGAATGGATAGTAAGTGGATACTATTTCTGACTAAAAATGATATCGACTCTGTTTTGTCTTCATCAGAATGGGTGCACTTGAGCCGACTGGAATATCCCTCCTTCATCATGTGTTCTATGCTTGCATCTAGTTGTTAGTAGCATAGAGTAATCATTAAAATTCTTCTCTTGGTTTGAGTGGTTATTTCAAAATATTCAATGAATTACTAAAAAAGTATATCATATAACCAAAGATGGCCAGTGATAGTCTAGCAATAAATATGAGAGCCGTGTGAAGCATTGTATTGATAATACATCTATGAAAACTGAGGATAATGAATGAAACAGCCATATCCATATTAGAATGACTCATTGTAGGGATTAGGAATCTCTAGGCTCTCGTTGGGATTTCATGAGCCAGGATTTAAAAATTTATGGTTAGTGGATTAATACATCATGAATAAGCAGTTAGAAGTGAGTGGAGAGAAAGAGCACCTGTCCTGTGCACGGTGACAACTACTGGTGGCATGTGAGTCATCCTCAGTGAATCCGCGTCTGGAGCTCTAAGGTGCATCATGAGAGAAATCTAGCCCATTTCCTGTTTGATACAATTCTTCAGGCGGATATCACGAACACAGAGTGGGTTTGTTTTTGGTCTTTGTGCTCATACATTTTTCTTCTATTTTTATTATTGGGTTAATGTGAGAATCCATAAACAAATATAAACAGAAATAAAGATATGTTAGGTGAAGCGCTGCCCAATTATAGAAATAGGTGGTGAGTCAAGAAACACTCTGAATACGTGCTGGAAATAGTGACCGTCAAAGAGAATTGAATGGGACATGTCTGTCACTCTTTGGCTAATAATGATACAGACAGGATAACTGTGGACAGTGTTCATGTTCTGGGTCAGTGGCAAGTTCAAAATTGTTCATCTTCTTCAGAGAAAGTGAAATCAATATGCTGTACTCTAAATAGTGGTAGCCTGCATGACTAAAGAAATGTAAAAAGCAAGGATCGATGGTGACAGTGTCTCAAATTTGTTATCATCTTCTCTGCTCTGTACTCCTCAGAATGGATGTCCTTGTTGTGTCTTGAGAATTCCCCTATGGTCACACGCTCTGTTTGCACCATGCTTAGAAAGGAGCCTGTAGGCCAATGTGAGTAATGGTCAAAATCCTCATTGTGGTTTGGGTGGTTTGTTTAAGAGTAATCAATATATTATTAAAAAGTGTGAAATACAGTCAAAGATGGCCGGTGTTATCCCAACGGTAGACGTGGCAGTGACATGAAGTATTTTATTGATAATGCATATATGAAAAACTGAGGATAAAGTACAGATCAGAAATATCAAGTCTGCTCTTGGAGTTTTTTGAATCGTAGGCTTTGAAATTGTTATTAGTGAATTAATGAAGCAACCATCGGACAAGGTAAAACTGAATGGAGAAAAGGAGGGCCAATTCTGGGTCGATGATGACCACCGGTGGCGTATGAGTCATATGTGATGAATACGTGTCTGGAGCTCTGAGATCTGTCACAAAAGACTCCTAGTCCATTCCCTCTGTTATATGTGATTCTGTAGACTGATGTCAGGAAGACAGAAGGAAGTCGATTTGGTTTTATATTCACTCTAATGCAAGAATCAATAAGCATATAAATAAAGATAAAATGGGTGAGCATTTTATGACTATAAAAATATGTGGTGAGGCTAGAAATACTATGAATTATATTGAAATTGGTGAAGTGCAGAGAGATACTGTACATACCTGTTACCTCTTTGGCTTATAATAATATAGACAGAATAAATATTAGATAATGTTCAAATTCTTACTCACTTGCAAATCAAATTGTTCTTTTTCTTAGGAGAAAATGAAATAAATATTAGTTCACCTAATGAATGCCTAAAGGACAGACTAAAGGAAAGGTGAAAAGCAAGGATCATTATTAGTGAGAATGTCTCGGCTTTGTTACTGTCTCTGCTCTGTATTCCTCAGAATGGATGGCTTGTGCTGACTGAAGGATTCTTCCCTGGTGACCTGCTGTGGCTGTCTCTTGATTGGGAGCACGCAGACCAATGTGAGTAATCAAGTTCTGGTCTTAGTTTGGGTGGTTTAGTTAGGAGGACTTGTTGTATTATTAGAAGTTCTGTTCAATCAAAAACGGCCAGCTGCAGCCCAGTGCTAGAAATGAGAGTAACATGAAGCGTTACATTGACAACATGTACTTGAAAAACTGAGGATAGTTAACGAAGCATGGGCCAATGTGGGAATGATTCTATATGCAGATAAAGAACACTAATGTTCATGCTGTTCAGAGGTGTTTGTGAGCCAAAGGTTTTTAAATGATTATTAGCGATTTAATGAATTAATCAATAGACAAGGTAAAAGTCTACAGAGGAAAATGACACATTCTGGATCGATGATGACTACCAGTGGCATATGAGTCATATATGATGAATACGTGTCTGGAACTCCGAGGTCCATCACAGGTAAAATCTGCCTCATTCTCTGTTTCAAATGATGTTACAGGCAGATTAAAAAAAGATAGAATGTGCTTTTTTTCTGTGTGATTATGTGCTTTTCTTCTATTTTTACAATTGGATCAATGTGAGAATCAGGAAATAAATATGTAATAAATAAAAAATGATTGAAACACTGCCCAAGTCTAAAAACTTGTAAGGCAAGAAGTGGTATTAACATATGTTAAAATCAGTGAAGCCTTGTAATCCCAGCACTTTGGGAGGCCGAGGCGGGTGGATCACGAGGCCAAGAGATCAAGACCATCGTGGTCAACAAGGTGAAACCCCATCTCTACTAAAAATACAAAAAATTAGCTGGGCACGGTGGCGCGTGCCTGTAATCCCAGCTACTCAGGAGGCTGAGGCAGGAGATTGCCTGAACCCAAGAGGCGGAGGTTGTGGTGAGCCGAGATTGCGCCATTGCACTCCAGCCTGGGTAACAAGAGCGAAATTCCGTCTCAAAAAAAAAAAAAAAAAAATCAGTGAAGCCTAAAAAGAAATAAATGGTGGATGACATAGATGGTATAAATTATGAACAATGTTCATATTCAGAGTTAGTAATCTTGAAGTTATTTATTTTATTAAGAGAAAATAAATAAAGCAAATACAATCCAAATAGTGATTGCCAAAATGACTAATAGGTGAAAATCAAGGATCAATACTGAGAGTGTCTCAATTTTGTTATCTTCTCTGCTTTCTATTCTTTCAGAAAGGATGTGCTTGTTATGATTTGAGAATTCCTCCATGGTCACTTGCTTCGTTTCTCTATGGTTGGGAGCCTGTAGACCAATGGGAGTTGTAATCAACATTCTCAGTTTGCTTTGAATGGTTTAAGAGGACTCAGGGATATTACCAAAAAGCCTATAATATAATCAAAATGGTCAACTGTATGTAAGTGATAGATATTGGGGTGATATGAAGCATCATACTGATAGTGCATATATGAAAAATTGAGGATAATGAAACAGATACATCAACATTAGAAGGATTCCATGTACAGATTGGGAATATCAAGACTCTTCCCGGAGCTCCTTGAATCAGAAGGTTTAATGTTATTATTAGTGAGCTAATAAATCAATCACAAAAATATAGGAATGCATGGAGGAAAGGAAGACCAGTCCTGGATTGATGATGACCACTGGTGGCGTACAGGTCGTAGACAATGGTATGTGTCTGGAGCTCTGAGGTCCGTCACAGTGGAAACGCATGCATTCCTTCTGTTTCAAATGATGTTGTAGGCAGATTTCAGATTACAGAATGTACTTATTTTTCTCGGTGGTTATGTATTTTTACAATTAGATCAATGAGAGTATCAATACAATAAATAAGAAAAATGGCTCATAGTTGAATTATAAAAATACCTGGAGAAGAAGGATTCTATTAATTTATTATTATATTATTAATATACTGTATTATATTGTATTATGTAAATATTGTATATTAATATATACATATTAGTTATATGTATACAGGTCTCCATAGGGTTTTGTAACTCATGGAGCTTAACAATTATTAGCAGTGAATTAATGAAGTAATCAATAAATGAGGCAGAATTAAATGAAAAAAACAGATGATCAATTCTGGATTGACGATGACCACTGGTGGCATATGAGTCATATACGATGAATACATGCCTGCAACTCTGAGGTTTGTCCCAGAAGAAATCTGGCCTATCTTATAGACGGAGTTCAGAAATATAGAACATTATTTTTTGGCTTTTGTGCTTATGTATTTTCATTCCGTGTTTATAACTGGTCAATGCAAGTTTCAATAAACACATATAGATACAGCTGAAAAAGTTGAAGCATTGGCCAAGTATAACAATATGTGATAAGGCAAGAAGCACTCTTTTTTTTTTGAGATGGAGCCTCGCTCTGTTGCTCAGGCTGGAGTATAGTGGCGTGATGTTGGCTCACTGCAACCTCCTCCTCCCAGGTTCAAGCGATTCTCCTGCCTCAGCCTTCTAAGTAGCTGGGATTACAGGCACATGCCACCACACCTGGCAAATTTTGTATTTTTAGTAGAGATGGGGTTTCACCATGTTGGCCAGGCTGGTCTCGAACTCCTGACATCAAGTGATCCACCCACCTTGGCCTCCCAAAGTGCTGGGATTACAGGCGTGAGCCACTGTACCCACCCAGAAGCACTCTCAATATCTTTTGACACAACAAAGTCCACAGAGATATAAATGGTATCTTCCAGGGACCTCTGTGGCTAATGATGGTATAGACAGTACAAAGTATAGACAGCGTTCTGTTTCTGGGTCAATGGCAATTTCAGAATTGTTCATTTGTTTAGATAAAATGAATATACTGCAAATAATGATTGCCAAAATGACTAAGTAATGATAGGTGATAAGAAAGGGTCAGTAGTGACAATATCCCATTTTTGTTATCCTCTTCTCTGCTCTGTATTCCCTAGAACGGTTGTATTTTGTGGATTTAAGGATTCCTCCAAGGTCACGTCCTCCACTTGCACCATTTTTAGGATGGAGCCTGGAGATCTATGTAAGTAATAGTGGAAGTCCTCACCTTGCTTTGGGTGTTTGTTCAGGAAAGTTCAATGTATTATAAAAAGAAGTATATTATAATCAAAGATGAGCAACTGTATTCAAATAAACATGGGCATGATGTCAGGATTGTATTGAAGACGCACACCTGAGAAACTGAGGATAATTAATGACATAAATATTCCTACACATTAGGAATACCAAGGCTATTCTTGTGGCATTGTAAATCATACGGCTTAAAATTATGATTAGTGAATTAACAAATGAGTCAACAGACAAGGTGGAAATAAATCCACATATAGGAGGTCAGTCCTGGATCGATGATGACTGCTGGTGGCGTATGAGTCTTATACGATGAATACGTGTCTAGAACTCTGAGGTCCGTCACAAACAGAATCTAACCTGTTCTGTATGTTTGAAATTATTTTATAGACAGCTGTCAGGAATTTAGAATATATATGTTTTTTTGTTCATATTTACATGTTTTGATTCTATTTTTATAACTGATCCACGTGAGAATTAGTAAACAAATATACAGATGGATAAATTCAAGCATTGTCCAATTATAAAACTAAGGGACAAGATAAGAAACATGATTAGTGTATATGAAACAGTGACATCCACAGAGAAAGGCACATTCCTGTGGCTTCTTTGACTAATGAAGGTAATGACCGAATAAAGTGTAGGTAATGTCCGACTTCTGGGTCAGTGGCAATTTCAAAATTATTCACTTTATTTTCAGAAAATAAATTAAATATATTCCAAATAATGATTGCATGAGTGACTATTGTTAGGTGAAAAGCAAATGTCAATATTGAAAATGTCTCAGTTTTGTCATTATCTTCTCTGGTCTGTATTCCTCAGAATGAACAGCTTGTGCTATATTGAGGATTCCTCCATGATCACGCGCCCCGTTTATACACCATGCTTGGAAAGGAGTGTGCAGACCAATGTGAGTAATAGTCAAAATTCCTGTGTCGGTTTGTCTGGTTTGCTGAAGAGGCCTCAATGCGTCATGAAAAAGTATAATACAGTCAACGATGGCCATGTATGTCCCAGTGATATTTATAGGAGTGATATGAAATATTTATTGATAATGCATGTATGAAAGACTGAGAAGAACTAAACAGATGTTGTATCTATGTTAGAATGATTCTGTATAAAGATAGAGAATATCCAGTGTGGGTTCTTAGTGTTTTGTGAATCACAGAGTTTAAAATTATTATTAGTGAATTAATAAGTTAATCTAAAGACAACATAGAAATGAATGGAGAAAAAGAGGGTCAATCCTGGATCGATGATGAGCACTGGTGGAGTACGAGTCACTTACGATGAATACATGTCTGGAACTCTGAGGTCCGTCACAGAAGTCACTTCCCTCTGTTCCCAGTAATTCTATAGACAGATGTCAAGAAGATAGAATGAGCACTTTGGGAGGCCGAGGCGGGTGGATCACGAAGTCAAGAGATTGAGACCATCCTGGTCAACATGGTGAAATCCCGTCTCTACTAAAAATACAAAAATTAGCTGGGCATGGTGGCGTGCGCCTGTAGTCCCAGCTACTTGGGAGGCTGAGGCAGTAGAATTGCTTGAACCCAGGAGGCGGAGGTTGCGGTGAGCCGAGATCATGCCATTGCACTCCAGCCTGGGTAACAAGAGCGAAACTCCGTCTCAAAAAAAAAAGAAGATAGAATGAATTTTTTGTTCATGAGTTTTTGTTTTATAATTGGTTCAATGAAAGAGTAAAACATACATGGATAAACAGAATAAACAAGTTAAGCATTGTCCAATTATAAAAATGTATGGTGAGGCAAGTACTATTGATATGTATTTAAATTGATGAAAGCCAAAAAGGAATCTTATATACCTAACCTTTTTGGCCAGTAATGAAGAGATAGTATAAATTATATACCACATTCATGTTGTGGTTTAGCGGCAAGTTCAAAGTTGTTCATACTTGAAACAATGATTGCCTAAACGTTTAACTAACGATTGGTGAAAAGGAAAGATCAACCACGAAAAATCAGTTGTGTTGTTCTTTTCTCTGCTCTGCACTTGTCAGAACGGACGTACTTGTGATGATTTGAAGATGCCTCTGAGGTCACATGCTCTGTCTGCACCGTGCTTAGGAAGGAGCATACACGTCAATGTGAGTCATGGTCAAAGCTGTTGTCTTGGTTTGAGGGGTTTGTTTACAAGGAATCGGGCTGGGCGCGGTGGCTCACGCCTGTAATCCCAGCACTCTGGGAGGCCGAGGTGGGTGGATCACAAGGTCAAGAGATCGAGACCATCCTGGTCAACATGGTGAAACCCCATCTCTACTAAAAATACAAAAAATTAGCTGGGCATGGTGGTGCGTGCCTGTAATCCCAGCTACTCAGGAGGCTGAGGCAGGAGAATTGCCTGAACCCAGGAGGCGGAGGTTGCGGTGAGCCGAGATCACGCCATTGCACTCCAGCCTGGGTAACAAGAGCGAAACTCCATCTCAAAAAAAAAAAGAAAAAAAAAAGAGGAATTGATGCATTGTAAGAAGGTATAATACGTTATAGGAATATAATATACTGTAGGAATATATTATATATTTCTATAATGTAATGTATTATAAAAAGGTATACCTTTTCATACTATAAAAAGGCATAATACATTATAGGAATAGAATATATTACAGGAATATGATGAAAGATGGCCAAGTCTGTCCATATCACATATCCGTATAGATATGAAGTACTGTATTGAAAATGCATATATGAAAAATGGAGAACGATTAATGAAAATAGCTATCGTTATAACGATTCTTTGTAGGGATTAGGAATATCAAAGCTCTTAAGTTTTTAAAAACCAAAGATTTTAAAGTTATTATCAGTGAATGAATGAGTTCATTATTAGACAAAGTAAAAATGCATACACAAAAATAGGAAGAATCCTCGATCGATGGTGACCACTGGTGACATATAAGTTATGTGATGAATATGTGTCTGGAACTCTGAGGTCCATCATGAAATCAGTTTCCTCTGTTTCACGTGATTCTATAGGTATGAAGTCAGCAATATAGACTCAGTTTGTTTTTGGTCTTTCTGTTTTAACATTTTAATTTTATTTTATAATTGGACCAATGAGAGAATCAATAAGCAACTATTTGGATAAATAAAGATGAATAAGGGTAAGCGTTGTATTTGTGAGTGGCAAGTTCAAAATTGCTCATTTTCCTAAGAGAAAATGAAATAAACTTCAAATAATGCTGGCCTAGATGAGTCACTAAATGAAGGTGAATCATGAGTGAGAGTGTCCCACTGTATGCTGCGAACTCCGCTGCGCTCTGTGCTCTGCAGAATGGATGAACTGTGCCCCTTGAAAAATTCTCCCACGGTCACACGCTGTGCCTGCATCGTGGTTAGACTCAGCCAGACTAATGTGAGGAAGAGTCAACATTTTTGACTTCATTCTGGTGCCTGATTAAGAGGACTCAATGTATTATAAAAAGCGTATGACATTATCAAAGATGTCCAGTTACATCCCAGTGAAAGACATGGAAGTGATAAGAAGCATTGTATTCATGATGCATATATAAAAACCTGAGGATCGTTCATTAAAGAGGTGTATCAATGTTGGAATGATTCTGTATACAAATTAGGCATATTAAAGTTATTCTTGGGATTTTTTTGAACCATACAGACTTAAAATTACTATTAGTGAATTAATGAATCAGTCAATAGACAAGGTAGAGATGAATGGAGCAAGAGACGAGCAATCCTGGATCGATGATGACTGCTGGTGGCGTATGGGTCATATGCGCTGAATTGGTGTTTATGTTTACATGTTTTGATTCTGTTTCTATAATTGGCCAATATAAAAACCAGTAACTACGTGTGGATAAGGATGAGTAAGTTAATCGTTGCCCAGTTATAAAAAATATGCGGTGAGGCAGGAAACACTAATAATATGTATTGAGAATAGTGGAATCTGAAGAGAAGGAAATGTGCGTGTCTGTCCCCTCTTTGGCTTGTGGTGATATAGACAGGATAATTATAGACAGTGTTCAAATTCTTGGTTAATCGTAAGTTGGAAATTGCTCATTCTTTAAAGAGAAAATGAAATAAGTATACTCCAGATAGCGATGGCATAGATGACTAGTGGTGGGTGAGAAGCAAGGATCAACAGTCCATGTGCCCTTTTATCACCTTCTTTTCTCTGTACTCCTCAGAATGGACGTGCTTGTTCTGATTCGAAGACTCCTCACGACCACATGTTCTGTTTGCAGCACGCTTAGGAAGGAGCATGTGTACCAGTGTGAGTAATGGTCAGACTTCTTGTATTCCTTTGGGTGGTTTATGTAAGAGTACTATAAATACACGTGTCATGTACTATATATACATATGTAATATAATCGAAGATGGTGAATTGTATCTAGTGAGAGATATGGGAGTCAAAAGAAGTATTACACTGACAATTCACATATGAAAAACAGGGTAATAATGAAACATATATTAACGTCAGAATGATTAGGAATATCTTTTTGGGGTTTTGTGAATCATAGGTTTAAAGTTATTATTCCGACGATGTAGAAAATAATGGAGGGAAGAAGGGCCCATCCTGGGTCGACGATGACCACTGGTGGCGTATGAGTCATGAACGATGGATATGTGTCTGGAGCTCTGAGGTCCGTCTCAAAAGACACCTAGTCCATTCCCTGTTTCAAATGATCCTACAGACGATGGCAAAAAAATAGAAACTATATGTGTTTGATTTTCATGTTCATGAATTTTTATTTTATATTTATAATTGGACCAATGAGATAATCAATAAATATACAAATAAAGATGAATAAGGACTACCTGTAATCTCAGCACTTTGGGAGGCCAAGGTCGTTGGATCACTTGAGGTCAGGAGTTCAAGACCAGCCTGGCCAACGTGGTGAAACCCCATCTCTACTAAAAATGCAAAGATTAGCCAGGTGTGGTGGCATGCGCCTGTAAGCCCAGCTACTTCGGTGGCTGAGGCATGTGAAATGCTTGAACCCAGGAGGTTGCAGTGAACTGAGATCATGTCACTGCAGCTTGGGTGATAGAGCAAGATTCTGCCTCAAAGGAAAAAGAAAACATGAATAAGGTTAAGCATTGTCTAGTTATAAAAATATGTGGAAAGACAAAATATACTATTAACATATACTGAAATTGGTAACAACTAAAGAGCAACCTTGAATACCTGTTACCTCTTTGAATGAGAAAGACAGTATAAATTATTGACCATATTCGAGTTATGGGTCAAGAACGAGTCCAAAGTTTCACCATGTTGCCCAGGCTGGTCTTTAACTCCTGACCTCAAGTGATCCACCTGCCTTGACCTCCCAAAGTGCTGGAATTACAGGCACGAGCCACCACACCTGGCCAGTGGTTTATAAAAAATGAAATGTACCTCAAATTAATGAATGTATAAATGAGTATAAATGTATACGCGTTCATTAATTTGAGGTATATTTGAAAAGCAAGGATCGATGGAGAGAAGGTCTCATGTCCGTTGTCATCTCTTCTGCTCTGTACTCAGAATGGAAGCACAGAAGCTGGTGTCACTGGCTAAGAGCTGTATGGTCCATCTCTGTGCTGGAAGCTACAGACCAGTGAGAGTAATAATCAAAGTTCTTGTCCCATCTTGGGTATTTGGTTTAAAGGTTTATAGTGTAAGAACAAAAAATATGACATAGAATCCCATAAGGCCGCGAGTAGCCCAGGGATAAGTATGGAATGAATGTGGAGTGTTATCCTGATGGACGCTTGTATGTAAAGCATGTCCTGCATTATTACGAAAGAGAACGAGGGGATATGGAATTGTGAGGATGAGTGTATATACGAATTAGAGATATCGACGCTCCTCTTGGGGTTTTGTGAGTGATAGTGTTTAAAACTTATTGATGGTGAATTCATGAAGTAATAAGTAATGTAACAGTGAATGAAGAGCACCAGAGCTAATCCTGGATTAATCATGACCCCTGGTAATGGACGGGTTTTAGACAGTGAATACCTATCTGGAACTCTGAGGTCCTTCAGAAGAGAAATACAGTTTCTTCCCCTTTTTGGAAGTGATCCTATAGACAGTTGTCAGGAATATGCGAGGGTCGTGTTTTTGCTCTTTGTGAGCACAAGTTTTCGATCTATTATTATAATTGGATCAATGAAGGAACCATTGAACAAATATACAAATAAATTATGTTGGATGAGACTAAGCATTGTCCAATTATAAACATAGTTTGTGATGCAAGAAAAACTATGATACGGCCGGGCACAGTGGCTCCTACTCATAATCCCAGCACTGTGGGAGGCCGAGGCAGGTGGATCACCTGAGGTCGGGAGTTTGAGACCAGCCTGGGCAACATGGTAAAACCCCATCTCTGCTAAAAACACAAAGTTAGCTGGGCGTGGTGGTGCATGCCTGTGATCCCAGCTCCTTGGGAGGCTAAGGCAGGAGAATTGCTTGAACCTGGGAGGTGGAGGATGCAGTGAGCCGAGATCACACCACTGCACTTCAACCTGGGCAATAGAGTGGGAAGAAAACCTATGATATATATTGAAAACACCAATACCATTAGGGAATGAGTGGTATAACTTTTTATTTCTTTAGTTAGGGATGTTGTAGACAGTGATAAATAATAATGAATGTTTATGTTTATGTCAGTGGCGTGAGTGATACTGTCTAGCTGTGTAGAGTAAGTAAAATAAATTACTACATGACTGAAGAAATGGAAGAATGAATGCAGAGAACAGTGCAGGTAATGTTTAGTCTTTTCTGGTCATCTCTGCTCTGTATTCCGCAGAATAAACGCACTCCAGCTGATCTTATCATTCCTTTTTCACGGTAAGCTCTGTGGTTGCGTCTGTGTGTCATACGGTGTATGGAGACCACTGTGAGTGACAGTCGATGATCTTAGCTTCAGTGTTTTTTAAAAAAGGTATTTGTGGCAGTATTAAGAAGTATTAAATATAATCATTGAAGGTAAACTTTGGCCCATTGGTAGAAATGGAATTAATATAAAGCATTATGTTGTTTAATGAATATATATAACATTGGATTTAATTAATGCAAACATTGGATTTAATTAATGAAAGAGGTGTAGTGCTGTTAGTAATAATGACATAGACAGATATTAGAGCTATTTAAGGATTTTACTCTCAAGTTGTTGTGGCCCTTAGGTAATTATTTTATTGTTCGTGAACTGGTAAATTAATCAATAAAAACACGTAGACATGAATTAAGAAAATGAGGTCCAAGCTTGAACCAGTGACGACAGCTGGTGGCATTTGAGTCGTGGATGATGAATATGAAGTGTCTGGAACTCTGAGATTCAACATAATAGAAATCGAATTCATTCCTCTGCTGAAAAAATCCATTAGATAGATATTAGAGATATCAAGAGTTATTTGCTGCCAATTTTACGGTTCATGAATTGTGATTATATTAATATCAATGAATCAATGAAAGAATCAAAGATTTATATGATTAAACATGAAGAGAGAGAGGCATATTCTAATTGTTAACACATGTGGCAGGGAAAGAAATACTGTTAATTAATTTGGAATGGGTAATACATGGGCCAGTGGTTTTAACTCTCTGGCTAAGAATCATATAACAATTGATAGAGCAGTAACACTGATTAGTTATCAATGGCTACGTGATTTTTAGGTCCATTCTCAGGTCAGATGGGCCAATTGTAAGTCTAATACTTATTTTATTAAGGGGAAAATAGCAAATATTAACATAAATCAATAAATACCAACTGACAGAGCAAATGGAAGGTAGCATGAAAGAACTAATGAGGAAAAGTCTCAAATTGTGTCTTCTGCTCTTCCTTGGAATCCTCAGAACAGTCACTCCCTGCACCGATCCTGCCATGGCCACTGCTCTATTGTCATTTTAAGGAACATACAGACAAATGTGAGTAATCATCAAAGTGCTTGTCTTTGTTTGGGCCATTTAAGAGTGGTCAATGCGGCCGGGCACGGTGGCTCACGCCTATAATCCCAGCACTTTGGGAGGCCGAGGCGGGCGGATCACGAGGTCAAGAGATCGAGACCATCCTGGCCAACGTGGTGAAACCCCATCTCTACTAAAAAAATACAAAAATTAGCTGGGCATGGTGGCACAAGCCTGTAGTCCCAGTTACTCGGGAGGCTGAGGCAGGACAATTGCTTGAATCCAGGAGGCAGAGGTTGCAGTGAGCCGAGATCACGCACTGCCCTCCAGCCTGGCGCCTGGCGACAAAGCAAGACTCTGTCAAAAAAAAAAAAAAAAAAGTGGTCAATGCATTATTAAAATATAATCAAAGAAGACTAACCGTGGCCCAAAAATGAACACAGGGATGATATGAAGCATTACGCTGAGTAATGCGTATTTAAAACAATGAAGTCAGTTCAAGAAACAGGTCTAATTTCTGTGGGAACTGATCTATAGGTAGCAGGACTATTATAGTTTTCATCCTATTTGTTCTGATCGATTTCTTTTTCTTTATTATGAAGTAGGAAATTAATAAATAAATGAAACAGACAAAGTCTAAATGAAGAAAAAGATTGATAGCCTGTGGCCTTGTCCAGGGCGTGAGTAGAGGATGATGAGTAGTAGAAGTCAGGAAGTTTGGGCTCCGATATAAAAGAAACCTCGTCTATTGCTTACTTGGAAATGATCCTGTAGACAGTAGTTAAAAATACTCAGTTATCGGCTGGGTGAGGTGGCTCAAACCTGTAATCCCGGCACTTTGGGAGATCGAGGCAGGTGGATCACAAGGTCAGGAGTTCGAGACCAGCCTGACCAACATGGTGAAACCCCATCTCTACTAAAAATACAAGAATTGGCCGGGCGCGGTGGTTCAAGCCTGTAATCCCAGCACTTTGGGAGGCTGAGGCGGGTGAATCACGAGGTCGAGAGATCGAGACCATCCGGGTCAACATGGTGAAACCCCGTCTCTACTAAAAATACAAAAAATTAGCTGGGCATGGTGGCGCGTGCCTGTTATCCTAGCTACTCGGGAGGCTGAGGCAGGAGAATTGCCTGAACCCAGGAGGCGGAGGTTGCGGTGAGCCGAGATCGCGCCATTGCACTCCAGCCTGGGTAACAAGAGCGAAACTCCATCTCAAAAAAAAAAATAAAAAAAAATACAAGAATTAGCTGGGAGTGGTGGTGAGTGCCTGTAATCCCAGCTACTTGGGACGCTGAGGCATGAGAATTGCTTGAACCCAGGAGGCGGAGTTGCAGTAGCCGAGGTCATGCCACTGCACTCCAGCCCGGGAAACAAAGTGAGACCTTGTCTCAAGGAAAAAAAAATTCAGTTACCCTATTCTCGTGCTTTTGTGATTCATGGATAATGATTATGTTACTACAAGTGAATTAATGCATGCAGAACCCAAGTAAAAGAAATGAGTGAATAAAAGCACGGCCATACCTGGACCAACTATAACATGTGTCCTGAAGCAAGTCACAGTACTGCTCTACTGCCCAGGAAGTGGGAATCGCGTTGTTTTTTTTTTAAATTGCATTTTAGGTTTTGGGGTACATGTGCAGAACATGCAAGATAGTTGCATAGGTACGAACATGGCAGTGTGTTTTGCTGCCTTCCTCCCCTTCACCCACATTTGACACTTCTCCCCAGGCTATCCCTCCCCAGCTCCCCCCGCCCGCTGTCCCTCCCCTATTCCCCCCAATAGACCCCAGTGTGTCCCTTCCCAGTACTCCCTTCCCTGTGTCCATGTGTTCTCATTTTTAATCTATCAGAATGAGAAACATGTAGACAAATGTATGAGTTGTCCGTGTTTATGTTGAGTTGTCTTTGGTTTCCTGGTTGTTTGCTTTATTCCTAAAAAGGGTTGCTGTTTATATAAATAAAAGACTAATTTTAAAGAGGGCTAGTGGCCAGAATTTGTTTTATAACAAGAGCTATTGTTCTCACTAAATTCCGTTACAAAGTGATGTCATCTGCTATTACTTTGGTAATGAGCAACTGCGCGTGCGCTGTGATTGTCCATGCTGTAGTCTAGATCATGTACAAGGACACTGATTTTATCTTAATAATGAACAAACGCGTAAGTTAATAATAATCAGTTAGCTAAAAGGATAAAGCAAGGGCCAGTAGCAAATGTGTCTGGAAATACGGGTTGTGATGTAACTGCTTTCTGAGAGTGTCTTCTTCTTAAGGCAAATATTTCGGCTCTTACAAGTTTTTGTATAAGGAGGATATGCATAGCTGCACATTGTCAGACATGTTCTGGGTTTCTGAGAGTTTACACATTCTTCTGTTTCTTTGCAAAGAATGAATAATTGGCCAGACTGGCTTGTGAATGGATGAATTAAGTGGTATCAAGCACTGTTCATTGGTATGAAATTGCTTTGAAACAAGTGTTGAGATGAATCTAATTCTGCATATGGGAAGTCCAAAGATTTAGGTTGTTGAGTGCATTGGGGGAGGCATTGAAGCTGACTTGTTTTGTAGAGAGCTCTCATTCTTGATTCAGCTGGTGGATTCAAAGGCATCAATTTATTTTGTTTTATTTTATTCTGGGGTACATGTGCAGGATGTGCATGCTTGTTACATAGGTGAACGTGTGCCATGGTGGTTTCCTGCAGCTGTGGACGCATCACCTAGGTATCAAGCCCGGCATGCATTAGCAATTCTTCCTGATGCTCTTCCCACCCTCCCTTGACAGGTGCCAGTGTGTGTTGTTCCCCTCCCTGTATCCACGTGTTCTCGTTGTTCAGGCCCCACTTATAAGTGAGAACGTGCGGTGTTTGGTTTTCTGTTCCTGCATTAGTTTGCTGAGGATAATGACTTCCAGCTTCATCCATGTCCCTGCAAAACAGATGTTCTTGTCCCTTTGATGGCTGCATAGTTTTCCATAGTGCGTATATATCACATTTTCTTTATCCGGTCTGTCATTGATGGACATTTGGGTTGATCCCATGTCTTTGCTATTGTGAATAGTGCTGCAGTGAACATATGTGTGCATGTATCTTTATAACAGAATGATTTACATTCCTTTGGGTATATACCCAATGATGGGAT